TCTCGTCTATGGCTTCCAGACTTCCCGGCCCCTTTAAAGCCCCTGAAAATTGACATTTAGCACGACCCTGAACTGCTCGGAGGAGATCCCGGCCGATCTGCTCGACGAGAAATGCTCGCTGCTGGCCAAGAGTTTTCTGCTGGCCGCCGCCCCGGACCGGATGAGCGGAATGATGCACCTCTTCGACCATGAGCTCATTTTGGTAGGGTTTGCCTTTGGGAAGGTCGCGACACGCTACACTAACGCAACGCGCTTAGCCTAGGCTTCGCTTAGTCTTGGCTTAGGCTTGGCGGTTCTTTAAGATTTCCGGGGGGGGGGGGGAAAGGAAGAACCAAAGTTTTTTGGCCCAAGCCTAAATTTTTTTCTAAATAGCCCATGCATTTCTAAATGGTTGTTAACTATTCCTGAGCTAAAAAACCACCCACATTTTAATTAAAAAATTTAATTTTAGGTCGAAAAATCCTATAGAACGTTTAGGATTAGCGGGGGGGAAGACCTAAAATGACCAATTTTCGACTTTTTCAGACATTTTTCTAACTTTTTGAAAAGTTTTTCTACGTTAAATATAGTTAAAATTTACTAAAAACAATGTGAAAACACTTTATATTTGATTACCAGTTCAACCGGAAAAACCAGGAAAAAATTGGTTCTCCCCCGGAAATCCTAAAGAACCGGCTTGACTTAGGCTTCGCTCAGATTTTGCTTAAGGTTCGCCTTGGCTTCGCTTCGGCGTCGCTTGGGCTTCGCTTAGGCTTCGTCTAGGCTCCGCTTACGCTTGGCTTACGCTTCGTTTAGGCTTCGCTCAAGTTTCGCTTGGGCTTGGCTTAAGCTTCGCTTAGGCTTCGTTTAGGCTTGGCTTCGGCTTGGCTTCGGCCTGGCTTAGGCTTGGCTTCGCTTAGGCTTGCTATAAAATTACTAGACATTTAAAGGCTTTACACAAAGTTCGCCCCCCGATAATGCAAATGAACCGACTCATCTCTTTCAGAACGTGTCCCCGGTATGGTTGGTGTTGGGCGTGGTGGCGTTGTACTTCACCATCGGCGCGGTGCTGCTCTACCTCCCCCTCCACAACTTCCCCTACACCATGTTCACCATCGGCTGCTGCTTCAAGGTGTTCGTCTGCGGCGTGCTCATCTATGCCTGTAAGCGGATGTTTTCTATTTTTTTTGTTGGCTTGTTTGCTTACCCACGCCCCAGCTGACCCCCCGCCTCCCCAGGTACCGTATCTCGGCTCCCTGTTCATCTACAGGTGTGTGAAGTATACCAAAATACACGCCAGAGCAGGGCAAACATTTTCGTATACTTTACACACCTGTAGATGAACAGGGAGCCGAGATACAAAAGCTGGGCGCCCGGCTGGGGGAGGGGTAAGGCGGCCCTGGCAAACTAGCAATGATCATTTGCCGAAATCACATTTTTTCACATTTTTATACTTTTCAAGTGCGCGAGCTGAAGCCGTGGCCGCTGATCGAGCGGGGGTTGCTGACGAATGTGTGGCTGCTGGGTTGTGACGCGTTGATGCTGGCCGCGTCGGCGCAATGGTACGGTTTCTGGTTTTTTATTGGGGCAGGCTAGCAGAGATTTTTTGGGAAATGAGTCGAATCACGCAGCTAGCATAGTTTTGTGAATCAATTTCTGGTTCTTGTGAAGTAGCGGGGGGCGTAGGAAGGGTAGTGTGCGTGGATTTGTGTCCCCCCCCCGCTAACGCACGAGACCCAAATTTTATGGCAGATTATCTGAGATTCTTTGGGAAAATCGCTGCTGGATCTCGATAAGCTAGCAAAGGATCTTTGAAAACACTTGCCGGAAGTTGGCAGGCTAGCATAGACTGTTTAGGAAATCTATCGAAAGGGCATGCTAGCAGGGGTTATTTGAGAGAAAAACATCCGTTCCTCCCCCTGCTAATGCCAAAGTACCACTGAAACCCTCCAGAAATCAAAAAAATTGTTTGCCAGGGGCATGCTAGCAGAGATTCTTTGAGAAACTTCCGAACGATTGGCAGGCCGACAGAAATGTTTTCGGAACCGTTTTCCGCCCGGCTACATCAGCCCCAACATCAACTATTTTTTGCAGGCTCGGCACCGGCATCCTGCTCGAATTCGGCGCCACCCTCCCACTCGACGCCCACGTGTTGTCCAAGGTTGCCGGGTTCTGTAAAATGAATAAACTCAAGATTTTCCAGTCGGCCCTCGGCATTCTCGTGCACCTCGTCTACGTGACGTTCTTCGGCGCCGCCTGCGCCATTGGGTATCTTGCGGAATCGCGTGAGTTTTTGGGTAACTTTCCTAAAGTATCCCTGCTAGCTTGCCAGCCTTCAATTTTGCTCTTTATAGAATCGATCGGCAAGTCCCACGGCGACGACGTCATCGTGTGGCCGTTATGGTAAGGCGCGTGTGGATATGCATATCGATAAGCTGCATGGCGCTACGTTACGCTACGCGGGGCTACGCATAGAACTATGCAATGCTCGACCATCAGACTTGGCTACCCTAGACGACGTAACAGTACGCTACGCTACACGACGGCACGCCCCGCGCGACAACTCTCTACGCTATTTGAAACGACGCTAAGCTCCATGCCAGTACGCAACGCTGCGCGACAATATTCTACGTTACGCGTCAATACTGTACGCTATGCGACATTACGCTCAACTTCATGCCGATGCGCCACGCTACGCGACAGTGCACTTCGCTACGCGACGGCACGCTAACCTACGCGACAATACGCTACCAAGCTACCAGACGTCCTCTACGCTACCGTCAATCTGCTACGCTAGGCGACAGTACGCTACGCTACGCGACAGTACGCTAACCTACGCGACAATACACTATGTTACGCTACGCGACACTTCGCTATAAATTGAATTTTTAATGCGCCATGGTTGGCCACAAGCAACGGTGCAATCCGGTACCAGCCTACGCTACAGCACGCCAGCCCAGCCTACGCTAGACGACGCTACAATACGCTCCAAATTACACCCCAAAACGACATTTTAGGACAACGTTCACCGGGGACGGGATGCAGCGCAAGGTGTCGGTCCTTTACACCACCGCCATGATGTTGATGGGCATGTTTAGTACGGTACGTTTGCACATACCGTAACGCGTCCGAACGGCCCCCTAAAAAATGCACCTTTCCAGGTGGCCATGGTGTACTTCTTCCCGCTGCAGCGCGAGTCGAAGCCTACCTTTCTGCGCCTGGGAATCACGCTGATGGGGCTGATGCTGTCGATTGGGGCCTGTGGGCTGGGTTGGTGGCTTTAAAGGGACTGGGAAGCGCCGAGATCGAAGGTTTTGTTTGGGTTTGTTGGGTTTGTTGCTCTATCCGGAGGAAATTCCAGAGAAAACGTGTTAGTGAGCTTTTTTATCTACTCGTTCTATTCCCTAGGCGGTTTCCGTGCCGTCCGCGTGCTCGAACGCGGCGCCGACCTGTTCACCGGGATGGGCTCGTGCATCCAGCTGTGCGCCATCGCGTTCGTCCGCGCCACCGCGTCGAAGGCCATCAAAATGTGGGGGTTTTTAGTAAATTCTTCGTTTTAAAATTGTTTGTTTTGTTCTCCTTAAAATTGTTGAACATCTACAGGCGGAACGACGTGCTCGACGAGGCCGGCAACAGCTTGCGCATGTCGGCGGCGTTGCGTGAGAAGTGCCTCTCCGTTTCCATCTTTCTTGGGCTCCCGTTTTCGGCGGTGGGTTTGGGAGAGAGAGAGAGAGAGAGAGAGACAGACAGACACAGAGAGAGAGCGAAAGAGCGAGAGAGAAAGAGAGAAAGAGAGTGATAGTGAGAGAGAGCGAGAAAGAGTGAGAGAGAGAAAGAAAGAGAGAGAGAGAGAGAGAGAGAGAGAGAGAGAGAAAGAGAGTAAGGCTGATCCTCTTTTTTTCAGTTGATCCTCGCGGTATCCCTCTACCGTGTCGTCATCCCGTTCGAGCAGGGCATGTGGCTGCCCCAGCTTCGCCGCCAGAGCTACCTGACCAGCGAGTGCATCACCATCGGCATCGCCTACATGTGGGTTTCCCTTTTCGGGGGCTCAGGCGGCTGGCCGCGACGCGACCGCTCGCCTGTGGCTGTAGTTGCTAAAAAACAAAAAAATTCGATTGAATTTGAATTTTTCAGGCGAACATTTTGAATTGTAGAATTTTCAAGGATATTTTTTGCTATTTTCTGGCAATCAATAACCATAAAAACACTATAAAAATCCTCGAAATAGTCAGAAACACAAGAATAAATTCCATTGTTCAGTGCCGTCTCCGCCCTGCTGATCCTGCGCCCAATCGTGCTGTACTTCATCGCCCACCACCACGACCCTGCCCATGTCGTCCCCTCATCTACATCCGTCAGCAACCACAACTATTGAGCGACCATAAAATTTTGCCGGTCCCCCGACACGCGACGCACGGCGGTCAAGCGACGATTGCGTTGTGTGTCGCGGATGCGGCCTTTTCGACTTGTGATCGCCCGTTTTTCGCTTATTTTTCCCGCCATATTCCTGTATTTCTGCGAGCGATAAAAACTTTGAAAAATGTGTTGAGGCTTTATGAAAAACACAGCAGAACCCGTATCACAAAGAGATGGTATGGAATAAGCAAAAAAGTTGCTACAGGAAAAAATTTTCGCGATTTTAAAGGGGAGAGAAAGGCAAAAATCTACTCTTCTATCGACTAGATCTCGGGAACTACGCTGCTCGTGCAACGTACGGCCGGTAATTAAACTAAAAAAATGGTTTTTGATCTCTTAGATAGCCGACAAGCAAAAAAAGTCGACGCTTCTGGCCGCTGGGTCTCGACAAGTACGCTACACTCCAAACACTTTCAGTGTGGGGCTTTAGCTGCACCCCCCCCCCGGTAACGGCACAGAACCCGGGTTTTTACTTTCCTTACGCTTAGCGTCCCTAAGTACCCAGATGAGCCGGCTGTGTGATTTGGAGCGTCGCGTAGCTGTCGAGACCTAGTCGCTGGAAAGCAAAGAATTTCGGATTGTATCTTCCCCAAAATCAAATTCTATGTGAAGGCAAGCGGTGCAAAGAGGTTGAAATCGGTGGAGCGGCCGGTGAAGCGATAGTCTGTCTGGAATTTTGAAGCATTAATCATCGATTTCCGATGAGAATCCCGAAAATCTGTTTCCCGAAAATCCGATTCCCGAAAATCTGAATCCCGAAAAATCTGAATCCCGAAAATCTGATTCCCGAAAATCCGATTCCCGAAAAATCTGAATCCCGAAAAATCCGTTTTCCGAAAATCCGATTCTCGAAAAACCGATTCCCGAAAATCTGAGTCCCGAAAAATCCTAGCCCCAGAATCCAAACCTGGAAAGACCGCGCTCTGAAAAGCCAAATTGGAAGAAAACAAAGTTAAAAATTAACTTTATTGAATTCACCGTCTTGGAAGTCGCCCAGGAACTTTAGAAAGGGTTTTGGTACAATTCAAATAGGCGGGGGGGTGAGGATTTCGGCGGGGGGCGAGGTGGGCCTATAGGCAGAGGGGGTGCCTAGAGAGCAGGGCGGGCGCTGAGACGCAGATTGCCCCCTGCCTGAATCTCCTTCCCACCGCCTTGTTGAATTGTACCAGGGTTTTTTTTCAGTTCACAAACCGCAGATTCTTCAGATTCAGATTTTTCGGGAAACAGATTTTCGGGAAACGAATTTTTCGGGATTCAGATTTTTCGGGAACCGGATTTTCGGGATTCAGATTTTCGGGATTCAGATTTTTCGGGATTCGGATTTTTCGGGAATTCTATTTTCGGGAATCGGATTTTCGGGAAACAGATTTTCGGAAGTATAAGCGAAGCCCTAATCATCTTGGATGTTAATCTGTATTTCCTACCCTAAGCGGAAAGGCGGCGCGGCTTTTGCCAATATCGTCGATTCTCGAGGTCCTGAAATCAAGAAACTAATTTTTTTACACATTAAAGTGATCAAGAAGGCGCTACATTGGAGCGCCGCGTAACTGTCTAGACCTAGTCGACGGCGAGAGTCGATTTTCCCGAATTACCTGTACAAAACGGCCAACATCGTCTCGTCCTGCCTTGCCGTCGTCAAATACACGCGATCAGCGAAGAAGTATCGTAGCTTTGGGAGCAACTGCCAGTGAGAAGTTCCTGATCTTTCCTCGAATTAATCGATACCTCAACGCCATTCCCCAGCCAGAGGAGGTAGATCAGAAATAGGTATAGACAACCGGTATTAACTGTCGTTTTTCGGGTATCTGCCACATTCATTTTAACGATACCGTATCGATAGAGGGCTCCGAGAAAGATTGCAGCGATTATAGATAGCTAAACTTTTACGTTTACTAATTTCTTTAGGGAAAACGAAACAATGCGATACATTTTCTTTACTTTAAACCTAGCTTTCAAGCCTTTAAAAGCCACTGAAAACTTACTTGGATTATCGCCTCAAAACTTGTGGTATTCTCTGGTGAGTATAACATGACGTAATCTATCCCGGGATGCCTGTCTAGGTGGGTGAGAAGAGACTGAAAAGTAGCTTAAAAGAGAGAGAGCGAGAGAGAGCGACAGGTAGAGAGAGCGAGAGACAGAGGGTGAGAGAGAGAGAGAGAGAGAGAGAGAGAGAGAGAGAGAGGAGCGAGCAAGATCGTGCGATCCAGCGCGCGGCGTGAAAGGCAGCGAGAGAGATTTAGAGAGAGTGAGAGATCGAAAGAGCGCGGTGTGAGGAGCAGCGATAAAGCGTGAGAGAGAGATCGAGAGAGAGAGAGAGAGAGAGAGAGAGAGAGAGAGTGGGAGCGAGAGAGAGTGAGAGCGAGAGAGAGCGAGAGCGAGAGAGAGCGAGAGAGAACGATAGACCACGGCTGTACCTGCATCAATTCCGCAAAATTATCAAGCACGCCAGTCGTTTCTTGCAACAGTAAAACGTACCTAAATTTTGTTCAAAGGGGCTGCGTTACGTTAAGTTACGGTGAATTTCGATCGCTTCCCAGCAGACATTTACGGTAGTTTTCCCAGTCATGTTCGGAGGACACTTCGGAAAACGGCTGACCGGCTTTTGCTGGATCTGCAAGTTGCTTTTTAAGGGGTTTTTTGGGTCGGTTATGAGATATTTTCTTGCGTTGGCAAACTGCCTTTTCAGGGCAATATGGAGGGCCGTGTAGCTGTCGAGATCTAACCAATCGACCGGTCGATTTGGCTTCCAGGGGCCTTTAGAGGGATTTTTAATTTTATTTCACCCACCAGACACATTAAAATGGTTGAAGCTTTCGAGAATCTCGACATTCTGAGCCCCATCCGCTTCCAATAAACATATCTCGATGTAGGGCCGTTTTTCAAAGCGATACTCGTCGAGTAGATAGCCGAGATTCTGAAGGAACTGGGATTAGCTACGTTAAGAGCGAGCAACGAAAATATCATGTTACATCGCCATTAAAAGTGTTTTTTTTAATAAAAAGCATAGAGACTCAATTTACGAAATTCCCGCTGACCTGCATCAAGTAGTTCTGCCGGCTGTTGGTGGCCATTATCGTGATCGAAAAGTCGAACTAAAATGGGAACATAAAACTTTCTGACGTCCTACTTGTCAAGTTTTTGGCTTTAAAGGGACTAGGAAGTGACGAATTCTCCCCCCCCCTCACTTTGACTAAGTCTAGACAGCTACCTTCCACTCCAAATGACGCCGGCAATCGCGTCTTGTCAACCTCTAGAATGCGACGCCTAGCCAAAATCCAGCTCTCTTGACACGTGAAATTTGGAGTATTGCGTAGTTGTCTAGATCCAATCGATGGAAGGGGTCGATTTTCAGGCGTTTTATTCCTTTAGCTCGGCTACGCGGCGCTCCAAAATACGCTACAATTTTTCCGCGCGAATTTTTCGGATCACTACTAGAACACTTAAAAAATCCCACTCCACTCGTGCCAGTTGGAGCGTCGCGTAACTGTCGAGACCTAGGCAATGGTAAGCGTTGATACTGAGACTGCTTAGTTCCTTTAATTACCGTACCAGCCTTTCCCGATTCCTGTAATATTGCTGGAAATAATCGCGGGCCCGCCGCAAGTGAAATCTGTTCAGCTCGGCCGGGTTGTCGCTCAGGTCGGGACGCGAGAATTTGAGGGGGGTTGTCTAAAAAAATTTCCTAAAAAATTATGTGTGTTTTTCTGCCAGCCGCGACACGAAATGCGCACGCGTCGCCAGCTTTTCTTAACGGGGTCGGAAGTGTTGCGAAAAAACGTCAAATATTTGAGTAAAACCGAAATGTTCTCGGGGCGAAAACGACTTTTTGAGTGTGCGACGATTACATGTCGTAATGCCTTGTAAGGCACCCGATCTCTCGATTTCGGTCATTCTATGATCAATTTTCATAAATTAAAAGTCTGGAATGATCAAAATTCGTTGAGGATTCCAAAAATACTATCAGAACTTTTAAATTCAAGCGCTTTCGCGCCGAAACAGGGGCAAAACCTCATGCGGCGCGGTCGCGTTGCGGTGGCATCTGGCAACTAGCCAGGTATCACAGCAGGGGGCCGTGGACCAGATTTCGGAGCCCCTTTAATCCATTACGCTATGGAAAAATCAATTCTAAAAGAATCTGAGCTCAAAAAAACTATGGATGCTTCACAATCCGTTTCAATAAGCTCTGTATCGCGCGAAAATCGACCCTGCCGATCGACTGGGTCTCGACAGCTACGCTACCCTCCAAATGGCGCCGAATGGTGGTTACGAAATCCTTTTTAAACTTTTAATCTAGCCCAATATGCTCGAATATTTTTAATAGAGAGCGTTCTGGAACATATCGGTTCGTTCGTGAATTTGTAAATTGAAACAGGAAATTCGAGAATTTATCGGTTTTCTGCGTGCTTTCGCATTAACGGGGGGACCAGCTCTGAAAGGATACAATTTTCATTACTATTTCTAAGCGATAATACTTTGCAAATACACACACAAACTACAAAACAACAACGATTTTCGGGCAAAATCGTCGGCTTTAAAATTTTTTGAAGTTTTTGATTGTGTTGACACTTAAAGGGGCTCCGAACCGCCAAATCAAAGCCCTTTTGGGAGGCCTCTTTGATTTCTGGCAAATTGCCAGCGGGCGCGCTGCGGGACGAGAGCCCTCACTCTTTCGATTTTTGCGCGAAGTTTTTTTGCCGGTTTCTTTGTGAAAAAACCATAATTTGCGCATTCCGAGCCCATTTTTGAAATCCTCACTCAATTTTAAATAGTTTTGGTGTTTTAATCATCAAATTTGGCCCAGAAACAGCCGAGAACGTGATTTCGAGGTGACAACCTGCAATTTCAAATTTGCGAGCTGCCGGGCCCTGGGTGTACAGAGGCCTCCGACGTCCAGGGCTCCGATTTTCGGGCCACTCAATTTTTGGCATTTCGTAGCCCCTTTAAATATGGTTAAATTTTATTAGGAACACTATTAAGCTAATAACTATTACAAGACTAAACATTTCAGGACTTATAGGAAAAAATTGTTTTCTGGTTTCTTTATAAAATTCCACATAAACCCACGGACTTCCGGCAGGCACCAATATAAAAGCTTCACAGCCAAGAACATCATCCCAACAGCGGAAAGAAGCCGGAAATTCCGTCGTTTCTTACCGGGCATCGCATCGGATTTTTGAAGGGAATCAGCAAATCAAACGGCCACCAAAAATATTGTATATAAACTTTCAAGCTAATGGTTGTCGTTTGTAGCGGCTCGGAATAAAGCCAGAGTGGGTGAGTCACCCTTTTTCTGAAGAATCCAGCCGACAAGCCAGCCGGACTGATAAGCCGGAAGGAGGTGGAGGAGAGGCCAGCTTTCGGTTCTTTCGCATTATCGGGGGGGGGGACAAATTTTGTTCTAAGGATCGGATTTTTTACATATAAATAGCGAAAACGTTTCTAAACTGCATTTTACTATTCCTAAACTTTAACAAATTTTCATTAAAAAATCACAAAATATCGATTTTTCGAGCAAAAATGGTTGATTTTCAGACCAAAATTACGATTTTCACACTTTTCCAAGTTTTTTTTGCGTTTTCCATTTAAACAACAATTAAATTTTGCTAAAAACATGTTTAAAACACTGACTATTACGTTAAGAGGAATTTCTAGCCCACTGGAAATGCGAAAATCTCCCTCCCCCGATAATGCGAAGCCTAATTTTGTCTTCTCAACTCCTTTAAAGTCCAATTTCTTGTATTCATTTGGCATAATTCATCACAATATGTGCAAAGTATCATAATCACCGTTTATCTTTGCACAAGGAGACGAAAAACTTTGAATTTTACCCGCACAGAATTGTACGAGATCGAGAGAGATGGAGCGAGAGAGAGAGAGAGAGAGAGAGAGAGAGAGAGAGAGAGAGAGAGAGAGAGAGCGCGCGCGTGAGAGAGAAAGTGAGGGATAAAGAGACAGAGAGATAGACAGAGTGAGAACGGAAAAACACACGCAAAATTAAATCCACACAGCAAAAATCATCTAAAAAGGGGCGAAAAGTCTAATGTCTGACTAAAAATAAGACTTTAAGAGATACAAAAAATATACATTACGACATATTAACAAAACGACACAGCAAATTAACACTGGCTATATACCATTTAGCGTATTTTCGATTATTTTTGGACTCCCCCGCCAATCGTGGCCCACGGGCTGACCGGGCCCAGGTGGTACACGGGCGCTTCCGGCTGGAACATCAGACCCCGGGAGGCGTCCCTGCCGACGGCGTCGATGTCCGTCCCGTAGTTCTGCGCGATCAGCAGCGTCGCCGTGTACTGAAATCGGATTCGAGTGGTGTCGCCTCGATTTGGGGCTTTTTGCTGTTTTGCTACGGCGGTTTAAAAGATTTTTTGGATTTCAATAACTTCAAATCACAATTTTTAAAAGAAGAGCTTATAATTTCCGTGTAGAAAACTAAAACCTAAAATTTTTGGCGTTAGAAAATCCGCCGTTTTCCGGGCTTTCGAATGGTATAAAAATCATTGAAATCCGACTTTTTTCGTCGAGATCGGAGCGTTTTTGTTGCTGATACCTACCTCGAGCTCCTGGCACAACAGCATGACGTCGCGGCCCTCCATCAGCTTGGCCACCTCGGCCTCAAAGTCGCCGAACGCCCACGTGAAGATGCGGAAGCCGTCGGCGGTAAAGTATTGCTGAAATCCGGAGTGCGTTCATTTTTAATGGTAAGTATTTTACTATTGTTTTAGCCAAGCTTAACTCTAATTTTAGGGGAAACAAAAATTAAAATTCTTTTTAAAACAACTTTTTCGGAAAATTCGTCATTTTTAGTCGAAAAATCATATTTTTGGCATGTTTTAAGCAAAAGTTGTAAAGTTTTACTTTTAGGAATGTACAAAAGCTTAGAACCATTTTCACTATTTATATGAGAAAGATTGGGGCCTTAAAAACGTATTAAAAACCCACCTGGTGCAGCATACGCATGTAGCGAATCGGCTCGCCAATGTCGAGGGTGACGGCCAGCAGGCGCCTCTGGCCGTCGGCCGGCGGGCTCTGAACACACGGTTTTTAACGGTCAAAAATAAATAATAAATAATTATTATAAGCTTTGTAAATAGGTCAACCGAAAACGTCTTACGAAACTTTATCCTACCGTTTTTTCCCAAAGTTTTCTCTTTCTTTCTGGTACAAATACCATAAAAAACGTAACTCAAAATTTCCGGTCTTCCGACCAAACCGATAACGACAGCAAAAACTAGATAAAGGAAACTGTTATACGCAAATCATTCTAAAAAGCTTTTGGAAGAAATTATAGTGAATTATGTCCACTGCAAAGCGTAAATTTTAAAAAATAGGATTTTCTACGTCTTCCTCGCGTAGAAACGTCATTTTGCATGGTTTTTCGACGAAAAAGGAGCGCGATAGGACAAATACGTACTTACGTAGTTAGGTACGCTACGTAGTTGAGAGCCAAGAAAATCTACTATTCTTTTTCGTTTTCCTAGCGTTTCGTGACCTTAACAAAGCATGCTCTTTCAGCGAAAAAAGAGCGCGATAAGATGCCATTAAAAAGGCTAGAGATCTAGAAATCTAGAGAGAAAGGGAAATTTAGAATCTGCCCGGTTTTTAGCGTAATTATCTACATTTCCGCTCATCATTAGCAAGAGCCCATCCGGCTCCACCCACCTTGCAAAGCGCGCTCTCCAACAAGCGATGGGCGACGGCGGATGCGCGCTGCATGCTGCACACCGGCACCGCCAGGTGAAGCCGAATCGCCGAGTGATCGCTCAGCTAAACCAAGCGGTTTTTTCAGGCAAAAATCCAAATTACCGATTCGAAAAGGCCCGTCAAGCAATGATCCGCGGCCGGCCCGCGACGGTCCATCATCAGCTCGATAAGCACCTGAGGAAAACGGTATCAAAGATGTTATCGGAGCCAGCTTTTTCCTTAGGATCCAATTTTCAAAATAAAGTGTTTCTAAGCTTTTTTACTATTTCTAAATCTAGAACCTTTACAAAATTGATGAAAAAATACAAAAAGATCGGTTTTTGGACCGAATCTTCTACATTTTGAAATTTTTGTGATGGTTTTAAATAGATTTATAGTTGAAAAATGGTTATATTTTGCTAAAAACAATAATAAAATACTTGCTACTAGGCATTTCTAAACTTTTTCGACGATAAATTTCGGATCATTTCCTCAATTCGCGAAACTACATTACGAGTTGACAAAAAAACTATGGAAGCGATATTTTTGACAAAAGTTTAATCGGTATAACAGCGGATATAATGAAGAGAACGCGCTGCTTTATTTTAGCTTTTACAACTCGAAAACACTGACCAACTCCGGCTTCAGCGGCACCCAGTTGGTGATCTTGGCGGCCCGGGCGGCCAGCTCGGCGCTTTTCCCGCGGATGTGCGCCTGCATCGGGCATCGCAGCAGCAGTAGGCCGCTCAAGTCGAGCTTGGTCGGCTGGAAATCAGGTTATATTGGGTTTAATATATATTGGGTAGAACTAAACAATAAACACCAGCGCTTCAAAAGGTTTAAAAACTTGAAAGCTGTTCAAAACGGGCCGTATTAGAATCGGTTCTTTAGGATTTCCGGGGGAAAGTATTTCCGGGGGGGGGAAACCAAATTTTTTCGACCCAAGCCTAAATTTTCTTCTAAATCGCGCATGCGTTTCTAAATGGTTTTTAACTATTCCTGAGCATAAAAACTACCCACATTTTAATTAAAAAATTTAATTTTAGGTCGAAAAATCCTATAGAACCTTTAGGATTAGCGGGGGGAAAGACCCAAAATGACCAATTTTCGACTTTTTCAAACATTTTTCTAACTTTTTTGAAAGATTTTTCTACTTTAAATATAGTTAAAATTTACTAAAAACGATGTGAAAACACTTTATATTTGATTACTAGGTCAACCGGGAAAAACAGGAAAAAATTTGGTTTCCCCCGGAAATACTTTCCCCCCCCCCGGAAATCCTAAAGAACCTTAGAATCTATTAGATACGCAATATCTGAAAATGTTTATAAAAAGAATTTTGGGAGTTTATTACTACTTTAGCAACCTATGTTCTTAGAATATTTAGGAACTAATATGACCAAGGAAAAAATCGATGTTTTAGACCTTATTCTTGCTTTCTAGCCTGAGAAATATTTAGAAACTTGTATACTTGAGCAAAAAAAGCAATTTCCAGACTTATTAGTGCTTTCTAGCATTTCAAAACCTCTAAAAAAACTGAAATATCATGTCTTCGAAAGATTAAATGTTTTCTTACCATATAAACCTTTCATAACAGTCAAAACCTAGAATTTAATAGTTGAAAAACGCGAATTGCAAAATTTTAGACCTTTCAAAGTCAATTCTTGAAAAATGCGGGTTTCTTACGGCTACAAGCTCAAAAAAGAGCAAAAAAACTTACAGTGTCCTGGTTGAGGGCGGCCGCCCTGGGCGACGTCTTCCGGAAAAGCTGGTTCAAGATGCGCAGCGCGTGCCGCGCGTCCGAGCAGGTCACGAAACACTTGGCGCTGCGGGGCTCGCGGCTGTAGGTGCCGTTGAACCTAAAATTTGTAGCTTTCCATGTTTTTAAAAGTTTAAATGGTAGTAGAAACCTTTTAGCGTTTCAAAACCAACGATACCACTTGATATTGATCAGCCTTTCGCGGCGCATCTCACCATATGACCGGTTTTTCGGTTCTTTCGCATTATCAGGGGCGTCTAATTTTTACGTGTAGAAATGTCTGGTGACGTAACAAGAAGTCATTTTGTACTGTTTTTAGTATAATAAACCCTTCTCAACAAAAAAAAACATCTAAACAGTTCCAAAATTTTTGAAAAAGTGGAAATTTTAGTCAAAATCGGCCATTTTTGGGCGAAAAAAACCCGATATTTTTGATCTTTCTAATCCAAAATTCGTAAAGTTTTCACGTTTAGAGATAGTAAAAAGTGCTTAGAAACACTTACACAATTTATATTTGAAAAACTAGATCATAAGAAAAAGTGGCTCCCCCGATAAAGCGAAACAGCCGAAAAGCCGGTCAAATGGTGGGCTTCGGAGCAAAAGTTAGGACCGCTATGCTAGATATGCCATTGCCAACAAAGCACCTACTTCAAAAAGTTGAAGTCGACCAGCTCGAACTCGAGGTAGCCGGCGTTGCGTTCGACGGGCGGCCGCCAGACGATGCAGAACGTCTCGTCGGAGACGCTAATGTACAACTGAAACGAAATAAATGCATAGTTTTTTCGTAAAAGCCGAGGATGACGTCAAAAGCCTGGATACCCTTAAAAATACCGACCATTTGCTTGATGACGACGCTGGCTAGCTGCGGACGGCCGGCCAGCCACAGCGAGCCGTCGTTGACCCGGTTGAACGCCTGTAATGAAGATTAAAATGATAAATAATAAATTCGTAGTGGTAAAACAGTAGAAATAATAAGGTCAGTAAGATTGTTAGGAAAAAAATGAGCGAACGCGCAGATACAAAAGCGCACAACAAGGCGCGAAAAGTAAAGGTAAGTTTCGGGCTATTAAACTTGCAGAATCTAAGTATCTTTCAAGCGGGAAAGTTATTGCAAAAAACTACAAGCTTTTCAATAACGAAAGCGACGTTTATTGTATCTATTATGAATAAAAATCTGTAAAGCTTTTAGGTTTAGGAAGACCAAAAAAAAAGTTTAGAAAGTAGTGTACCAAAATTTTTATGCATTTAGAAATGCCTAGTAACTCAATAGGCCGTATATTCATACCGCTTTTTTTATACGATAGAACCATATTTCAACTAGAAAACTACCTAAAAACCATCAAAATCTTTCAAGAATTCGAAATTTCGGTCAAAACCGGGATTTCAGGTCGAAAAATCAATATTTCTTTATACTTTTTAATCAAATTTGTAAAGTTTTTACGTTTCGGCGTAGTAAAAACTGTATAGAAACACCACCGTTATTTATATTTCAAAAAATTGGCTACTAAAAAAGATCGGTCATTCCGATAATGCGAAATAACCCAAATTTCCTTGACTAACAACTAGCGAGCGGGAAAACTAAAGAGCCAAACGAGGCTCTTCAAGGGTATCGTTTAGGTGAATCAAAAGAAAGTATACCATTACTAAAAAGTTAGAAATAACAGCTAGCGAAATGGAAAGTATGTAAGCGTTAATATCCTTGGAAACCCGTGACTTACCCGGCTGGCGGTACGCATCCGGATGCGCTGGGTGAAGGGCAGCCGCTGGTAGACTGCTTGGCGGCAGGCGAGCGGCAGATCGGCGAACGGAAGAGCCATCCCGAGCGGGTTGTCGTTGGAGAATGATGGTTTCTAGGGGGTTTCCGAAGGCTTGTCGACACTGATAGCACATCTGCCGTGTCCGCGGGGCCTTTCCGCCTCCGCCAGCGACCGCAATGACGGAAAGACAGATGGGCCGGGTGAGAATCGTGATGAAAAGGCGATAAGCGGACACTAATGGCCACGATTCGGCCCTTTTACACGCTATCATTAGCACGCGCACCATTGACGCGCAGGATTCGGCGCGATTTTTCGAAATAAAAATATAAATTACTTTGAAACTACAAAACCTCACAATGTCGACATCACATTTCCAAAAAAAATAGCTATTCTCTCGTCCTCGCTCTCGCGCTCTCTCTCTCGCCCTCTCGCGGTTTCTTTACCGCCCTCGCTCTCTCACCGTGTCTGTATCTCTCGCCATATCGCTCTGTGTGTCTCTCCATCTCGCTCTCTCTCACGATCTCTCTATCCGTCTCTATCGCTCTCTCGCTCGCGCGCCCTCTCTCTCTGTCTCTCTCGCTGTGCCAACCACCATATTCATAATCACAATGTCGACAGCACATTTTGCAAAAACATTTATTCATGGTTAGACAGCGCCATACGAGAAAGAACAGATACAAAAACGGCCGGTCACGGTATGCCCAGGCGTGTTACTATACATAAAAGGAAGGCCGGCGACGGGCGTATCATCGACCAGGTCCTTCTGAAAAAAACGCATTGAAGATAAGGTGCTTTCACATTATCGGGGGAGGGTAGCCAAAGGATGTGTTTTGACATTGTTTGTAGCTATTCCTAGGTATAAAAACTTCAAGTTTTTATACCTAGGAATAGCTACAAAGTTTACAAAGTTTTTTTACAAGTTTTTAACGAAATTGATTTGATGTCGGTGTTTCGACTAGAAATCACCGAAATTTCGACTTATGCTAACGTTAACATTTTCTGAGCTTTCGTCCCTCAAGTATAGTTTTTTTCTCGTTAAAAAAAGCTAAACCCTTCTAATAGTAAAAAAATGTGGTCCTACTGGGAACCCCCCGATAACGCGAAAGCGCCAAAGAAAGTCTGTGCGAATCCCAGCCCACCATCCATTGGCCGAAAATATGATGGGTCGACGAGTGGTGCGCGATTTATTTCCCCTTGGCGGCCGCAACCTTCCCGTTGGCGGCCGCAACCTTCTCGGCGGCGTCGAGGAACCGTTCGATGGCGTCATTGTGCTCCGGCAGGTGCACCTGAAAAACAAGGGAGGGTCCCCGAGAGGTAGCGCTGCCGCGTACCTTGATGTACTCAAAAACGGCCATGTGGACGGCCAGCCACTGCTTGGCGTCGGTGATGGCATACGGGCGCGCCGTGCGCAGCTCGTGCCACAACTCGGTCACCTGAATCAGGGCATGATCAACTGCTCCGAGCGGCGAGAGTTCGCGCTCTCCTACCGAGACTTCAGTGCCAGCGGTCAGACGGTCGATGATGACGAACACCATGATGAAGACGGCCGACCAGGCGGCACCCGACGAACACACCACCACGTAGACCGGCACCTCAAATCATTCGTTTGTTTCCCTTTTGGCCAGGGTTGGTCACGCTGTCTAACTGTTTCTTACTTTCCCTAAACGTGAAAACTTTATAAAGATTTATTAAAAAACCTCAAAATTATCCATTTTGCGTCCAAAAAAGGCCGTTAGTGGTCAAAAGTCTAAATATATTTAGATATTTCTAGTACCACTATTGAACAATGTCTGTTGTTAACCTACTAGGCATTTCTAGACCTATACAAAAAAGTTCGCCGGGGTCGAAAACCTCTAACAAAAATTGTTAGAAAATATTTTACAAGAATTTAAAAGTTGAGAAGGGTTACGGCGCAATGGTACAGTGTACCCGGGGTTTCTAACTCAAATATTTCTATTTTTAGATGTTTTTTCGACTTAAACGTACTGTAGGCTGGTCCTATAGAGCAAGAGCTAGCTACATTTTGGTACGATTGATCGGCTCTGTACGAATTAAAATAGCCGCGGTACGAAAAGTCACTTTGGACCTGCTAAAACTAACTAAAGAAAACCCATACTTATCCTACTATATATAAAAAAATAGTTCATGTGTGTGTGGACACTTTGCATAAATGCCTCGAAAAAACCGGGTTACCAAGATATCGGGAAGGGGGATCAGTTTTAGGACCCAGTCGAAAGGTATTTAGGGGTAGTCGAGGACGTAGATTACTGCTGACTTATCAGATTTTTAATAAAATGACGAGTTATACCTTATTTTAGCGATTTAAAAACATATGGAAAAATCCTCATTTGCATACGAGGCGCTAGGAGGCTCATTTCGAATTTTGTCGCGCTAGCGGCCGGTTGCTTTTGCCGTTTTTGGGTTCGCTTACGCTCTTCGCTCGAATTATGCAAAGTGCCCAACTTTGAGAGTTCCGTGCGCGAAGGCCAGGGGTGAAAAGCCGCGTAGCGTAGCGGCTTTTCAACCCTGGTAATTGCTATAAAAAATTTTCTAGCGATTTTTGGTGTAAGAAAACAATTTTTTTATAGTAAATGGACCACAGCAAAATTTTGAGATGCTCGCCGCATTAATAGGACTGATGGGGGGGCGGTAAACTGAACTCTAACCCAAAAGTTTTCCTCATTTCCGATTAGGAAGACAGAAAACCTACAACAGGGTCCTCAAAATTGACGAGGCGCGCAATCGCCCGGACTTTGCTGCGGAAATCTTTACCGCTGGCCGGGTAGTAGATGGCAGGCCTAAAAATACCGGGCTAATACGATTTTGTCGGGCCGGACTGGGCCGGGGCCGGCCCGATCTTCGTGAACGAATTATAAATCTATCTAACTGCGATTATATAGTGGTAGTCACATTCACGTATTTTAAGGATGCCATTCGATAGCGCATCCGAAAATATACTAAGGGTTTTAATTCTATTTCAAAATAATGTAATATAAAATAGTTATGACAAAAACAAGTATTAAACGTTGTTTCCATGGAGGACATAGCAGGATAGCAAGTTTTCGACATTTTAGATATTTTTGCAAAAATTCTTTGGTGCCATTCGATAGAGCGTCGAAAAATATACGAAGACGTTTGTTTGTAGCAAAAAGAAACGCAAAAATGATGGCCTCTGATGCATGGCTTGAGTTCAGGTCAAAATCTCGGGCCCGGCCTTGGGCCGGGTCCAGATTTTGGCGGTAGGGACGGGCCGGACCAGAGCGCAAAATTTTGGGTGCAGGGCCGGCTCGGTGCGGCCCTTTCTATGGACCGAGTCAAGGGCTCACTTCTGGAGTTCGCAGGCAGCTGCGCCAATATGCCGCTCGACTTGACAATAGTACGTGGCGACATCGCGCTCATGGATCACCTGAAACCGTATTTTGATAATTAATACAGTTAGAATATTTAGAGGTCCTTGTGTATACCGCGAGAAAAGCATGTCTGTTCGGCTCCCCCCGCGTGGCCGACATATACTCACAAGGAGACGTTTTTAGGTGGGCACGGAGTTTCGTAACGAGACCTAGCTCATTCGAAAGAGCTTGAAAAACTGAACAAGATCCCGTTTTCCATTTCTGCGAAACGATAGCGATTGATTTTTAATAATTAAATTAAAGAATTAGCAGAAATTGGCATGATTCCCCTCGCGCGGAGCGATTTTCTTCCAAAACTCCCCTCTCGCGGAAAGCCAGGCCCCGTCTTCCCTTCCCCATAGCGATTTGGCGCAGTCGGTAGGGCGTTTGCCTCCCACGAAATTTTTTTGGACTTTTTGTCGGTTCGACACCTAGGCCCAGAATTTGTTTTGCTTTTTATTTTAGGGGGCTGAATTTTTATTTTAATTATCACAATGCGTTAAATAAACGTTCTGAACAGCATCGGTGGAGGCACAAGCGGGCCAGTTGATTTTAATCCCTGAGACGCGAGTGCAACGCTACCGGTTTCGGGCATACCTCAAAAAAAATTAATTTTGTAGTAGATTCCACATTGAAAAGCGTTCAGGAATTAAAAAGCAAAACGAATTTTGGGCATAGGGGTCGAACCGACAAAAAGTCCAAAAAAATTTCGTGGGAGGCAAACGCCCTACCGACTGCGCCAAATCGCTCTGGGGAAGGGAAGACGGGGCCTGGCTTTCCGCGCGAGGGGAGTTTTGGAAGGAAATCGCTCCGCGCGAGGGGAATCATGCCAATTTCTGCTAATTCTTTAATTTAATTATTAAAAATCAATCGCTATCGTTTCGCAGAAATGGAAAACGGGATCTTGTTCAGTTTTTCAAGCGCTTTCGAATGAGCTAGGTCTTGTTACGAAACTCCGTGCCCACCTAAAAACGTCTCCTTGTCAGTACCGAACCAAAAACGCTGTGGCCTGGGACTTACAGTAGTCAAGTAGGGGCTCCACTTGCCGAAGGCGCAGTACCACTTCTCGCGCCACACGGCACCCTCTCCGAACTCGCACGGCCAGAAATTCGCGCCATTTGGCACGGGGTCGATGTTGTTCAAGCAGTAGATCTTCGCGTCGAAGTTCTGGGCGACGAAGTCCTGAAAAACGCGTTGATATTATGCATATAGGGCACGCACCGGTCTAGTCATCGAAAACATCATGCGCCAAAAATCATCGCGCGTGTTGGGCATCGGCGCCTGCGTGGCGATCCAGTGGGCCTCGCATCCTGAAATCGGGGATGATGTGGCAACGTTGTGATGCCACGTACCTTTCAGTTTGAACATGGATGCGTTGATGTAGTCGGATCCTTTTTCGTCTGCTTCATCATAGTTCGCCAACTTGAAGCGATTGTGATCCGCGCAAGGGAATAACTGTAAAAGATTTTGGGCTAAAGTCTGGTTTACCCCCCCGCCGTAACTTTTCAGCCATGCGTCCTATTAAAGGGATACCCAACGTTTTGGCGGCAAATATATAGTTGTGTATTCCGGGGAGTACAAATGACGCGCCAATTTTGTGCGGTAATGGATGCCCAGTGCCGCACAGAATTCGGCCTCCTCTCCCCCTTGTGGCGTCCCCATCTCGACCAATGGCTTGCCACTATGGCCTAATGGGTAGCATCCAGGTCTTGAAAGCGGGGGTCCCGGGCTCGACCCCCGCCCGCGTCATGGTTTTTGCTTTTTGAGCCCCGAAAAGGTTGGGTATCCCTTTAATGCGCCGAGTCTGTCCAAATGTTCGCCGCGGTCAAATTACTATAGCCAAGTTGTTTCCTTACATCAAAAATTGTTAGAAAGTGGGTTTTCTTTAGTTAATTTTTGCTGGTCCAAGGTGAGTTTTTGTATCTCGGCTATTCTTAGTCCGGTATATGTCGGCTACGCGGGGGGGAAAATTTTACGCGGGGGGGACGGACTGTTGGGGCCGAGCTAACTATTTTTTTGCGTTTCTTTTTGCTACAAACAAAACTCTTAATATATTTTTTGACGCTCTGTCGAATGGCACTAAAGAAATTTTGTAAAAATGTCGAAAATGTCGAAAACTTGATTTCCTTCTATGTCCTCCATGGAAACAACGTTTAATACTTGTTTTTGTTATAACTATTTTATATTACATTATTTTGAGCTAAAATTAAAACTCTTAGTACATTTTTGGATGCTCTATCGAATGGCATCTTTAAAATGTCGAAAAAATAGCGCGAATGTCGAAAAACAGCCGCTCAAGCCGATTTTCAAAGCTTATTTTTGTATTTGCCATAACTTTTTTATATTACACTAATTTGAACTAAAACAAAAACTCTTAGTATATTTTTCGATGCTCTATCGAATGCCGTCGCAAAAATTCCGAGAAAATAACGAAAACATCCAAAAAAGCCTTCCTGTCCCGTCCCCCCCGCGTAAAATTGTCCCCCCCCCGCGTAGCCGACATATACCCTTAGTCCTACAGAGCTGTCAATAGTACCAAAATGTAGCTCTTGCTCTCGAGAATCAGCCTACAGTGCATTTGAGTCAAAAAATCGCCGAAAATAAAAATCTTTGAGTTTTAGGCTCCTGATATATCGAAGCATAGCGGCTTAATCTTTTCAACTTTCAAAATCTTGTAAAAAATTTTCTAACAATTTAATAATTCAGTGAACATTTCCAATATCCCTATCCACCACGATGCAAATTTTCAATTCGATCAGAGCCGAAATGGCCAAATGCCTTTTGTGATTGGGATACCCTGTAGAATAGGAAGGATCCCCTCACTAACCGCAAAGCGGTTCTTCTCCATATGGTTGTTAAATGCCTCCGTTGACGGTCGGGGTTCGGGCGTCCAGTTGGACGCCCGAGTCCATTGGTCCCATAATTCCTCCGGTCCGGTCTGGAAAATACCGCGTAGAAAAGATTCATCGCACCCAAAAAAAGGTAAGGTTATTATAAAAAGCTTTGAGTGTGGCCTCGTTCTTTTATGAGGAGCGACGCTGCCCACCTGACACACGTCCTCAACAAACTTGGCCACGACAGTCTTCAACTCCTCGGGCGCCTCCTCCCGCTCCGGCTCGAGGATCTAAGCGGCATAATAACACAGTAGGGAGCAGTGGCATACCTTCTGCCAGTCCAGATCTGGGACAGGGATCGCATTCCATTCCTTCAGGAATCGCCGGCGCAGGTAAAAACGGCCGCCGATCACTGCAAGACTGTAGACTGAAACCCGGCCAGAACACATACAGCAACCGTACAGGATGACGTTGTAAACGAGCAAGCACGGCCAGCTGAAGAGCACGGCCACGAGGCCGCCGGGCGAGGTTTCTTGCTTCTCGGCAGCTGTCGCGCCAGTCGGCGTTTTGGGGAAATCGAGCCAGCGGCAGAAAAGCTGCAAAAGCATTCTCATCTTTTTACCGGGTTGCTTTCTTTTTGGTAAAAGATTGATAAATCTTTTTTTAGTTTTTTAATACTTTTTGATTGCTAGAAGGTTATAAAAACCCATTTTTAAACGCTTGACAATGGAAAATCTTGTCCTTTTTTGGTAATTTTCATGGCTTTTTCAGCAAAAAGTCAAAAATATTCGAAAATTCTTATGATGTTTTAATACTGTTTGTATATCTAAAAACTATGTAAAAGGCTATCGAAAAAGCTATTTATTTTGTAATTTGGCCGTAGAGAATCAGAGAGAAAAATTTGGTTCCCCTTGCCCTCGCTAACAGTCCAGAACCAATTTTTTTAAAAAAGTTTTTACGTTTAGGGACAATAAAAACGTCTAGAAAGACTTCTGTTATTTGTATTAGAAAAACTGGACGCTTAGAAAAAGTTGATCCCCGCGTTAATGCAAAAGAACCAAAAAATCTGATCCTAACGCAAAGGACAGACCGCGCCCGCAACACTAAAGAAGCTTGCACGGTCCAAACGCACACTCTCACTGTCCACCAGCTTGGCGCATCTGCTCGGCTCCATTTTCAGCGCGGCCATTTGCGCCTGGTTGCTCGCCTTGACAGCCTTCTGGTAGTAGGGATTGGTGGCGCAGTTCAGGAAATAGTCGGACTGCACCTCCTCGATATGCTTGTCCTAAAGCAAATATGCGATGCAGAAGATTCTTCCGGGAATTAGTCCTTCATGAAAGGAAGCAAATGGCATTTTCCTTCGAAAGGCCTTTCCTGAAGCTAGCCGGGATCCGAAGCCTAAATTTAGGCATGCGTACGGCGCAGATACATATAATGCGTCAAGTGCCGTCATTTAATTTAGGAAAATTAGACGGAAATCTTATGAAAAGCGACTTTTACGAAAGCTTACTTGGTTAGAGTGCAGTTTACCCCCCTCCAGCCGGCACCCAACTTTTGTATCCTCGGCTCCTGTTCATCTACAGGTGTAAAGTATACCAAAATGTTCGTCTTGCTTTTGCGAGTATTTTGGTATGCTGTACACACCTAGTAAACTGCACTTAAGCCGCTGAATTTTAGAAAAAGACAAGAAGCGCACCGTCAAGCCAACAATGCGGCTGACGTCGATGCAGCGAGGGAAGATGCGATGCGGCTCTTCATGCGGCGTCCATTGGCGGAACAGGTTCACGTATGGAGATGGCAGCGCGGCATACGGGCCCAACTAAAGATTGTCATAAGAGCTCGCAGAAATATTAGCCCACCCCTTTCCGATCACCAGGTATTATCATCGGTTCCTTTTGGGAGCCGGATGGTGGGATGAGGAGGTCGAGGAGGACACACCCCTCGCCCTTCTTGGCTCCCCGAGCGTCGTAGAGGCACGGGGTGTCAGCAGCAGCGTTTTTGACGCTCTCTGGCAGCCCGGCGGCCAAGCTGAAAACACATTTGTCGCTCCACAAGGAGATGTTTTGGATCGTCGACACAGTTTCGAACGGTGAACTAGCCTATTTTTTGCAGAATTTTTCACTGATTAAAACTAGAGTGGGGCTTATTCAAATCAAATCGGCTTCAAATTGATTTGATTTGAATTAGCAAATTTGAGTGCGAAAAAATCAACTTCAAATCAAATCGATTTTATTTGAATTAGGGGCTGGCCAACTCAAATCAAATCGATTTGATTTGGGATTTGAACAACAGGCTGATCAGGGATGCAAATTGAAAATCGGCGGTTCGGAGGGTTTTTGGTAGCGCCGTTGCTGCACATTTAGGTGTCCTTTACAATAATTCATGGGGAGTTTTGATGACATAGATATAAAATTGAGCCAGATGGTTTTTTTGTCAGATTTAGCCTGCGCAATGGTTTTTCTTTGGAAAAGTTAACGGGTAAAAACAATAGGAAATGTATAAGAAATCGTTAACTGGGACGCTGGAACAATGCTAAGAGATTATAGGGAAAGAGCGGTGCACAAATTACGAGTTGCGTTGGGTTCATTTCTATGAGCTCTTATTCAAATTATTCAAATCGGCTGGATTTGATTTGAACTGGTGGAACTCAAATCAAATCGATTTGATTTGATTTGATCGGCTCCAATTCAAATCAAATCGGCTTGATTTGAACAATTTGAATCTTATTCAAATCTGATTTGAATGAGCGCCACTCTAATTAAAACCTAGTTTCAGAATCTGCGAAACGACCGCAATAAGGTTATGTTAAAGTTACGAAGCTTTGCAGGGCAAAAAAACCGCCGAAATGGGCCATTTTTTACGCTTTAAAGCTTCGAGTATTTTCATATATAAACGTTTCGCAGATTCTGACACGTACGTTTTGATTTTACGCCTGGATACGCCTTCTACCGATTGCAGACGCGCCAGCAACAACGGCAAACTTACGGGAAGCCCTTCAGCGGACGCGGCACACAGTCGAGCGGGTCAGGCAGCGGCATCCCAGCAGCGCAAAACTAAAAAAAAAGACTTTTTCGTGAGTCACGTGTGCCGAAAACCTTGATGTTGTTGAAATCCTTGAAGTCATCTGGAAATATTGGTGGATCTTCCGGGCCGAGTCCAGCGGCTTGATGCAGACTGGGCACGCATCCGATGTCGGCAGCGATCCTGAAACGTATGCTCCAAAAATGGGTAAACCGCAAGCAACCGCCCATCAGTCGACCCCGAATTTTTACATATCGGTTCCCCGTTGCCCTAAAATATTCGCCAGAGCAAGGCGAACATTTTCGTATACTTGACATTGCTGTTCACAACGGGGTGCGGAGACACATCAAAAAAAAAAAACCATGAAAACGGGGTTAAAACTTTAGTTTCCGTGATTTTCGCCCTTTTTTGGATGTTTTGAAGTCACCATTTGATAGAGCGTCAAAAAAATAGGTTAATCTGTTTTAATTGTTGCCTAAAACAATGTAGTATAAGATGGTTATAGCAAAACCCAGATTTATGCTTCGTTTCCACCCAGGAACCTGGAAACAAACGCCTGTTTTCGACATTTTCGTCATTTTCACAGTATTTTTTCAACGCCCGTCGAGAGAGCGTCTAAAAATATTCCAGGGCTTTTTAATTTTAGTCCGAAATAATGTAAAAGAAAAAATATTGGCAAAAATTCCAAATTTGCCCCCGGCCAAGCAGAACAGTACTCCGGAAAACTAAGCATGATGATCTATGCATACCCCGGAATCTGGGGTACTAGCGCAAAATAGTAAGCCAGAATTCAGCGTCTGATCCGGCACCCACGGTGGAACCATGAAGCCGACATCGCACTGCACGTGGTAGCGAAGAGAAATTTTCAGCTTCGTGGCGTCGTACGGGGAGGTGCTCCTGCAAAAAAAAAGATAAGGCACAATCACGGTTGTTTACAATAGATGTTCGGGGCAGGTGCCGTCGACGACCATCTTTCGGGTGCACAGGTTGAACGGGAACAGCTCCGAATGCTCTGCAAAAAGGCATTGAATCGGGCGTCAACGGCTCGAATACCTTGGCCATCTGTCACGAACGAGACGGGCTTCAAACAATGGCTCGACTTGGTGTACCCCTAAATACATTAGGGAACTTCCAGCCGAGCTTACGCAAGCATCATCTTTTGGAGTGCATTTGGCCACAGCGCGGCCGCTTGCATCGTTGACGAGGCTGCGTAGGTCATCTGCCCGTCCGTCGAGCAGTTGGCATTCATCCAAGTCGCAATTCTCGCACTGAATAATGGTCGATTAAATATATAAAACAATCATGTCTGTGTGGGTATATTTGCATGCAATTTCCGTGAGGATGTTCCGCACCTGCAGGTTCAGGGGAACATTTTTCGATAGGGAAGAAACCTCATTAGGTAAAGAAGGGGCCAGAATCGGCCGCACGCCCATAAAATCTTTGAAAAATTCCTTTTTCGCTATTAAAAACTGTTTTTGTAAAATCGTCGGTGACCCTCTCTGTTAGGAAACAACTAGCATATACCGGAAGGTGGATAGCCTATATAAAGGAAGAGAGGAGTCGTTTTTCACGGTTTTGCCTGCTGGATTTTCGGGGAGAATCATGCAAGCTGAAGGCTTTCATCGGTCCTAGACGGGGCCAGGGTTGAAGAGCCGCGACGCGGCTTCTCAACCCTGGTGGCAAGCTGAAACCAACCCCTGTGTCTGAAATGCTGCTCTTCTTGCTCGCAGCACCAGCGGGAAGGCCATCGATTATGCTCTTCGCCACGCAGGCAAACGACTCCCTACCGCGACACTAAAGCACCGGGTATAGGTATGCCGTATAGCCTTACGGCGCGCTTGACACGCAGCGAATGGTGTGCGGAGAAGTCTTCAGCCTGGCTGACGATGTCCTTGCTGGGTGCATTGGATTCCGTGGACGTATGGCGGTGAGACCTGAAATCTACCATACAGGGTGTTCCAAAAAAAAACGACCCATCTGGCATTTCGCCGTATTACATCCAATTGGCCCCAAATTTGGACCAGAGGTGTATCACACCCTAAATAACACCAATCCTGACTTTTAGCCCCATTGCTACAGTCGTTTTAAAGTTATAACAAAAATCAACTTTACCTCGAAACCTCGAGACCAAAACGCGCCTCGTAGTCTAATTAGCAAGAAAGGCATTAAACATGAGCCGAAAAATAGCGGAAGATAAAAATCACGGCGGGGAGGGGCTAACCAGACCTTAGAAGGTCTAGGTAAAATGAAGGTAAAAAGTTTAAATCGCGATTTCGGTAAAATGCACTCAAGCTTTGGCTAATTAGCCAAATAAACATTAACAGTCAAAAGAACGCGGGCAGTTTAGGGTAGAGTTGTTATAACTCAAACAACAAACAACAAATTATTCAAACAACTCAAACAAGTTTGCTTTGTTTGAGCTCGACAAGTTTCAAACAAAACAATCTTGTTTGATTTGAGTTCCAGGGGGATCAAGTCAAACAAGGTTGTTTGACTTGTTTGAACTTGTTTGAGCACCCTAAACTGTGAGATTTTTGCGGATTTTTCGATGGACCGGAAGTGGATTCAAACATTCAAAAACAAATTTCACGGGAAAAAATGTATGCTAATTGCAAAAATACTAAAAAAACCCGCTTTACATCCAAAATTAGCATAGATTTCAAACAAGGTCAAACAAAACTCAAACTGCTCAAATAGTTCAAACAATCTTGTTTTGTTTCAGCGATCAACGGTCATCTCAAACAAAACATGTTTGATTTGAATCTCCAAAATCCCACGCAAACAACATTGTTCAAACAAGCTTGTTTGAGGCCTTGTTTTGTTTGAGTTATAACAACTCTAGTTTAGGGGCGTTCGTGGTTGGTAGTTTCCCTAAGTAACCGATCACTGATACTAATAAAATGCCACGCTACCGGTATTGTATCAAAAAAGAACAACAACAAACGTACGACGTGTCTGGTGGAGAATCAGCCGGAGAGCTGGCAGCCGACGGGAACACGGAGACGGGCTGGAACACGCCGCAGAGCAGCCAGACCACGAAGAGTCCGCGGACGAGTCGGTGGCCGAACATCAGAAGCGTGGCGAGCTGATAAAAATGAGGCTCTATTCGATTCGCTTTTGCGACAGCCTCTTAGGCAAATTAGGACCCGCTTCCGGTGCATTTCCTGAATGCATTCAAGCTGGAATCAAATGGTTTATGCAACTTGTCGGTTGGTCGGTCAAGGGCCGTTTTCCCCAAACGGACCAACTTTTTTCTCAGGATCTATTTTTCTAACGTCTGTAGAGAAAGTGCTTCTAAATTGCTTCTACTTATCCTTAGCGTCAAAACTTTACAATCTGGATTATAAAGATACAAGAAAAATCGATTTTTGGACTCAAAAAGGCCGATTTTTGGCCAAAATTTCAACTAGAAATCTTTGCTAAGGGTTTTTGGATATAGAAAGATAGAAAAGTAGCTGTAATCTAGTTTAATTTAATTGAAGACAGTATTATAACATTAACTATTACGCCACTAGGAGTTTCTGAACTTATCGAAAAAGGTTGGTTTCCCCGCTAGCGGTCTTGTGAAAGAACCCCAAAAAATGGTCCCTGGCTTGGTCACGGCACCGAGACGGTACTCTCTCGAAGCGTGTCTCGAGAATGGAGTGCTAAGTTAACGACGTTTCAGATGAAGCCGCCGCTTCTTCATGGTCGTTGACCTCACCGGCAAGGCGCGAACTTCTCTCGTCTCGCCCGAACCTACCGTGCCGACATTAGAGAGTGGCACCCGGCATTGGCATCGAGAAGGCACCGGCTGCGAGGCGTAAACCGCGATAGGCGTTTTTTATTACAATAATACTTTTATACATAGATTTGGTTGAAACCCGGCGTTGAACAATAAATACGATGCGCGATGGCGATGATGGCAATGCGCGACAACGAATGAGCGGATAATCCCCTCAGGTAACGAATTCGACGAGATAGCAGGACAGTTTTTTTTAATGGGCTGCCGACGGCATGTTTCGATGCCCCCCCATCAACAAATTCACAAGTAGCCAACAGGGCAGAGAGCACGCCCAGGGGAGAGGCGCAGAAACATTTTTTTTCCAGCGCGTAACCGATTGACTATGCCGTCGGTATCCCTTTAACGGTTCGATAACTTTAGGCCTCAGGCCAAAGATAGTTCTTCGCGTGGTCAAACATACGCCGGCGCGTACGTTTTACCGGTCCTCCAGCCGGAAGGTTTTTTACAATATTTTAGGCTGAAATTAAAACTATTAATATATTTTTCGACGCTCTATTGAATGGTGCTGTGATCCCAAAAAATAGCGCAAATAGCGAATTCGAGACCCTGGGGCGGTGGGGCGGGGGGGAGTAAAGGAAACTCTTACCGTCTTAGGCTAACAAGGAGACGTTTTTTAGTGTCCACGGAGTTTCGAAATGGGACCAAGCCTATTTGATGCAGAATTTTGCTCTGGTGAAAACCCCGTTTTCAGAATCCGCGAAACGACGAAAATAAGGAAGTTATAAGGAAGGGCGCAAAACGGGCAAAATTTGGCCATTCTGGCCATTTTTGACACTTTAAAGCTTCATAACTTTTGAAATACGGTAATCAGATCAGCGTTTTGTGCGTTTGTGCGTTTTGATCAGCGAAAATTCTGCATAAAATAGGCTTGCTCCCATTTCGAAACTCTGTGGACACTAAAAAAACGTCTCTTTGTAAGCCCGGTTTGGCCTCTTTTCTGTTCGCGCCGAAATTTCGCAAGTTGCTAAACTTTCCCCGGGATCCTAATTTTTTGCCATGTTCGGAGTTCGCAAAAAGCTTGCGATTTCTCGTTCCGTACTGAACTGTGAGCAGGGGCCAGGATTTTTTCCCCTTTAATACCTAGTTATTAAGAATAAAAAGGTATGGTTTTCGTAGTTTTTGATTTCGGGAAAGTTGGCAAAAGTATTTTAAACATTTTGGGCAACTCGTAAAAATTTGAAACATCCTGTAATTTTTTCTTATCTCTCTTCTGACTGGCCTCTTTTTATAGCGCCCCTGCCAAAAACCCGGTGCACCGGGGGCAAAATCTCTGGCAGCGGCCGGGATGGACGGTTGGTTGGTTGCCCTTGGTCGGGTGGTGGCTGGCTGAGCTGTACGTCCCCCTCTGCCCTCAAAATGAGGGGGACAAACTCTTTAGATCGTCAGATATTAGGCTTTCGGTCCTCGGAGTGCGCGACGCAGCACCAGCACACCCAAGCAGCCCACCCCACCCTGGACTCAAATTTCGCCGAAGGTTCTTTGAACTCGACCACACCGCACCACCCGATACCAGGTAATCGTTTTATTTTGGAATTCTGGGCGCTATTGCGGTTTGCTGGCCCCACTTATATCGGGCGAAAACTGATTGTTTCCGGGCTAGTTTTTTGCGCTGATTACGAAAAACACTACCACAGTTCGTAAAATGTGCGTTAGTAAAAAATATAGATACATATATACGTTTTTATACCCCGGGGCCGGTAGTCGCCCGATTGGGCAAGCTTGGGATGGTGCAAGCTGGTACAGGTTTCGAAATCAGGGCGCGCCCAAAGGCGCGCGGGTAGCGCCAGGCGCCACGACTTCGGTGTCGGAAGTGGAGCGGCAGCTCCATCCGGAAGCGACGCCTGCCTGGCTTTACAACGCTACAAGAAACCCTAAAGCCTCTGGCGACGGGGATTAGTTTATGTAATTTTATGTCATCCACCGGCTCTTTTGTGGCGTACCGTCGAAGCGTTTAGGCTAGTACCGTGGGTATAAAAACGTATATATGTATCTATAATTTTTACTAACGCACATTTTACGAACTGTGGTAGTGTTTTTCGTAATCAGCGCAGAAAACTAGCCCGGAAACAATCAGTTTTCGCCCGATATAAGTGGGGCCAGCAAACCGCAATAGCGCCGAATTCTGAAATCCGTGTTTCTAGGTATTTCGGCTGAGCGGCTGCAGATACAACGTTCAAGTGTCGCGACAATCGGTCCCTAAGCAGGCGAAGATGACCGTGTTGGCGACCCCGGAAGAACGAATGTACGATCCCCCCGATATACATAGACTTTAGCAGAGAAGGTAAGGGCTGAGGGAGCCCAGGGAACCGAAATTTTTTTGTCGCAGTATTGGTTAGGAAAGCCGTAGATCATATTAAATCTTGTAGTAATATACTAGGAATAGTATAATAGTTCAAAATTAAGGTTAGCGATACTTTGATGGCTAGACTTTACTATAACAGCCTCCCCAACCGGAAGTTCCCAAGATCTTTTCGCTATAACTTTTTTAAATTCCATGATTTTCGGCTGTGATTAAAACTCTTATTTTATCGATGCTCTATCGCAACCAAAATCCCGTTAAAATAGCGGAAATGTCGAAAAATTTTGGGAACTTCGGGGGGGGGGAGGCGGGCGGGCGGTAAAGCAAGTTCTAGCCACTTTAAAATACTTCCAGAAGCCCCTCAGCTCCTTGAGCTCTCGGCTCCCCGGGCTCCCTCAGCTCGAGCTTTACTAAATGCCCCCTTGGAAGCCTGTCAATTCCAGCGTTCCTTATATCAGTTTAGCGGACCCACTTTGATTTTCCACCGATCCTCGGCTAGTTTGACGCGCAGAGCTCGAAAACGAGCGCCCTATTTTGATTTTAGGCCAAAAGTTCGAGCTCCGAGCGTCAAACCACCCTAGAATCGGTGGAAAAACGCAGGCTGAAAAGCGTCGGTCAAGTGAGTCGCTAAACCGGAAGGGCACCGCGTTTTTAGTGAAATTTAACCATATTTCAGCCAGAAAAATTGTAAAAACATTGTAAAACATGTCTAAATATTCGAAGTTTGATGATAAATCCGCAATTTTGCGCGAAACTCGGAGATTTTTGCAGTGTTATTTAAAAGAAATTGGTAATAAGGTTTAAATTGTTGGAATTTGAGCGATCCGACCGATTTCTAGCGCTTTAACCACAGCAAGGGTTTAAATTCAAGCCTTTTTCGGATTCGATGAATTTTAGATGTAAGTGTGGCTCGAAATTAATAGTGGCAAGCAATACGGTATTTGGTTTCTTATCTCTATTTTTTTGCAGCGCCTTTTCCTTCGGCGCCACCTCGCTACTCGCCCATCTTTTGACCAAAATCCTGGTCTGCCGCTTTTATTTCCAGTTCCCCATCGCAATACATGTGCTCCAGAATTTGGCAACGTTGTTTTACATCGAAACGCAACGGTGGGGCTTTTCTATGCGCGGCCAAATTTTTTAAACCGAACGCAAAATTATATCGGTAAGACGGAAAATAATCCGGAATTTTTTAGGGCGTTTGACAAGGTCGACCTGGGCCCCTATGCCTGGGAACGGGGCCAACAGCTTGCTGTTCCTTCGCTACTATTTGCAGGTCGGTTAGTGCCTAGAATCTACTGGGTTTCCCAAAAAAGACATCTCCCCCACCTAGCGGTGCGCTGATATGTCAGATTTATACGATTCAGGTAGCTATCGAGAAACTCTCGACGAGCGCAGGATATGTATGTGCTGTGCGATTTTCGAAATTCCGGAATTTTTTCGCTAATTTTCGGCTTTTTTTGATAGCGTATAAAAAAGCTCAATTTAATCGTCTTACGTGCTATTCCAGCTGTTTTCTCAAATGGCTTTCAAACAGCTGTCGTTGGGCTTTCGCAAAAGGCGTGAAACATAAATTCTGATTTTATAAGGAAATCCTTGCATCGCCAAAGCAGCAACAATTCGCAAATTTCGCAAAAATATTAGCAATTGTGAAAAAAATTCGGGTATTTCAAAAATCGGTAGGAACATTTCTTCTCAGCTTGTCGAAGGCTTTCGATAGATACCTAAATCATAAAAAGCGGACACGTCTGCCGACCGCTAGGTAGGGGTTTCATTTGAGACACCCTGTATTTTAGCAGCAAAGAAATAAGCCGCTCGGTTTTTCCATTCCCTTAATTCCAGCCTCATCATGGCTATGGACTTCTTCGCTTGAAGGGCTGGCCACACCATCATTCGCGTCTTTTTACAGGTATGGTTAGGCCTTTAATTTTTTGTCGCATTATCGGGGGTGGCGGGCGGGGGGATGGGCTTTTCTAGTATACGACAAGGAATGGCGAGTAACTGAATAGCAAGTGTTTTGATAGTGTTTTTACTAAACTACTATAATTCAACCTATAAACCTGGAAAACCTATAAAAAAAAACTTTTTAAAAAAGTCCAAATTGAAGAAATTGAAAGAAAAAGAAGCTGATTCCAGCTGGAACTCGGTGCTCGTACTCGTGATCGGCGGGTTTCTCCTCAAGCACCGCGGATCTGCCCATCGCGGCATTTTCAGCGTGCTCGGATTGGCGCTGTGCACTGCAGTGGCAGGTCAGGTCAAATTTTTTCATTTTTAAAATCGTTTGGGGTTTAGCGAATCTCCACCTGGCCATCGACGGACCGTCATTGTTTTATGGGGGTGCGGCCGCAATCTGCCAAGCCGCAGCCTGGATTTGGGTAGGAAGTCCCCTCTATAAAAAAAATATTATTACGCTCTATTTAGCTTGAAAAGCTGACAGCCACAATCTCGACAATGGAAATAACCTACATTACCAGCTTCAACTCTCTACTCCTATTTTTCCTGTGCGACCTAGCGAAGGTACCTTACATCAAGCGTCTGCTGAAAGCCAGGTTTTCGGCTTTTAAACATACATTCAGGGCGATATTCGCGAAAGCTTCATGTTTATGATGTCGACGTCCGATATTCCGTTCTACTTCTTCATGTCGTGCTTCTTACTTACTAGTGTTCGACTGAATGTGGGGTTTTCTAGGCCTTCATGGCTTCCTAAAACTTAAGTTATATGATAGTTTTCCAGTTCCAAAGAATCGAATGCTTGGCGGCGACAGGTTCCTTGACAACTGCCGTTATCACCAACATCAAAACTGCGCTTCAGGTAAAAACGGCATGGGTATTGGGCGACACAAAACGGAGCAATCATAGCATCGCCCAACTTCAGAAATTTGCGTAGAAGATCTCATTTAGATGATCTTGTCCTACTACCTGGGCGCGCAGAAGTTCTACGATTTTTGGGGCGGACATCCCCACCCGGTGCACTGGTTGGCGTTACTCGGGACAATCGGTTAGTTGCCCGAAGAGTTAGAAACCACTTTCGAAAATCCGTTAACCGGCATTCAACCGCACGATTTAGTGTTCGCCTACATCTACTTCCGCCAACGAACGGCCCAGCAAAGCGCAAAACCTTACGGGCTCGTCGCCGAAATGGCCGTTTTTGGCGCCTTCTCATTCGCGATGCTCGTTTTCGGATAAGAAAATACCACATATAGTCGTGCCGCTTTATCCGGCATCGACCGTCAACGAATCACAAACAAAAACTCAACAAGCAAAAAAAATGCACACATCGGGGGAGGAAACGGATCAGGGTTTGTGCGAAAATACAGCAAAAATTATGCAAGGTCGAAGTCGTCGAGTTGATCGTTGTAGGCGAGCACTTGGGCGCGAATCTTCGACGTGCGGCACCATGTGATCATGTCTTCCTGAAAAAAAGAGTAGAATTTTTCTTGATAAATGACCTCCACCCTGAATTTCTAGACTAGTAAAAAATACTACAAGGTTCTTTAGGATTCCCGGGGGACAAATTTTTTTCGGCGAAAGCCTAGATTTTTGCATAAATTGCGGATGCGTTTCTAAATTGTTTTTAACTATTCCTGTGCATAAAAACTACACACATTTTAACCAAAAAAATGTAAAAAAAGACCCAAAATGACCAAATTTTCGACTTTTTCAAACATTTTTCTAAATTTTTCTGAAAGTTATTCTGCTTTAAATATAGTTAAAACTTACTAAAAACAATTCGAAAACACTTTATATTTGATTACTAGGTCAACCGGGACCACCAGGAAAAAAAAAATTGGTCCCCCCCCCGGGAATTTTTCTCGGGAGGGCTGGATCGCTATCCGCTACGACATCTAAAAGCATACTAAGATCCGTTGTATGAGTTCAACATATCAATGTACAAAAGCTGGAGAAAAACATGAGTTTGAGTTTTAGCTAAACTAACAATCACGTAAGGAAAAGTTTCCCCCCGCTCGAAACAGAACAACACTCGATTTCCATAAAGGAAATTATTTGCAACCAACGCCCAAAACCCGCTACGCGGGCCTTGGGCGCTGGAATGCGGCCTTTGCATGAGAAATTTGACTTTCCGATAGCTTGGGTCCTTCGGATCCCTCCCTTCCTCCGACCACACCCGCGCGTGCAACTTGCAAGAATGAGGAAATTTGCATTTTTTGGAATTATGCAAATTAGCCCTCCCTGGCGCCGGACACACACACAAAGATACGCGACCAAATTATATAAGGTAGGATTCGGTTGCGCAGCAAACCGGAACCAAACGTCAAACGCTACCTGTGCTCGTGTAACCATAAATGCGGGGTCGGTGACGAGCTTGGCTCCGACGCGTACGTGGCCTTGTTCGACGAGATCGCTGGCTTGTCGTACGTTCGGCACCATCGCCGTGCGCTTCATCACACAGGGCAGCCGCCGTCGTGCAAAAGAAGAGCCGCTGATCTAAAAGTTTCGACGTTAGACCCAAGCCGTCAAATCAAAGGCTCCTAACCAGGCCCGTAGCGGAACCGAAATTTCGGGGGGGGCCCAAAAATTTTGGCGACCTCCCCGGTCACCACTTTTAAAACATCCGAAAATCCAAAAAAATAGCAAAAAAGCGTTCGCTACACTCAAATTCGTGTGAAAACCAGGCAGAAAACGCGCCGCAGGCGAAACTTTTTTATGAACAATTGATTCACCAATGAAAAACCAGCGCCGCAGGCAAAAAAAAATTGAAAAAATAGGCTTCATATAAGTAAAAACTGTTTGAAAAACAGTAATAAAGAGCGCCGCAGGCAGAAAAATTTTAGTAACTAAAAATCATAAGGGTCCCCCCTTATGAATTTTTCAGACCTTGACCGATTTCGGGGGGGGCCCAGGGCCCCCTGGCCCCCCCCTCCTACGGGCCTGCTCCTAACAAATAAAAAACATACTCCAGACAACTTTTCCAGTGTATCAGCAGAGGCAATCAACCCGTGCGAATAAAGCTTGGCGAGCAGCTCTTTGGTTTTCTGTTCTCGGTACGCCGATCCCTGCGGCAAATCTTTCAGCTTCGACGCGATGGTCCGCACCTAAAAGAAAGTAAAGTAATTTTCCACAGCAAAGATACGTTGTCTGCCAAGCGGTTGTAGAGGGCGTAGTGCTCGCGCTTCGTCACGTGGTACTTGCGCATCATGTCGGCTTGCCGATTCTTCTGATCAACCTAAACAAACCAAGGTTCTGCCAGGAAAGTATCCACTTACCTCCCATGTGATAAAGTCAGTCTTCTTGAGGAGCTTCTGCTCGTGGAACTTCAGTTTCCGGACCATGTTGGCCTGAAAAGATGGCTTGAAAAACGACGAGTCAAACTCGGCGGGAAGAGAGAACGATATATTGATACTTCCAAAGAAAGTGAGCGGCATGGTATAAGTGAAATCAGTTTTCGGCTGGGTAAAAATTAAAATAATTTAGCAAGTATTCAACCGCGTGTAGCTTGTAGCCGGCATGGGCGCCTAACCCACGCCCCAAAACCAAACGCTCTTTGCTCGAGGGGTCGCAAAGGGCCGGGCCGTGTCTTGCCCAAAGCGTTCGAGGCAGAGAGACGGGAAAAAAGATTGATGGGGATGTAAAAAAGAAGGAAAGACGAGGCCGGTGCCCAGTGGGCATAAGGCTAGACGGCCAAATCGAGTTCCGCGGCCGAGTTTTCGAGAAACGCCACGCTTCGTGGGCACTCGGAAAGAACGTGATAAAAATGGCTGCCTCCCGCTCCCTGATGCGTTTTTGAAGGATTTCGTCCGCCGCTTCCCCAAATACCTTTTTTTTCAAGGTTGTAGGCTAGGCGTGTACTTGTATTTCCCCCCGACTAGCCGCAGAAATAAAGCCGAAATCCATTTCCTTATTTGTTGTGCCACTATTTTGCCCTTTACACACTAAATCGCGACGAGCGTCGAAACCCAGGATTCGTCTAATTGGTGAGATAGATTTGGCCCGATAAAACCCAACTCGTACCCCAGCCCGCAGCGCCGATCGCTTATCAAATCTAGCATTGCGATTTTGTTTGTCACAATTCGCGGTCAACAACTAGGGCAGGCCGGTCATTGAGGGGTCTACTTATCCACAGAAATAGATGTCTTACGCCTTTCCAAAAATTAATGGGGGTTTCGTTTCCCGGAGAAAGTCTGGCCGCCTAAGTGGTTTCCGGCTTAACTAGGCTGTCGCACGAAACATAGATCACAAACTCAAAATTCGCAGGTGTTGGATCAAATCATGCGTTTATTAGCACTGAAATAACGTTAATGAGCGCGAAATAGTAAAGGGAAAAGGTTTGCAATTTTCGATTCTTGTTAGATACTACAGCTTTTAAAACTATTTTAGACCATTTCGAAAACAAAAACACCAAAAACAAACTTTTCTTAGAATTTTTTGGCGGCTTGGGTTTCATCGTTCGCTTGTTTGCTAAAAAGCGCGCTTTGCACATAGGCGCCGCTCGTACTACCGTAATTTCATCACTCTCCGGGCAGTTCTGGGTCTTCGGGATTTTTGCATCATCGCTCGCGGCAATTTTGCGTTTCGTCATGCGCGGCGCATACATTTAGCTTTCTAAGCATTTTGCCAATTGTTTTCTTCTATTCACATAAAATTCGGCACTACTTCAGTTTGCTGGCCCCACTTATATTTCGCCAAAACCTCATGTTTCCGGGCTAGTTTTTTGCGCTGATTCCGAAAAACACTATCCCGAATCGTCAAAGTTGTGTTTTGAAGGGAAAAACAAATTTCATTGTCAGTTTTCATGGTTTGAGTTTCAAATGGTTAACTAGGGCGTTGAAGTGGGAGGCCTATGAAACGGGGAAAACCCTATTTCCAAGAAGGCTTATCCCTTGCGTTCGTTTTTTCCTAAAAATAAGGCTTCGTGCCACCCGGGGCCTAGTCGCTTCGGATGGGTGCGAGCTCGTACAGGGTTTCGAAATCGGGGCGCCCGAGGCGCGCGCAGCGGCCAGGCGCCCCGATTTCGAAAGAGTGGAGCGGCAGCCCATCCGAAGCGACGGCCCGCCTTGCCTGACAATGCTACAAGCTATTTTTTCTTGGTAAACCAGTTTTTGGTTATTTATTTAGTTAAAAACCCACAAAAGTACGAGTTTTTCGCAAGCGCCGTAAAATGGAATTTTCCCGATATTCAATAAAATATTAATTTAATATTTTTTCCTAAATAGCATTTTCGCGGGCTAGGATAGTGTTTTTCGTAATCAGCGCAAAAAACTAGCCCGGAAACATGAGGTTTTGGCGAAATATAAGTGGGGCCAGCAAACTGAAGTAGCGCCTAAAATTCTTTTGCAAAACCTGACCACCACGGTGGCTTGTTTATCACCCGATTTTCTTTTTCTCGGGGGGTCAGTCCACGGGCGCCGCCACATCGATCTGACGCCGACCGGGGCAGCTCGATTTTTTAGGCCCGCTGTCCCGCCCCTCTCACTATTTTTCGTGAAGGGAGCGCTGCTCGGGGGGCCCCGCCTCGAGTACCCTTTCCCCTTCGTCTTGCCATTTCCGCACAAACAAGTGCTCTGGGGGGCCGGATATCACCGTCGCAAGTTTCGATCCAAAATTATATGCGCTTTTTATGACCATTTCCAAGTCAATTGGGATCCCATTTGTGGTGTCTTTTCCATACTAGCCCCCAACCCTCTCCAATGTGTTCACTTGCTCCTGCAGCTTTGCATTGTGCGCCTAATTTCGGTTCTTTTTCAGGTAAGATGACGAAGCCGCGTGTTGGTATCAACGGATTTGGCCGCATCGGGCGATTGGTGCTGCGCGCCGCCGTCGAGAAGGACACGGTCGAGGTCGTCTCTGTCAACGACCCCTTCATCGATATTGGTTACATGGTATTTTTCTGGCCGCTGGTTTCTACATTTGTTTAGGTCTACATGTTCACCTATGACTCAACGCACGGTCGCTTCAAAGGCGAGGTCAAGGCTGATGGCAACACCCTCATCGTCTCCAACGGCAAAACCACTCACAAGATTGCCGTCCATAACAGGTATCGCCTTATGTCGGGCCGGGGATTTTGGCTCCACTAACAAATTACCGTTATTTTGGCACAGGCGGCTAGCGACCCAATAAAATTGTTTTTAACTCGCCGCTTGCTTCGGCTTTGTCATGTTCGCACGCAACTGGGCTATTACAACTGGCCCCCTTGTGAAGAGGTCACCAAGAAAGAAGGGTTGCTTTCTTACTTGGGGATTCATAGCCGCATTGCACATTTCAGCGCGGGGTTTTCGGCCCGGCTACATCTTATAGGCCTTCTAATAGTTGTTTTGCCGTTGTGATCCAGCGTAATATAACATGCTTTCAGCCGCGACCCGGCCGAGATTCCATGGGGTCAGGATGGAGCCGACTTCATCGTCGAGTCGACCGGCGTTTTCACCACCATCGAGAAGGCATCTGCTCACCTGAAGGGAGGCGCCAAGAAGGTATAATTTTCCACCAATTTCATCATGTTTGTCCATCTAGGTCATCATCTCTGCCCCCTCCGCCGATGCTCCGATGTTTGTCATGGGTGTCAACGAGTCGCTCTACAACAAGGAGAACGACCATATCATCTCCAACGCCTCGTGCACCACCAATTGTCTGGCCCCGCTCGCCAAGGTTGTTCACGACAACTTCGGAATCCTCGAAGGTAATTTCGGTTTTTTTTCTCGTAGAGTAAGCTGATCATTTTAACTCTCGATTGGGAGCTCTGTCGGCAGCGCTCAGTAAGCAACGCACCCGTCTCCTTGTAAGCTAAAGCGGGCTCATTCGGCCCTTCCTCCCAGGGTTGATAGCGCTGCTGACAGAGCTCCTTCAAATGCATTTGACCAATTACTTATTTCCTATTTTGTCCTTTTCAGGCCTCATGACCACCGTGCACGCCGTGACGGCCACGCAAAAGACTGTCGACGGGCCCTCTGGCAAGCTGTGGCGCGATGGACGCGGAGCCGGCCAGAACATTATCCCAGCCTCCACCGGAGCCGCCAAGGCTGTTGGAAAGGTATCGTCTTTGGTTTTACGGTTTACGTTTGTTATTTTCAGGTGATCCCCGCTCTCAACGGCAAGCTGACTGGCATGGCCTTCCGCGTGCCCACCCCTGACGTTTCCGTCGTTGATCTCACCTGCCGCCTGGAGAAGCCGGCTGATCTCGATGCCATCAAGAAGGTCGTCAAGGAGGCAGCCGAAGGCCCGCTGAAGGGATACTTGGGCTACACCGAGGATCAGGTACCGATTTCCTTCTACGCAAATCATTTTGTTCTAGGTTGTGTCCACCGACTTTGTCGGCGACACTCGCTCGTCCATCTTTGATGCCGGAGCGTGCATCAGTCTCAACCCGCACTTCGTCAAGCTCGTCGCGTGGTACGACAACGAGTATGGCTACTCCAACCGCGTCGTCGACCTCATCTCTCACATTGCCAAGGCTTAAATTTGTCTACTGTGTCCCATACTGTTTTTTCTTAGCTTGTGATTTTGTGCATAGTTCGCAGTGAATTCAATAAAGTGTTTCTCGAATACGACTTTATGCAAATGATCAGGGCAGGGGGATTGCGGGATCGACAGCGAACTAGATCGCTAGAAGTTCTTGTAGATCTCGGGGGTGGGTGAGTGAGTAGGGATGCCAATCTGCAGAGCCCTGGTAGGAGGCATATGGGGAACGGGTAGGGGTATCGGGTTTACGGGGCGGGGGCAGAGGTGGAGGGCGTGGTGGGCGATTCGGCAGCTGGGGTCGGCGCAGCGGATGGCGCCGGGCTGCTCTCCTCCTCGGCGGCTTCTGCATCGGTGCCGGTCTTCCCCTTGGAGAGCGCCATCAGCTCTCGGTTTTTGACGCGCAGCCCCTTGGTGTATTCCGCCATGCGCTTCTTGTGCTGGTCGTGCTGGAAAAGTGGTGTTGCTTCTAGAAATCTTATTTTTTGGGGCCCAGCCAGTTATCTCGTAAAGACATCATTGCCAACTGACCAACGGGTCCGCCCAGCCGTTTTGCCAGCCAACGTTTCGGCCGAACGCTTTGCCGGCTTTGAAGACGCCGCACGAGGTGCGATCCTCAGCTTCAGCCTTCCTGCAAAATTTGGGCTAATTGGCCGGCGTGCCCAACACGACATACCTGGCTTTGACCAGGCCATTTTCGTAGGCGAGCATTCGGAGTAGTGCAACGATCCCGGCGAGCCCTCCTATAAGTACATCCGGAGCTTATCTTTAGCACAATTTCTTCGCTTTTAGAGGTATTATAATATATTTCTACCAGAGTGCTATATTTCGTCGATTTAAAATGTTTTGCTTTTCTTGGCGGAGCGTGAGCAGCGTGAATATCTATTGACTTCTATCAAAATTTAAAAAAATTCAAAAAGGCAAAATTTTGGTACAAAAACGTTCGAAGTTTGCACGTTTAGGAAAATAGTTAAAACCATGCCAGCACACAGCCTACCGCCGACAAGAAGAATTGATAGCAGGCCAGTGGCGATGAGCGGTACGATGTCGATCGGCGCGTCGTCGCCGCCGGAAGGCGCCGAGGTCGGTTCCGTCTGGTGGATGCTGCGCTCCAAATTCGGATCTACGCTCTCCTCCGCCATGCAGAACCGCTGAAAACGGATCAAATAAAAAAAACGAAAACCAATAGACGACGAATTAGTTGGTTGCTCGAGGGTCTTTAGTATTTCCGGCTGAGACGTGTTTGTTTAGAAAAATGTCTGAAGTCGAAATTTTGGTCATTTCGGAAGAGTTTGCAAGGGCACCATAATGTACTCTTGATCTATAGTGTAAGGTGAGCAGCAAACGTACGTCTGGGGCGCAAAAAATAGGCGAGCGTAAGCCTAAGCCTAGGCCTAAAACCTAAGTGAGCGCACTTTATAGCGTGGAAATCCGATAAAATCGCACCGCTTTGGCATCATCCGCGTTCTTGCACGCTTCCGCCTTGATGGAGAGCGCATCCTTCTGCTGCGGTGGCCCCCAGAGATAGAAGGGGTTCTTCTTGCAGTCGAGGAAGGTGTTGTTCTCGAACAGGGCCAGGTGCTGCGGCTGCAAAAGGAGGGACTGTAACGTCCGAAAAACAAGAAAACAGAGTGGAAATCACGAGGCTGAACACGCTCGGGCTTACTGACCAGCAGCTTGTCCTTGTCGACGATCAGGCACTTTGGGTACCAGACCGTCCTCTCGTTGTTGCCGGTAGTAGTCGGTGCGCGCCATTTCAAGTTGAGCGTGTCTTCGTTGCTCAGCAGCTTGGCGTATGGCGGCGACTGAAATGAACGTTGTATGGAGGCTCGCTCACCGGACGAGGAATTGGTCTCGTTGAATGTTTTTTGCTATTCCCGAGCCTAGAAACTTTGAATTTGAATTTTAAGTCGAAAAATCGTTCTTTTTTCTCTCAAAAAACGTCGAAAATGTGGACTTGTCAATATTTCTCCGACTTTCTGAGAGTTTCTCTGCTTCCAATAGAGAACAGGCAAAGGACTGGACGTTAGGAAGGGGGAAACCAGGCCTTGACAACGGGCCCGGCCAAATCCCGAATTTCAGGCCCGGGCCGGAAGAGCGGCAAGCACGTAAGAAGACCGTGTAAAACGCCATCACAATGGCTTCTGTTTTGTTAAAAGGCCCGTACAGGATTACCGGAAAAGTAGCTTTCCTTTGCCCCGCTAAAATATCGAGACTCTAAAAAATGGAAAATCGCTGTTTGTTTCGCCTTGCTAGATACATTTCCGCAAACGCTCTCGGCTCACCCTCAGACGGTATGCGGTGTAGAACTTGGGGGCGACGTAAATTTCGAGCGGCAAGCACGCGTCGCTCCCATCAAAACCGTGGCTACGGTACTGGCAGCTGGGCAGGTAGATTGACGGCTCGGGGATCAAGTAGTTTTCCTCCTCGTGGACGTCGGGAGACAGGTAGTAGCTGAACAGGAGGAAACATGTGGTAAACGTTTAAAAAAAGGCGTTCATACTTGGAGCCTGCAATGGGGCGCGGCGCGCAATTCGGCGGCATCGGTCCAGCCGTGGGGCACCACTGAAAAATGATTTGCGGTGGAAAAAATATAAAAACCTACCAATATTTGCGGAGCTGAGGGTAAATTTTCTTAAGAATCAAACATTTTTCGACCCAGTGACTGAATGAGCAAATTTCCGGCTTTTGGCAACATTTTTCTAGCTTTTTTGAAAGTCTTGCTTTGAATATTGCTAAAAGATGCTAAAAACAATAGAAAAACGCTCTTATGAGCAAGTTGGTTCCAGTTCTTCACTAAAACACCAAAACTATAATTTGCGCTCAAACCTTGGTGGAGAAAAACAGGGGTTGGCCAAAAGCTTTTCAACTTCAAAAAATGCAGCTGAACCTCGTAGCTGTTCCACTGGCCGGCGGCGGTGAGCGACGTTGGATAGATGTCTTCCTTGACGAACATCTTGACATCGTCCTTGCCGAGCCCGGCGTACTGGTGGAGACTCGGGATGCACGGGATGTGGTCCTTTCTTCGGGCGGCAGCGCCCAAGAAACTGCAACCATCAGTAAAATAAAAATCCAAAAATCCATTTTGAAACTCTCTCTGGCATTCCGAACCTACGAAAAACATTCGAAAAATCGGCTGGTACTTATCAATGTGGGGGGAGGGCACTTTGGGTAACTATTGGCCGACACTTTTTTTTTATCGCTTTTCGAGTCTATCTGGGGTAGTTTTGTTACGCTGAGTGCGATTAGAGTCGCAACATCATGCCAAACCGTTGGGTTTATCCAGAAAAACACCGCAAAATTTATCCTACTATATATAAAAAAATAGTGTCTGTGTGTGTGTTGGCAAAAGTCGAAGGTTTAGTCAAAATGGCCATTTTTCGTCGAAAATCGATATTTTTGTATTTTTGACAAAATTTGTCAAGTTTTAAGTTTCGGAATAGCAAAAACCGTTTAAAAAGTTGGGCTATTTATATAAAAAAATTGCTAAGAAAGAAATTCCCTCAATAACGCGAAAGAACCCAAAAATCAATTTTGATTGTAAAAAAAATTAGAACGGAAAAACTAACATTAGAACAAACAGAAAATGAGTGTCCCCGCCTAATAAATTGCGATACACCTACTCGGGGATGGTGAAGCCAGCGTCGCATTGCACGGCGTATCCGGTGCCCAGCTTCCATGGGGCGAATGGGATGGCTGACGTCCTGAAGCCGAAGTCGTCTCCGCGGCAAAAGCTGCGAACCTACGTTTTTTTGTCAGCACATTGTCCGTTGGCCATCATGGCTCGGGTGCACAGGTTGTGCGGGAAGATCACCCAATTTTCTGTAAAGGGCAAGGGTGAGGTGAAAAACCTTGTTTTTCGCCCTGGGATATTTTTATAATGCTATACCATCGGTTTGTGCTTGCTAAACAGATGCAGAAAAGATGTTGACTTTTAAAAACTTCGAAAATGTTGCCATATTTGGTCAATTTCCATGCATTTTTGAGTACAAAGCCCGAATGTCGAGCATTTTTATAATTTTTGATGCCTTTCAGATCTAAAAACTATGTAAAATGCTATAAAAATGCCGTCTCCGATTCTAAAGTTTCGAAAATTTACAAACACTTTGGCGGAAAGTGCTAATTTTTAAAGTTTTTGACCAAGGGTTGTTTACAAACGGTACAATTGAAGAATTTGGCACGCATTCCCTGGCAGCTCAACGACAGCTTTTTGAAGGTAAAAATCGGTTTAAGCTCCAACCAAACCGAGTTTTCGCAAACGAAGATTAAACAAAAGTAACTTTTCGATTTTTGACGACCCGCAACTCTTCAAAAAACTTTTAAACATTTTTGAAAACGTAGAAAACCTTCAGACGAAACAGTCTACCTCCGCCTTGGTTATATCGTTCGACCATAACGGCCTGGATGCAGTCGGGTTGATTTGCCTCTGTGCAGAACAGCGACCTCGGGTCGCAGTCGATCATCAGGCGTCCCGTGTCGTCGTCGAGGGTCAGGGCCGCACCTGGGGCGCACTTCGTGCAGGGCGGGCACTGAAACCAGGATTCATAAATAGGCCGCATTAAATTGGACTACCTCGCCCAGGTTGTTGAGCTTCGTGAGGAGTGTAAAGTGCGAGTCTCCAGCATGCTGTGCCGTGTAGCAGATGAATGGCACGCTGGCACACTGAAAACAAAGTTTTTGAGGCTGCCGTCAGCCGCGACAAACCGCTGGCAAATCGTCGGCACCCGGTTTGGCGGACGGTGCCCTGTAAAATCGCGGAATTAGGCCCGTAAGCATGAAAATATCCCAAAACAGGACCATACGTCCTATTAATGCGTGGCGTATCTCAAAATATTAGCGCGAAACTTAACGAAATAGTAAGTGGAAAAACAAACAAAAGATCGTAAACATGTTTTTAGTTGAAATTTAGTTAGAATTTTTGTCGAAAAATGCCTATTTTAACCCCCGGGGAAGAATTCAAAAAGTGCTATCAAACTGGACCGTACTGGGAAACGGCAACGACGGGGGCGATGAGCACGAGGGAGCCGATGAAGATGAGCATCAGAGGCATCGTCGTCGAACGCTGTGGCGAGCGCGGCTGGGCGATCATCAGAGTTTGTGGCCTTGATGAGACGAGATGGCCCCGCAACGTCTTTCCCGCATTTGAGCCGGTGAACCCAATAAAATTCCGGTTCGTTTCCGGTCGCCAAGTGGTTTCTTCCAATTTTAGATGCTAATTTCGTTCGGTTAGAGTCTATACCCCCTCCCCCCAGCCCGCATTTGCCCCCAAGTCATCCCATTAATGCGCGAAGTATCTCAAAATGTTCCCTTCTTCAAACACTCCATTTCCATATACTTTTTTAACCAAAATAGACCAAGAAAAAGACTCAAGCTTAAACAAAGATTGGTTTGTATTGGGGCGACAGCCATCCCTTTTCCCGTCGTAAGCGTCGAAAGGGGCGCCGCGTTGTCCTGTCCTCGCAACACTATAGTTGCGCTGCAACAATAAATTGCTTCTAAAATTATTATTTGTTAGTTTTCTTCTAAAAAAAGTATATGGAAATGGAGTATTCGACGAGGGGGAACATTTTGAGATACTTCATCCATTAATTGGGCCACTTGTGGGCGAATGCTGACTTGCTGAAGGGGGGGGGGGGGGGGGGGTAAACTAAACATTAGCCTTTCGTTCCTACGAAACGACAAAGCGGACAAATGATCTTGCAAAGCCAAACCAACTCTCACGCGGGGCAGGCTAGCAAAGATCCAGTTCAGGCATCCTTGTTCTTTCATCTGTGATCAGGGCTAACTAGCAAAGACCATGGAGACGCATTGGAACTAGCTTGTTAAATAGTTGGTCTACATAATTGGCTATTTTTGGAATTGTCAGCCATTGATGGCAAGCTAGCAGTGATCATTTTGGAACAGAATCCAGAAAAATGTGGAAGAATATAATTTTAAATGATGATTCTTGTTTCCTGCTGCCACCTCACTCTCTCTCTCTCTCTCTCTCTCTCTCTCTCTCTCTCTCTCTCGCCCTCTCCAAATATATTCTGCGGATTCAGGTCTGGTTTGATCATTGTTTTATTTGCATAGAATCACACAAATTAACAACGGCCGAGATAGATGGGGGGAGAGAGTGATGAGATGGAAAGAACGAGCCCGCAACGCACCGGTAGAAGATCCAAGGAAGAGTGGCTTCTGAAATTGATTGAAATTGTTTCTCGCGTCGGCACTCGCTCTCTCTCTCTCTCGCTCTCGCTCTCTCTCTCTCTCGCTCTCTCGCTCACTCTCTCACCTCTAGGAAGCATCGCCGGCATCCCGAACGAGACTAGTTCTGCGGAGCTTTCCCAACTGGTTGACCACCAGCCGGCGAAGACGCTCCAGACATCTGAAAATTGAAAATTATAAAGGTCAAAAATTTTCGTCATTTTGAGAGACAACGCTGCTTTGAGACACGAACACCTACCGGTGCACTACCCGGGGCCATTGGTTGTGCGATGGCTGCCGCGGCGGGCCCGTTTGCGCTGGGCGCGGACGCGGGGGCCGCGGGCGCGCCCGCCGCCCCCGAGGCGCCAATCTGCATTGAGGGCGGGAGTTTGGGCCGCTCCTCCAAATACTTGTACTCCAGTTTCATTTCCCGGGGCACCTGGAAAGATGAGGTTTTATCGATTGTAGGCCTAGGCTTAGCTTAGGCTTAGCTTAGGCTTAGCTTAGGCTTAGCTTAGGCTTAGCTTAGGCTTAGCTTAAGCTTAGCTTAGGCTTAGCTTAGGCTTAGCTTAGGTTTAGCTTAGGCTTGGCTTAGGCTTAGCTTAGGCTTAGCCTAGGCTTAGCTTAGGCCTGGCTTAGGCTTTGGCTTAGGCTCAGTCTGCTTCAAATACGCTACCTTCCGCCACTGGATCGGGTCAAACACCATATAGCTGCCGTTCTCGTATGTTTGCGTCTGCTCCTTGATCTGTCCATACTGTGACCGTGTCAACCAGATGCACTCTTGCTTGTGAAATCGCCAGTCGCGCGTGTATCTGTAAAGGAGCGGTGATTCAGGGGTTACTGGGCTTGGAATAGCTCGAATATTCTGTAATCTATTTTTTGAAAGGATGAGAAAAATCTTGGAATCACGAAAATCACTACTGATATCTGCCTCAAAAATTTTTTTGGGTCTAGAAACTTATTCGTACGCCTTAAAAATTTCTTGAACTCCTCGAAAACGTCGGGAACTCAGGGCTAAACAACGCCAAAAACATCCATAAAAGGCTTACAATTCGGCGGCGGCGGCGACCTGGTACACCTCGCCGGGGCAGTTGTAGAACAGGAAGAAGAGGACGTCCTCGCCGAGTTTGTGCAGCCGGATGTTGGGCAACTTGTCGCGTATCGTGGCGTTGGTGAGGTACTCGACGGGGACACGCGCATCCATATCCTGTGGCCGGCATGGGTAATCCGCCCAAGGGCCGCCGAATGTTGTGTAGAGGAGTCGGCTGGAAGTGGAGAGTTGCTTTAGGATTTTTGGGTCTTTTCCACTATCGGGGGGGGGGGGCTATTTCTTCATAAGCCCAGAAACACTGACTTGTTCGACGTATTTTCATAGTTTATGGGTTTTTAGCTGCATTGAAAGTGAAAAACGATCTAGAAACTTGGATAGTGCAGCCAAGGAGAGAGCGACAGAGAGAAACAGAGATAGAGAGAGAGAGCGTGAGAGTGAAACAGAGAGAGAGAGAGAAAGAGAGAGAGCGAGAGAGCGCGTGAGAGATAGAAAGAGAGGAAGTGAGAGCGACAGAAAGCGTGAGATGGAGATTAAAGAGAGAGAGAGAGATAGAGCGAAGAGAAGTAGAGAGAGAGAGAGAGAGAGAGAGCGAGATAGAGATAGAGAGAGCCTGAGAAAACCTAGAGTTGTCGAGAGATTGAGTGGAAGAAGGAGGGAACGGGGGAGAGATAGAGAGAGATAGGGAGAGCGAGAGAGAGAGAGAGAGAGAGAGAACGAGAGCAAGCCAAAGACTTACTCAGAGTTGCTGCTGATATTCAACCCGAGTCCGGTGAGATCGTAGCCGATGGCCATAGAGAGTAGATGTTGCTGCTCGGTGGCCATCCTCCAGTACGTCACGAAACCGGCCATGCCAAACTGGTCGTTCAGCATCCCCGGCGGAATATTCGTCACCTCGCCTGGAAATCACGTAATGTTGATTTTCCGGTGTTTTGAGGTGTTATTTAAAAGCTATAAATACATAAATAGACTAAAACAGATATATATTTCTGCTAGTAAGTTTTTTTTTAGTATAGTTGGCCCGGAATTGGTGGTGACCATCGATTGACTGGCGCGCCAGGAAGGGGCCGCCCAAAATATGCGGGTAGACGGAGAATTAATTGAGAAAATAGCGACCGTACAGGCTAGCAGAGATTCTTGATGGAATTTCATGACGTTCGGGCAAAATAAGGGAGGAACTATGATCAGATGCGGATCGAAATGTGCGCCTGGGCAAGCTAGCAGAAACCCTTGTGGAAAATGGCGCTCCATAGATCTAGAAGACGGCGGGCAAGGTGAAGAGTTTCTTTGTAGAAACTGGACAGAGAGCGGCGAGGAGCGAGAGTGAGAGCGAGAGAGAGAGAGAGAGAGAGAGAGAGAGAGAGAGAGAGAGAGAGAGAGAGAGAGAGGGAAAGAGAGAGAAAACGAAAAAGCGGAAAAATTATGAACGGTTTTTTTCGGGAAACCAGCATCCGGGAAAGCTAGCAAAGAGCAATTGAGAATTTTCGAAAAATCCCTATGCAAGCTAGCGGAAATTCTGTGTCTGGCGTAAAAAATGGAGGTGGAGAGCTAGAGCAGACCAATAGAAATTCAATAAACAGAGGGCATGGATTTTTTGAGAAATTCGGATAGATCGAGGGTCTTTAGAACGCAAGCTAGCAGAGACCCTTGCGGAATCCGAGCTAAAAATAAGCGTCAGATGTCGAGGACAAGGGCAAGCTAGCAGAGACCATTGAAAAAGCCTAGAAGCTAGCAGAAACCTCTCAATCCAGTAACTTTTTCAGGACCTGTGAAAGTAGAGGGCAATCTAGCAGAGACCACTCAAAAAAATAGGCAGGCTAGCAGAGATCTTTGAGGAACCGAAAAACCAACCGTCAGGACGGGTGATGATGCCCGTCCGACTGGCCTCTTCGGGCGTCAACTCGGCAAATCGCTGCTCCGCCCGCCCTTCCGTTGGCCCCACAGCTTCCGACGTTGTCGACTGCAAAAAATAACATTACTTGCATCACTTGCAAAATTTTGTATACTATAAAAGAGGAAAAGAAACCTAAATTTTAAGCATAAAAACTTCAAATTTTGCTGAAAAAATACCAAAATATCGATTTTTCGACAAAAAAATGGCCGGTTTTTCGACAACATTGAACTACAACCTTTCCTAGGTTTTTTTAGCGTTTTTATTACTTGAAATATCGTTAAATTCAGTTAAAAACTCTAGCAAGATACTTACTATTCGATTACTAAGCGTTTCTGGACTTATTGAAAAACCCTACCCCCCGGTAATGCGAAAGCACCCAATTATAGCTGATTCGGCGCATTAATACACTAGTTAAAGTTTTAAGGTACAACAAAAAATTAGTAAATTAAAATATCATGTCAAAACTAACCAGATTGCTGGGCATTCCGTCGGCCGGGATGGCCCCTTCTCGCGCTTGCGCGTAAGGCTGAAATTGTGGAATTTTGAAAACCACAGTACTCGATTCAAAACTCAAGAAAGAAACAAAAAATTGTCTACCCAAGAGCGCCATTAATATTAAATATTCAGATTAAAAACATGAGGCAATATACGCCACGCCCATCGCCCCCCCCCCCAGTGATGACAAATACGCTTTTTACGCCTTTTTCTTGCAACAGCATTGAAGCGGAGGGGAAATATGTCTGGACATTTTTTAAACGTATTTTTTAACAATGATGAAAGCCGTTTCTGCCCCAGAATAATCTCTGCTAGCCTGTCCCCTCCATCCCCTCCAATTCCTCAAAGAATCTCTGCTAGCCTGCCCCTCCATCCCCTCCAATTCCTCAAAGAATCTCTGCTAGCCTGCCCCCTCCATCCCCTCCAATTCCTCAAAGAATCTCTGCTAGCCTGCCCCCGTCCATCCCCTCCAATTCCTCAAAGAAACTCTGCTAGCCTGCCCTTAAATGAACAGCTTGAAAACGTACCTGGGGTGGCTGTTGTGCCTTGTTGGCTTGTGCCCCGGGAAGGGCGGGGAAATCCTCGGATTGGATGTGGAACTCGTTGTTCCCGAAACCCTCGCCGCCGCCGCTACGCATCAAATTCGCTGGAAAGAACGTGCCATTATTAGTCGGGGCCATTTTGCGGGAAAAGGCCGGGGAAAGGGCAATATTTTCAAAAAAAATAGCATTTTACTAGTTTTATCGAAATTTTCTACTTTTTAGGCGGTTTAAAGGGACAAGAAAGGCTCAAGTCGACCCCTCTCTCCGACTCGGTCTCGACAGCTACACCACACTCCAAACGACACATAACACTCGACATTTTGGCTCCCTTACGGAAATCAGCGTACTTGAAAAACACGATTTCGATTGAAAGTGTCATTTGGAGTCACGCGTAGCCGTCGAGACCTAGTCGAAAAAATCTAGTCCTTTTTCCCCTTATTTTTTAGTTATTCCGGTTTTTAAAGGAGCGTAGAAGCAAGAATCTACCCCTTTCTGATCGCTTGATCTCGACAACTACGCGACCTTCCTATTAACATCTATCAACCAAGTTTCTGAACGTAGGGATCCGAAGATGTACAAAAAAACTTTCTATTTATATTTTTATGAGGGTAATTTGTAGTGTAGCGTAACTGTCGAGACCCAGCATCCCGAGGGGTAGATTTTTGGATGTAAAAAGCCCGTTCAAAGCTAAAAAACATCACAAATTCAATTCAATAAAAATTAAATTAATTTAATTTAAGATCTGATTTAACAATAAATTTACTCTATCCTGATACGTACCATAATTCGGCCGATTATTCGCACCATAACCGGAGGGGATTGGCGACTGGGTGGCCGAGTAGCCGCTGGTCGTCGGCAGAAGCGAGAACGAGCCGGGGGTCCCTGCAAATAAATTATTATGATTTTTTAGCGCGGTAATTCCAATTTTACGCGGCTCTACCGTACCTCGGCCGCCGAGGGACGGGAATTCGCTGTCGTTGTTGATAATTGTAGTCGACACGGTGAGTAGGCCGGCACTCATGCACCGCGCCTAGCACCGCACTAAATGAATCGTTGAATTGGTGCTAGGGAGGGCGAGAGCGAGAGAGAGAGAGAGAGAGCGAGAGAGAGAACTGATAGAAAACGAAAACGTACGATTAACGTAAAAAATACAGATTTGAACACAACCAGCCGATTTTTAGCTGGAGCAAGACATAGAGCGAGAAAAAAGAGGGAGAGAGAGATCGAGAGCAAGCGGGCGTGAGAGAGAGGAACAACCGGAAAAAGAGAGATATGGGGCGTGAGCGAGGGCGAGACAGAGAGTGAGACAGAGCGAGAGCGAAAAATAGCGCAAAAAGCTAGAGAGAGAGCGAAAAACGCCCGAAAAAGCTAGAGAGAGAAATAGAGTGAGTGAGGTATAGTGAGAGAGAGTGGGAGCGAGAGAGCGCGTGAGCGAGACAGAAAGCGAGCGAGAGAGAGATAGCTTGAAATTTTTTTACTCGTTCGAACAAGACTGGGAGGAATATACAAAAACGCCATCTCAGACTGGCAGGCACTTTCCGGAGCACCGAGTAGTGAGCTGATAACGGATTTCGGGGTGTTCATTCGGCTCTATCTGGCAACAAAAGGAGCCCAGCTGGAAAATTCCGGTCCAACCTGGCTGCTGAATGCGTCAATCCTGTTCTTTACCAAATTGTTGCCTTGCGATTCCCTTTAAAATTGAAGAAAAGCATGATTTTGGCGGCGAACACGGAGAATCGACCCCTTCCATTGACTGGATCTCGACAGCTACGCGAGACTCCAAAAAGCTAGCAACGGCATCTAATTTTTGTCCAAATGGCTATGAAAATGTCCAACTCGAGCACATGCAAATGGGAATTTAGAGGCGTAACTTGGCCTATCTCGTTGCTGTCGAGACCCAGTTGGCAAGGAGTCGATTTTCGCGAGTGAAGACGGTTAAAAATATCGATATATCGGTATAAATTGGTTAAAAAATAAGCATCATCTAACTATACGATAAAAATTAAGCCATCAAAGAGTAAAAAAATAAAATAGACCGCGTGTTCTGGAGAGCCGCGTAGCTGTCGAGACCTAGGGGACGAAAGGGGGTAGATTTTGGGATTTAGAGCGCTTTAAAATTTGGAATTTAAGGGAAGTAAACCATACAAAAATTTTTGCAAATCGGACTTAGAAAAAACTGTCACCAAAATTGGGCGGGAAAAATTTTTGGATACTTTTCGCTCGTTTTCAAAAAAAACAGGAGCTACTGTAATTTAGCTGATTTAAGCGACGCTGTGCTGTATGTAAAAGTATATATTTTATTCTTGATATAGAAAGTGATGATGCCCCGTTAATCCCCCCTAGAGTAGAGGTCAACAATGGCAAGGAGCGAAAAGGCGCGCGAGCCCCCCCGGGCGGGTTGAGTGAGACTGACTGACTGACTGACTGTGACCCCTTCTCTTTATGTCAGAAAGAACCAAACAACACACAGACAGACAGACTGACATAGAGATCGACAGACAGACAGACAGACAGACAGACACCCTCTCATCAATAGCCCCCCTCGCAAAGACACACACAAAAAACGAGGGCACCATTATCGATCATAACCTTTGGAAAGGCACCACCGGGGCACAGAAAAAGAATATTCCCGCAATTTCCTGATAGGCCCTGGGGGTAAAGAAGGAAATTAAAGGTGTTGAAAAGGTTGATTGCCCTTATTCGATCGACTAGGGCTTGAAAAAGATATGCGAAGTGGGAATGGCAGGTTAAATCTGATTTTATAAGGTCGCAAATCTATAAAACCCTCGAAAATAACCTGTAAGCGCCAGATTCGACCCTCACGATAGCCTAGGTCTAGACAGCCACGCGACGCTCCAAATCAAAACCTGAATAGCAGTTTTATAATCTCCGGAAAAAGGCGACTACAAGACACGCCAAATGACGGAGGTCAAACCGTTGTCATAGGCCGCAGAACGTGGCTTAAAAATCCCTTAAAACAACCTGAAAAGCGCGAGGATAGACCCTTACCATAACCTAGGTCTCGGCAGCTACACGACGTTCCAAATCACGGGTTAAATCTGATTTTATAAGGTGGCAAATCTATAAAACCCTCGAAAATAACCTGGAAGCGCGTCATTCGACCCTGGCGATAACCTAGGTCTCGACATCCACGCGGTACACGAAATGACGAGCGTCAATCTCACTTTGTGACGGTAAACCCAAGATAAATCATAACCTGGAAGCACTAAAATCGACCTTCCCTAGACTAGGTCCAGACACCTACGCTATATTCCAAATGACAAGTTGGATACACAAGTTCTTTTTAGTTTACTAACAATTTCGAAAATTTCTTTAGCGGATTTTTTCCTTGGCTGCTAGCTGGTAGCGAAAGAACAAAAAAATGGCCTCAAATCGTAAGCGGACCCTCACGGGCAGTACCCATGAGAGCGAGCAGAGCGGTCCGCACTGGCTTGAAAAGCTACACGCGACAACGGTGACGGACGAACGAGTTGGGTTTGTTTCTAAACGTTGGATTAACGATAACTGACTTACTGACGCAATCAAGCTATAAAAATTAATCCAAGCCGCACGCCTGACTGACTAATAGGACGCTAAAATCGGATACGACGTGAAGGAGCTAGAAAGAGGTTTTGAACGGGTTCCGTAGCTCGCGCTCTAGAAACCGTTTAAAAGTTAGAAAGTCAGTGGAAAAGTACCCCATAACTTTAAGATAGTGGCAAGTTACAAAATAAGCATCGACGAACGCCATTCTGAGAACAAAATCTCAGTCGCAATCAGGGATTTAGCCTAAAAATGTTTGCTCCCGTCTTCCGCTAAAATGCTGAAGTTTTATTAGGCAAAAACACTATACAGATGGGATACCAAGCGGAAATCCATTATCAAGAAGCTTCACAAACTTGAAAACCGCGCGGAAAAAGCGGAAATTTGCAGCGTTTTAGGACTTTTAGGGTATCCGGTTTTGAAAAACGAAATTTGAAAGCGTAGCAAGTTTTTAGAGCTGCTAAACGGGTTCTACAACCTAAAAACACAAAGAAAACAAGCAAAAACAAACTAAAAACATCCAAAAATCACAATCTAGTCATGAAAACATTCAAATTCTATCCCAAAAGCTTCGCTAAACGCTTCCGCTCTAAAAATTACGTCTAAAAACAGTTTCCCGGTGCCAAAAATCCAATAAAAAAATTGGGCGCGCAGCTAGTCTAGACTGCGAGCCAGTCGCTCTGTGTGTCTGTGTGTGCACCGGGCGTGACGCGCGTCGCGGCGCGCGCTGGCTAGACAGGCCCGGGGTGGGCGGCTGCAGGCTACAAATGTCGAAAAACCATAGAAAGGGCTGGAAGGTACTTTAAAGCATTATAACCTAAAAATACCCATTATTTCTAAGATTCTGGGCACCATTTTAACACCCCTGGCCGGCGGCGGCCCCGTGTGAGGCCACATGACGGCTTCGGCGCGCGCCCCCCACCGCCTCTGCGTGTCTGCGCCCTCCCCACTCCTCGGCATCCCTCGCCTCTCGCCTCAGCACCCCCCCTGCTGGGCCAGGGGCCGCGACGCCCGCATGCGACGCGCCGACACGCCTGCGCATCAACGCGCTCTCTCTTGCTAGCCGGGCGAGCGGCAGCACTTTGGGCTACAAACTACACCTATGCAAGACACAGGACCACCCGGCTGCCTGGCTGACTGGCTGCCCGGGGGATTCGATTACACCCTGTAATTTGGCGCCTACAGTTGGCCGGTTTTTATGTTAATTTTACAAATTTTTGGCTAGTACCGATGCCGATTTTTGAGGAGTTAGATGATGAAGTTGATTAGCTAAAATGTTGAGACTTTTTGGTGTTCATAGCACTTTAAGCCTCCTGGAAATGTAAAAATTTTGCCGATCGGAGTTTTGGAATATTGTATACTTTAGATTTTGTTTAATTCTGTCTTGATTTTCCGATAGCATCGATATTAAATTTTCTAACCCCTAGTTTACATTTAAAATTAAAATAACACCTCATGTAAAAACCAATAATATTACCAATTTCTCAATCTTCAGAAAATTTTTAGGGGAGATCTGTTGTATTTTAGAACTTTTCTATTTCTATGATATTTTTCGATTTTTAGAAATCAATAATGTTACCAATTTCTGTAGTTTCCTAATTTTAAGGTATATTGAATAATAAGCTATATGATGTTATAATTATTATTTGGCTCGAAAAAGCCTATAAATATAGAAATATTTGGCAGAAATGCCGTTAAAACCATAATGAAATGATGTGAGCTTCACCCGCTCGCTTGGGTGCCGAAATTAGCTTCGTCATCGGTCGGGTAGTCGGATAAAATTAGCCAAAAGAGCATAAGGGCTTTTAATGTTTCGCTCTCTCTCTCTCTCTCTCTCTCTCTCTCTCTCTCTCTCTAACTCTCGCTCCACTCACTCACTCTTTCTTTCCCTCTCTCTCTCGCGCTATATCTCTCCCGCGCTCTTTCCCCCTCGGGCTTTCTCTCTCTCTTTCTCTCGCTCTCTCGGTCTCTCTCACCCTCTCTCTCCCTCGATCTCTCTTCCTCCCTCTCTCCCTCTCGCTTTCTCCTTCGCTCTCTCTCTCCCATCCCTTCATCACGCAAATTCTAATCCAGATGAGTGAATGCCCTCCTTCCCTCCTGAGGGCAGGCAAGGGGGAGTCCATCCTCCCGGAAACGCGAGGTCCTTATAGTCAGCGCAGGGGGGGGGGGACGGGAGCCGAAAAATTGAATTTCCCCCCCTCGTTTCTCACCGACCCATCCTCCTCCCCCCCCTCCAGTCGATGCGCCAAATATGGCTGCGTTCCGTTTTTGCGGTTACGAGTATGGAAATCGGCTTTGAAAGCCCCATCGTTCTTTAGGCTTTTCAGAGAATTTTTCGGGATTGGTTTAGCATCGTTCTAAAAGGCCGCGCAAGGTATGCCTATGGATTTTGGTGCCAATGGGTTTCAGTTAGGTTATTTCCGGGTCGAAATACCTTGAAACATCGGGTTAGAAAGTATTTTAATGTTTTGTAGGCTTCTAGGCACCTTTAAAATCAACTACTCTGCATTTTTATAGCTTTTGTAACATTGTAAAAATAAAATCCTGTTTTAATGGCGTTTTTTGATGCTTAGTTAGCGCTTAAAAATGTTAATGGATTTGTACAGGTTTTCAAGTTCTAAAACTATCAAAAAGTCGGGTGTAATGCATTTTTTTTCAGATGTTCCCCGGGTAATGGTGCTATCGGGAAGCCAGGGCCGACTGGTTGTTGCGGTGGCTGGCTGTCTGGGGCTTCTCCTATACCATCTACATGTTCAGGATCTTGATCAGGCGGCCAAGGAGTACGTTTCATCGTTTTAAAGGGACCAATAAGTCTGAAAATCGACTAATCACGTCGACCAGGTCCCGACAGCCACGCGACGCTCCAAAGAACACTTCTCGAGCTTGACTTTACTACCCAATCACATGATTCCGCGGTGTTCGTGAGTAGGCTGGCGGATAGTGCGCCAGACGGCGGGGCGCAGACACACAGGGGAGGGGTGGGGCGCGGAATAGGCGGCGAAAGAGTGAGACTAGGCTATAGGCCACGGGGGAAGAGAACAGGGGGCGGGGGCAGAGCGCAGATTCTCCCTTCCCCTGTATGCCTGCCATCCTGTCCCGGTCAAACGAACACAACTGGTAAAGGGCGGAATGCTGTGCCAATATAAACGTGAAAATCAACATTTGACGCGAAAAATTTTATTGACGTGGTATTTGGAGTGTAACGTAGCTGTCAAGACCCAGTCGATGGAAAGAGTCGATTTTCGAGTTTTCTCGTCCATTTAAAGGGATAGAAATTCAATAGATATACAATAGCTGGTAATCTTTTATTTCTTTGTTTAAGCTATTCCTTTAAAAAAGCTAAACAAGCGGCATTATCAACCCCTTCCGCTGGCTAGGTCTAGACAGCTACGCGACACTCCGAATTACACGTGTGAGGCGCGATCTTCAAATCTCTTTGAACCTTGACGTTTTTCACAAAAATCTCTGCATCTACGCGCGTCATTTGCAGCGTCGTAGCTGTCGAGACCTAGTCGATGGGGGGGGGGTTGATGCTGGCTTTGTGACCCCTTTAATTTCCCGGAATTTTTTCAGACTCTCCGCCCACCTCCTTTCATGCCAGGAGCAGACGGAGAGCATCGTGGCACGGCTGCAAGGTTCGTAAAATTCACGTATTTTTTACCAGCGAACCGATGCAATTTTGCGCCAAATAAAACTTTTAATTTCGATTTCTAGAAGCAAAAAAAGGCCGTAGATGGTGGGATTCGAACCCAAGCCTTTTTAGCGACATAAAATAAGTATAACAATTTTTAGTAATGTTCGAGCATCGTAAACTGGCATCCGAATTGCTTGGAAGGGAGAGGAGGGGCATCGAGACTGAGCGCCAGGCATTTGAGACTCGCGTAAAGAGGTGTGAGCTGGAATCGGCGAGGATAAAGGTACGGTATCTCTCTCCCCTGTCCCTTGCTTTCACTCTCTCACGCTCTCTCGATCGCTGTCTTTCTCGCACTCTGCCCCTCTCTCTCTCTCGCTCTCTCTCTCTCTCGCTCTCTCTCTCTTTCTCTCTCTCTTTCTCTCTCTCTCTCTCTCTCTCTCTCTCTCTCTCTCTTTTTCACTCGCTCTCCTTATCCCCTGATTTCAGAAAGATCTCAAAAATTGCCAAGCCGACCCTGCCTCTTTCAATAGTCCACCTACCGTACCCCCGCCCCAGAATCTGACCGAGGCCCTATTATTACGAGAAAAAGGTACTGTGGCCACTACCGTATCCGTATTATGATACTTTTTCAGAAATCCTGCAACTTAAGGAGAACCTCGAGCAGCTACAGGTTGGTTGACGAGAGAGAGAGAGAGAGAGAGAGAGGAGAGAGAGAGCGATATAGAGAAGAGAGAGAGAGAGAAAGAGTGAGAGAGAGAACAAGTTATCGTAATTTTTCAGCATGTCCTCGAGCAGCGCGCCCAAGAAATCGTTAAATTACATCAAGAAGCGCAAGAAGTGCAGGTCCGTAATTTTCGCGATCTTTAAGATTTTGACTACTATCTTGAAAATTCCCGTTTGTATACCTTTTTAGCAACGCCTCAAATTCGGAATTTCGCTTTATGCAGGTTCCAATTTTAAAGTTTTAGAGAAACGCCGAGGAATGTCAAAACAAGCTGTCACTCCAGGCTGCTGTAGGTTTTCTAAACCTTAAACATTTTTAGTTTAATTAATTTATTGAAAGTTTTCTAAAATCATATCATTTAGAAAGAAAATTCAGACTATCATTTATTCGGCACAAATCGAAAACAAAAAAAATCGAAAAAATCGGGCTACAAGACTAGCGGGGCAAAAACGGGGGAATGTGCGAGTATAAGTTGGCAAGTTATAAATTTTCGAAAAACTGAATTTAAAATAAAAAGGCACATTTATTTCACACAAAAAGCAATTTTTTTGATAAGGCACAATAATTTTGAGCCAATAAAAAATCAAAGAGCAAAAACCAGCTAAAGTTCATTTTTTACTAATTTCGTAAGTTGCAATTTTAAAACTAATTTTGAGAATTTTTCGATAATTTAGCACGTTTTAAATTCTTAAATTATGGCAGCGACACGGCATCAGCAAAAAAGCATTTAAAAATAGCGAATATTTATAAAAATTGACTTCTAATGCTCGGGGTGCTCGGGCAGATCAGCCGCCTGCTGGCTCGTGCCCTCGCCCAGGCTACGGTAACCCGGGAAATCGGCGTGGGGGTCCTGGGGGTGAAGTTGTTGGCTGTGCTGGGCTAGGGCCTAAAAAGCTCTGTGAGAAGGCTTTCCTCAAGGCGTCTCTGCTAGCCTGCCTTCCTCAAAGAATAGCTGCTAGCTGGCCTGCCTTCTCAGGATGACTAGAATGATTTTTCCCAAAAACTTCATGCTTTCATCAAAGTATCCCTGCTAGCTTGCCTTGATTGACTTCCCCCGAAAATAGCTACTAGATGGCGTTCTCAAAGGATGTCTGCTAGCCTGCCATGCCAAGAGAATCCCTGCTAAATACCCTTTTTTAAGGAATCTCTGCTGGTCTGCCTCCTCAAAAACCGCCACCAGCCGTTGTTTCTTAAAGAATCTCTGCTAGCTGGCTTTTATCGAATGTTCATAGCTTTTCCTCCTCAAGAATCTCTGCTAGATGGCGTTCTCAAAGAATCTCTGCTAACCTGCCTTGCTGAAAAAATCTTTGCTAGCTTGCCCATCTTAAAATCGATCTGCAAACTCCCACTAAATTCCTGATTACCCAAAGATCTCTGCAATTCCTTCCTAATTCGATTCCTTTCTTAAATACTGCCCCCACGCTAGCCACAAATTTGCCGAATTCCCAAATAGTCCCTGCTAGCTTGCCTGTGAGTAATCGTAGGTAGATTGCCACATCTCTAGTCCAGTGCTTCCCTGGATTGAGCCCGCCAAATTGTGGAAGGCCCCGGCGGCGAACAGTTCACCTCCATGATCTGGAATTTGAAAATTTAGCTCTTATTTTCGCTCTCTCTCTCTCTCTCTCTCGCTCTCTCTCTCTCTCTCTACTAAACACTGTATATCCGTTTGTATTTCTGTATGTATGTCTGTCTCTCTAAAGCCCTCCATGTCTCTCTCACGCTTCTCGCTGTCTCTCTCTCAATGTCACACTCTCTCTCTCCTCGCTGTCTCTCTCAATCTCTCGCTCACTCTCGGTCTCTCTATGTCTCTCTCTCTCTCTCTCTCTCCCTATCCGTCTTTCTCACCTTGCATAAATCCGGCCATCGTAAGCTGAGCTGGATAAAGCGCAGCGGCTTCTTCCTAAAAAAGCTGTATTTTTAGGAATATTTTTTCTTACCGTGGTCCCAGTCGTGGCTGTAAAATCCTTATGCTCACCATCAGCCTGCTGGGCCTGCGCGTTCATGTACGGCAGATAATTTTGGGCGATGGTCGAGGAGGGGACCATCGAGGGGAAATTCTAAAAGTCACCGGGTTAGGCGGCTGCCTTCCACGTTTCTTTAAAAGGATCAGAAGACGTGAGAATCGACCCCTTCCGTTGACTGGGTCTCGACAGTTACGCGGCTCCAAAAACGGCATGAAATGTTGATGGAATATGTGCAAAATTGACTTTTGAGTGGATATAAAATTCTAATTGACACTTGTCATTTGGAGTGTAGCGTAGCTGTCGAGACCTGGTTGACCTGAAGGGTCAAATTTTGCTCTTCCAGGTTTTTTTGAAGTCCAGTAAAAATCGAAAGTTTTTGGGGAAGTGTGAAGTAAAAACCGAACTTTTCCGAAAGTCGGAACAGCCATTTTCGGTCCCTTTAAGGCTTTAGAGCAGCGAGAAACAACCCCCTCCATTTGAATAGGTCTAGACAAATACGCCACCATCTTAATGACACATTCCAGTTAATTTTATTTGACGTTTTTGTGCGTGTTTTTGGGAAAATTGAGGCATAAAACGAAATTGACAAGTGTAAATTGGCGTTTCCCGTAGTTGTCTACCCTAGTGGGTGTAAGCGTCTATTTTTCTCATGTCTTTTAGCCCACATGCATGCCGGACTGCAGCAGCTGGGCGTAGATGGGGTTGTAGATGAAATTCTGGGGCGTCGGGAACATGGTGGTGGCGGGGCGGCGGACTCGCCTGGAAATGTGCATAGGGCTTTAAAACTCACTTTTCCTGAATGTTTTTCTGAAAGGGGTAACTAGCAGAGATTCCTTGCGCTGAATTGCCTTTGTTAGAATTTCAAAAAAGGGGGATAAGGGCAATAAGCAGAGATTCTTTGGGTTCCGCTGAAATTTCTGGAATTTTTTCTTATCATAAATTTTTATTGGGGTAACTAGCAGTGATCCATAAAGATTTTAAACGCCACTAAATTTTACAAGATTAAATTAATAATTAAATTGTAAATATTAAAAATTAGGAATACATATCATACAATTTTTTAAAAATTTGAAAACAACCTCACCTCCGCTTAAAGTTGTTGTTCTCGAACATGTTCTCGCTGTCGGGCGTCAACGACCAGAAGTTGCCCTTAGAATACCGTAGTCCCGCGGGGAAAAAAGGCTGCCAAATGGGGAATTACCTTACGGTCGCTCGTTGAACTGATGCCATCGCGGGGCTTCTTCACGAAACAGTCGTTTAGCGAGAGGTTGTGCCTAAAAACTCGCATTACGCTGAGATACGACCCTCTCTCTCTCTCTCTCTCTCTCTCTCTCTCTCTCTATCTCTCGCTCTCTCTCTCTCTCTCTTACCTGATCGAGTTCTGCCACCCCTGCTTCCTTTTCGAGTCTGCCAGCCGGTAGTACTCGTAGTTGTTCTCGATCCACTGAAAAAGCGGAGTTTTTCGTGATTTTTTTACACGCGTTGCCGGTTGCGTCACGTGCGGTTGTGTCTTACTGGATATCAACCCGAAAATTAGCGAATCGCGACATGTGTCCGACAGTTTCACGACCGCAGCGCAACACGTAACGCGCGCGCGACGCGTCCTCAACGCGTGTCGTGAATAAACCCACGAAACGCGCTGGCAACGCACCAGCAACGCGTGACGAAAACGATGCTCGGCGCGAAGCTTTCACAAGACTGGAACTTATGCGCAACGCGACCGCAACGCTTGAGCGAAGCAGCAGGTAACGCACGCGCAACGCGTCCCTAAGGCGCAATCTATACGCTGCGCGCCCGCAACACGTACGCAGCGCTTCCGCAACGCGCAATACTGACCGATTCTTCGTTCTAAACGCGAAGCGCACGCAACGCAACGCTTGGAATACCTTTTTCCAACTGCCCATTTCCACATTCCCTTAAATTCCGCGACAGTCCCCTGAAAATCGGGAGCCGCGAGAGCGGACAGAGCGGGGGCAAAATGTTTTGTCTTCGGAGCGAAATGCCGAATCATCTTCGTTTCCTCCCCCGGCTTCTCCTCCCTCTCAATCGATTGACAGTCCCTCCCGGAAAAGAAATACAACAAATTTGTGTTTCTCAACAAATTGTGCAACTTTTGCGGGTGATTGGGAAAAATAGAAATATAAATTCCGATTTGTTTGCTTTGAAAATAGTGAGAAATCAACAAAGCAGCCATAATTCAGAAAACCCAGAAAAACCCGGGAAGTTGCGCTCTAGGGTTTAAACGGGGCCCGAAAATCGTAGCTAGCTTTCCCAAGTTTGCTAGAATTCTGGCTTCTGAGCCCCTTTAAAATTCGAATATGGCCAAATAACGTTACGATAAGTTTACAGGGTAATCCATGGCTGATTTTTGCCTTCCAAGTCTCTTAAAATCACCTGGCCACGCCCATTTTTGTAGCAAATTTTCATTGTTTCTCTTACCTTATAAATTTGCGACAACGTCATCTTCTTCTCCGCCGTACTGGAGATGGCCATGTAGATAAGCGCCACGTAGGAATATGGCGGCTTGTTGTCGTCGTGGTTCTAAAAACGGCATTTTTTGATACGGTAACCTATTGCACCCAAAAATTCTTAGTTTTAGGCGTTTTGCGGTTTTCCTGAAGCGCTTAAATTACAATTAAAAAATTTGGATACGGTATCAAATTTTCTTAAAATTTCCTTTTAGAACCCCGGGAAACCCTATATTTTGGTGAGGCCGTTTTGCGATTTTTATGGGAAAAAATTAGATGCGCTTGAAAATTACCTTCGATCGTTTTTTTTGAATACGATAATCGTATTTTCGTGAAATTTGTCTTTTTAAAAAAACCCGAAATTTGGGCGTTCCATGTTCTTTTAGGGACCAGAAAAAACAACCATCCATGAAAATTTGCCTTCGAAACTACCGTACCTTGGCGCCGTACTGTATATTCCGGGGCGGCCGCTGGAATAGTGGGTTATCGCGGTGGCTAAAAAATTGGATTTTGGGATACGGTTTTACAGCATTTCTAGACAACAATTACCATGACTTTTCTCTAAAAATCATCATGAATTCGATCCCCCATTTTTCAGTGCAGTAATTCTGCTTTCCTGTGCGCTTAAAGGGACTAGGAAGCGCAGAATCCACTCCCATCGACTAAGTCTAGACTGCTACGAGAGGATCCAAATGACGCGTAACCGTCTTCATATATAAGCAGGAATCAACAAGATCTCACGCGTCAATTGCGCATTGCGTAGATGTCGAGATCTAGTTGATAGGAGGGGTTGATTTCTGCGCTTCACGGACCCTTTAAAGGAGTGATAAAGCGTTGGCAGTGACATTCCTATAGATTCTTGCCGTTTCAGGCCCTTTAAAGGGGCGATGAAGGCCCGAATACAGATCTTTATCTGGGGGATTCCCTTTAGATTTTGTCAAACGCGGCGGGACACGCAACGCGTACGCCACGCCACAGCAATCGTAATTGCAGACGGGCTTATGCGTTGCGTTCGCTACCGCGGAAGAAATCGCAACGCATTGATGGCCACAAAAATCCATAACCCTGCCTTGCACGGTCCTTTAAAACCCTCTCACATACCTGTAACCAGGGTCCATTCCTTCAATATATTTCCCCCAAGCCGACCGAGCAACAAAATTTCCAAAATATTTCCAAAGCCGTAGGAAAATAAGAAAACTTCAGGAGGGGTGGAAGCGGAGAAATGGGGGGCTGGCCATTTCAGCCAGCCCCCCATGATGGCCTTCCGTACAGTGCCCCATTTCTCTATCTCTCTGTCTCTCCCGCTTTCTCTCTCTCTCTCTCTCTCTCTCTCTCTCTCTCTCTCTCTCTCGCTGGTGCGCTGACGCACGCTCCGGCTACCGTACCCCCCGACGCGCGTGGCCAAATCGTGGCCGGGAGTCCATCGTCCCCTTTTGTTTCAGCCCCCCGTTTTTTGACTTGTATAGTATTTTGTAATTGTCATTTTTAATATTAATTGGGCTATTTGAAGTGGTATTTTTCGAACTTGGGGAAAATACAGTAATTTCTGAGAAAATACAATTTTTTTTGATCTTTATCAGACCTTGAAAGTTTATTTAAATTCACTTATATATTGTCGAAACCAGAATTAGGTTTTAAAGAGATTGTCAAGGCAAATGTCCTAAGAAAAAGACAGTCAGTTTCAGAAAACTAGGGTTTCCAGATCTGTTTTTCACTTTTATTTAATTTTAGAAATTTTAATTTTATTATTGGGCTACTTTTTATCAAAATTTTTCATTATTGTTAAAATTATAAATTCGAAAATTTCCGTAGCTCCGACCAATCCCCGCCTGTCCTACCGTAACCGGAAACGGATCGAATCGCTCCATTGACGCCCAGAAATCGAAATGAAATTCCTAGATTTTACTACAGCTTTTTTCTAAGCATAAAGCTCCATCTCCAATAAGTTCGTGCTCAAATTTGGGCCTAAGCCCTAGCTTAAGCCTCATGATTTTTGAAATACGTACCTATCCTCGTCCGGCGCCTCAAATTTGACCTGCATCGGATTCCACAGCATCGGTAATTGGTGGTGCAGTGTGGCATGGTGACTGGCCATTCCGATGCTGGCTTCAAGATACCTTAAAAAAATTGAGTTAGGCAAGCTAGCAGAGATCCCTTGAGGAAGAATTGGATGTTAGGCGGGCTAGTAGACTTTCTTCCGAAGGACTGGTCGATTATGTAAAGATTCTAAAGGCACAGCTCCAGATCGTCTTTACCAGGCAAGGCAGGCTAGCTGAGGTCTTTCGAAAATTTGTGGAGTTGGGTAGTCTAGCAGAGAATCTTTATGGATAGCCTGCCAGCGCTGGCTAGCAATAACAATTAGGAATTTGTTTGAAAAAGGAAACATGGTCATGCGCGGGCGGCAATCCAGCAAAGATCATTTGGGAAAATTGTTTCCCGGAAACGATTCGAGTTTTTTCGGTCCCGACAGCTCGTTTTGAAAATGAGAATTTGGCCAAATAGACAATGAGCTTCTAGCGCTTGAAAAGTCCCTAGAAGCGACCGGCTAGCAGGTTTCTTGGGGAAAGAGGGATCAAGACAAGGACGCGTCCAAATTTGGCTTGCCAGTTCCTTTAAAGGTTTATATATTTTTGAATAAAATTGGAAATTACAAAATTGAGGGTTATTGTTTTAACTAAGAAGCTTTACTAAAATGATTTTGAAATATTTTGTAAAATTAATTAAATTATTTAGCTCGGGCATTAGAGAAAATATGAAAATCCATGAGAAAAGTCCAGACCCTTTAAAACTATCCAAAATTAACAGTACAAAATTGAACGGTAAAGGGCAGGAAAAGCCAGATGGCGCGATTCGATGTGTTCAGTTGAAAAAATGACCAAAGGTGATATCTGATGGGAAATACAGGGGGAAAGGAAAGAGAGGGGAAGGAGGGGCCAGATCGGAGGGCCCGATAGAAGGAGAAAGAGGCTTCTGTAGGTCTGTATGTCTCTCTGTCCGACTGTCGGTCACCTCCTGCCATCATGATGACTACAGCTTCGACCCTCATGGGAATGAATTCTCTCTCTCTTTCCCTATATCTCTCTCTCGCTTTCTCTCACTCTCTCTTTCTTCACTGACTCGTTCTCTCTCCCTCGCTCTCTCTCGATCTCTCTTTCGCTCGCGCTCTCACGCTCTCCCTCTCTCGCTCTCGATCTCTCTCTTTCAGGCGCGCGCTCTCGCGCTCTCTCGCTCTCTCTCCCACTCTCTTTCTCTCTCTCTCTCTCTCTCTCTCTCTCTCTCTCGCTCTCTCTCTATATCGCTCTCTATCTCTCTCTCTTTTCCTCTCTTTCGAACACTTCAAACAATTTAGTCGATGTATTTCCAACCGAAGCAAACAGGCTAGCAAAGATCCTTGGGGAAGCTTCCAAGAGCCAGCGTTAAAGTTATCTTAAAGGAAAATGAAAGTGCTAGAATCGGCCATACAAACGACCGGGTCTCGACAGTTACGCAACGCTCCAAATGACACATTTGCTCACTCAACTAGAGAGCTGCTCTCCAATGAGGTTTAAGCAAAAACCAGCTTTTCCTTCATGCGAAATTTGGAGCATTGTGTAGCGGTCTATCCCCAGTAAAAGCGAGGGGTCGATTCTAACGCTTCGAGGCCATTTAAGGGACCTGGACAGTAAGATCCTCATTTCCGCTATGGGGCCATGCCTTGCGAGTTCCTTTAAAATCCGAGCTTCTACCAGCCGTCGATAGTACGAAGCGTACTATATAACCCGGTGGGTTCGGTAGTCACTTGGTGTCTTGCGGTGGAGGGCCAGTGTGGGAGGTGATGACTAATCGTGAGGAGGGAATGGCCCGTAGTCAAGGAGAAGAGGAGGGGGGGGGGGGGGGTGGCCTTTGCCCCCTCGATAGACCGCCCGAGACGGTAGCGGCGGGGGCAATTCTCAGCTATACATACTGGCTGTGTAACATTTTGACACGGGTTTAAGGCTATGTTTTGAGGGCCGTATTGTAGTTGGAGATTTCCTAGATTTTCAGGCAGTTTCGGTATCATAAAATCGCTTCGTTCGTGTCTAAAAAGTAAAATTCTCTATGAATTTGAAGGGCTTGGAAAACGACTTTAAATTTCCCAAGAATCCCTGCAAGTTGGCTTTTTTCGACCGTTAAAATAATAAAAAAGTTGGGTAAAAACTCGGCTCAATTTCTCAAGGGATCTCCGCTAGTTGCCCTGGCTGTCCCGTTGGAAATACGGCACAAATCCGATCTTCCGAAAAAGGGAAAAATCCGTAAAAAATCGCTGCTAGTTTGCTTGTGTACTCCTTCTGACATCGCTTCCAAAAACGAAATCGACAAAAATTGAAAAATCTTAAAGAATCTCTGCTAGTTTGCCCGTCCAGGCGAAAACAGAAAACGCATGTTTTTAAGCATGCAAGGGCAAGGAAAAATAAAAATAAAACGATCCTGAATCGCAAATAACAATCCCCCAGAGAAGGTGATGAATTCTAGACCGTGGAATCCCTGTCCAACCCCTGATTCATCAACCCTCATCGAAAATTCCAGAAGAAATCGTGCCCCAGGGCGTACAAAAAAAGGGGCGCGGCCTCGCATCTCATTAGGTAGTCTCGGTAGAAGCTATGATAAACCTCTGGAAAATACATACGATTTTCTGCAATAAAAATCAATGAAAAATACGCGCAAACAAGTGTTTTCAAAATTTTTATTTCTTGAAAACAACGTTAAAAAATAATAAATAAATTGTCATGTTTTCAGGGGCATCCAAAAGGCCGCTACTACGTCCAGAATGAAACGGTGCACTTTGCAAGGAATCACAAGGCCGATGCAAAACTGCAGTTTAGTCGGTGAGTGGCTTTAAAGAAACTTTAAGGGACTAGCAAGTCGAAAGTTTCCGCAAAGGGTCTCTGCTAGCTTGCTTTACCGTGCTGGATGCATTAGGATAATACCTAAAATTCTGCTTTTCAGTGATCAAATCCACTTCGAGCCCGCCCAAATCATCCCCGCCCACGAGCTGGTGGCCAAACTGAAGCAACGGAAGGAGGAGCAAGATGTACATCCGGCGGATCGGGCTGCTGAAGGTACCTTTCTAGCTCTCTCTCTCTCTCTCTCTCTCTCGCCCTCTCTCTCGCTCTCTTTTTGGCTTTTTCTCTTCTATGCTAATTTTACCTATTTCAGACGAATACGTCAATGAAAAACCCGACGAGAATGAGAAGGACTACAAGGAACACTAAATTACGCACCGATTATCGATTTTTCCCACTCATTTTTTTGAGATTTTCACGAGATTTGCCTGCCTTCCATACATTCAGTCCGACGCGCGACGGGTTGAATTGATTTAACATAAGAACTTAATTTATGCTTTGCCGTTTTTCAGGTCATTTTCTAGTGCTGAATTTTCACTTGTAGTGTTTCTTTTCTGGTCCTTTTTAAGTGTGCTAGGCACATATCACCTGATATAATAATTATTGTAAAATGTAGAAGTAATTCTCTGAATTTATGCATCTATTTTTTCTATTATTTTTGTGTGCATATTATAGTCAAAATATTGCCCAGTCACCGTGTCATAATACGCCCCACCCACACAATATTACTTGCCTTGATCGAGTTTTTAATAAATTATTTTTTATTTAGTAGAATTTTTCGGTGTTTTGCAAAATTTACAAACGGATTTAACAAGGAAACAGGTTAATTCTGTAGCTTTTGGATACGGTATTTCTTGCTCTCTCGCCCTCTCAAGTGCGCTCTCTCCCTCTCGCAGTCTATAGCTCTCTTTCTCTTTCTCTCTCCCTCACCTCTCACTCTCGCACTCTCTCACTCTCTATCTATTTCTCACTCTCACACTCTCGCACTCTCTCACCCCTCACTCTCACTCTGTCTCTCCCTATCTCTGTCTCTCTCCCTATCTCTGTCGCTTTCCCTATGGCCCTCGCTCTCACTTTCTCACTTTAGCACTCTATGACTCTCTATCTCTCGCACGCTCGCACCCTCTGTCTCTCCCTCACTCTCACAATATCTCTCCCCTTGTCTCTCTCTATCTCACTCTCCCACTTTCTCGCTCGCTTTCTCTGGTTTTCTGAGATTTTATCGATTTCAGCGCGCTTTTTTTGATGGCTTTACTAATACTAACAAATAGAAAGCATGTTTTATCCGGATTGAGCAATAAATCTCGTGCTGAATAAGTTACATTACACACCAATAAATTATATTGCCGATAGTTTGTCGTATAGTTTCTTTTTCTCTGTCTCTCTCTCAGTCTATCCGCGATGCTTGCGGTTCTTGCGTCCGCGGCGACGGTTGTTGCGGTGACGGCGGGCGAGACGCTTCTGCTCACGGCGCTAAAAAATGGAAAAATCATGGTTAGGAGTGCGGTACTTTACGGTAGAACAGAACAGCCGATAGGTATTAAGGTTCCAGGTTCAAGTAAAAAATACCGTAGCTTAAGGTTTCGCAGGATATATTGAAATACCTTTTTGAAGGCTGGGTATACGCTATAACTCATTAACGTATGATGGTTATGCCGGCTATTATGGAAATTTAGAATTGCGACGCTATACTACGGTATCATTCGGTAAGGTTTACGTTTCGAAACTACTGCCGTAAACCGGTAAGTTTAGCATACCATGTTTTGTAGGCTAAGCTACGCTACTAGTACGCTTCTTCCTGCGCTTCGTTTAGGTATTCGTATTCGTTGTTTAGGTAGACTACGCGAGGATACGTACTGCCGTGTTGCTTTTGATTTACTACGCTTTGCTACGCATCACTACGATTCGCTACGGTTGGCTACGATTCGCTACGCTTGGCTACGATTCGCTACGCTTAGCTACGATTCGCTACGGTTGGCTACGATTCGCTACGTATCGCTGCGTATCGCTACGCTTCGAGCTGATAGATGCAGTACACAATAAAAAGTAATGTTTACAAATTTTTCAAAATTTAAGGCAGGATGCAATAGCCTACGGTAGAATACGTACTGCTTTCTAGGTTTTTCCTAGGTTACGATATCATACGGTAGGCCTAGGGTGTCAAAACGCGTCTCATGTATCCAAAAAATTCATCAAAACAGCACACCTTAGCAGCAGCCCTCCTCATCGCGATGCGCCTGCGGGTGGCCTTGCGCACGCGGGCGGCGTGCGCCACGCGCTTCGCGTGAGCGCGGCGCTTGGCGGCCACGGCACGGCGGGCGGCTGCGCGACGTTGGGCGGCCTAGATTTTGACTTATCAGACCCTTAAGACTACAGTACCTTGGCACGACGGCGGGCGGCGGCGGCCTTGCGCTGGTTGTGGAGTCGCACCTGGCGGTAGGCGGCCTTGCGTTGCTGAACAGACATGAGGTTGATTCTCTCCCTCTCTCCCTCTCTCCATCTCACACTCTCTCTGTCTCTCTGTCTCTCTCTCTCTCTCTTACTGTCTTTCGCTATCTATCCCCGCTCTGGCTCTCTCTCTCACCTCCAAATCATTGGCCTCAGCCTCCTTCCTCTTGAGCTCATCAACACGTGCGGCGGCGCGGGCCTCGAGTTTGGCTAGCTCGAGCTGGGCCGCGAACTGAAATTTTTCATAAGAAGCTGTTCGGCCTGAATTGTTCTTACAGGGCTGTTAGGTGAAGGAGTGATCTCGGGCTCCTCCTCGGCGTACGTGACGGCCACGAGGGCCACTACGGTGAGGAACAACAAGCTCCACCTCATCCTGGAAAGCGGATTGTTGAGAGTGACAGCGAGCGAGAGAAAGAGAGAGAGAGATAGAGATAACCCCTGAGAGAGAGAGAGAGAGCTGAAGAATTTCCTTAAGGATCTCGGCTAGGCCAGGGGATTATTCCCAAGGGCCCTTTGCTAGCTCGCTGGAATAGAAAGCCAGGGAGCGAGTGCAAGAGATAAAAGGAGAGAGAGAGCACGAGCTGAAGAAAACGAGATATTGAGAGGGTTCGAGAACGAGAGGCAGATTGTAAGAGTGTGTGGGAAAGCCAGAGAATAGAGAGTAGAATGGACAATCAGAGAGCGTGAGAGAGCGAGTGAGAGAGCGAGAGAGAGAAAGAGAGAGACAAGGAAAAGAAAATGGCTAAGCGACGGAAAAGGACAAAAAAAACTGCGATCGGATCGTAGGAATTAGAAATATTTAAATACTATGAAGTAGGTCCTATGAATACCATGAGTACGTATTAAACATGTTGCGAACATTGGTGCCATACAAGGAGGGGGCAAACGGGGGACTGGGACTGTCTTTGGGCGATGTTGTGTTGAGGAGGGGAACGGAGCCGACGGCTTTTATCCGATCGCCCTGGGGGCCGGTCTTTTTTGCCATCTAGAGGTAGAAGGACAAAGGGACAGGCAGACAGAGATGGTAAGCACCAACAAACTAGTAATGAATGCGGATCGGGCGGATAAGGAATGGGGGGAAGATCCAGAAAAAGATGGACGGATGAACAGAAAAACCTACAGTGAAATAGAGGCCTGAGGAGAGGGAAAGAGACAGAGAGAGAGCAAGATAAAGAGAGAGAGAACGAGAGAGACCGGCCTGACATAACCTTACATATACAGAAAATACAGAAAACCAGGAAGTGAATAGAAACAGTCATAGATGCTATCGAAGAGCAGACAGACGAGACAGCGAGGGCGAGAGAGCGAACGAGTGAGAGGGAGAGCGAGCGAGTGAGAGGGAGAGCGAGCGAGTGAGAGGGAGAGAGCGAGAAAGAGAGGGAGTGAGAGAGTGAGAGAGAAAGAGAGAGAACCGACAGACGGAAAAGAAATCTGTATGGTCATATGCCTGTCAGGATTCGAAACGAGAATTGATAAGTGTGATTTGGATTACTGCGTAGCTGTGGAGATCTAGGCGATCAAAACGCCGATTTTGATGCTTTTAATACCGCTTAGCCATAGCATCTGATATTGCTCGCTTTGTTGGTTAACAAAGGTCGGTAATCTGGCAATATGCCTGCTTCAATATCCCTCTATAATTCGAGTTTTCCTCTCGAGTTCCCAGTTCCGCATGCCCCCCGAGGGCACAGGTTAGATCTCTATCGGACCAATGAAGCAAGGGCACCGATCTGTGACGAGGGTCGAGGTACGCTTTGTTGAATTTTGGCAAGAAGCTATAGGGTTCAGGCGGTCAAAGAATCTTGCTAGCTTGCCCCATCGGTTTCAGATTTCACACCGCCTTCTAACTTGCGGTTTTTTTGCAATAAATTAGGTAATCTTTCGTGCTGTTTTTAGATGCTCTCCACAAAATCTCTCTGCAAGCCGGCCCTGACCGCGTTGACTTCAATTTTTGCTTATGCCAGAAGGAGAATTTACCAGTCCGCTTCAGTTCCTCAAAGAATCAAAGCTAGCATGCCAGGGAATATTCGTTCATTCTGTTTGTCATAACACTTTTCCGCAAAGATCTCTGCTAGCCTGCCTAGAGACCTGAATAGAAGCTAGATACTCCTAGAGCTTAAGGATTCTGAATTCATAAGCGCCTTAAAACAGTTTTAAGAATCTTCGGATACTTTCCATATCTGAATCATGATATTTCAAGCTTTTAATGCCTGAATTTTACAATTTAGAATTACCTTAAGGCTACTTTAAGGTTACAACACTTTCTTCCAGCCGCATTAACAATGCCGATCTGACGACTGAGAGACTTCCGAGCATTGTTTTTCTGCCCGTGTTGGGCATTAGAACAAGCTTTAGGCTAGCCATTCTACCACCCACAGGACTATCCGATTGCTGTCCAGAGACAAAAGAGCGGCAGGGTAACTAGTTTTCTGCGGTACCCCGCAGCTTAATGAGAGCCGCCTCCCCCAAAGATCTGCCAGACCAGCAGATTTGGCTCTTAACGGGATTCGGAAGTCTGGAGCCTAGGGGGTGACGGCCGGTTCGCCTAAAACCACTTCGCCTAAACTCGTTTCGCCTAAACCCATATCGCCTAAAACCCATATCGCCTAAAACCCGTTTTGCCTAAAACCCATTTCGCCTAAATTTTTGGCCATTTTCGATGCTGTATTTTTGACCGATTTTCGATCTTTTTTTTTTGTCGAAAATTCAACTATGAAAATAGCCAAAACTTTAGGCGAAATGGGTTTTAGGCGAAACGTTAGGCGAAACGGGATTTAGGCGAAACGGGTTTTAGGCGATATGGGTTTTAAGCGAAATGGGTTTTAGGCGATATGGGTTTGAGGCGATATGGGTTTGAGGCGATATGGGTTTGAGGCGATATGGGTTTAGGCGATACGGGTTTAGGCGAAGTGACCGGAATTCGAGCCTTGGATGTCATACAATACAGGGACCCGCAAGGCATCACTACTGGATTTACTTTGATTTTCTCGATACGAGACATCCGTAGTTCGAACTCGGCATCAAGGGCGGGTGCCTATTCCATTTGCGCACAACCACAGGGGAAAGATTCCAGAGAACGATACCACCAGGTCGCAGATCGAATTTGGGCATTGTTCCAAAAAATCTGGCAGAAAGGGGAATTGGAACAGGAACTTGCCCCTTTCTTAGGGGGGAATCAATTGGGACAATTTGGGTGCAAGCAGCGATTCCACGGACTAGACTAGATTAGGCCCAAAGCCCTTTTGGCGATTTGGACGCATATTCCTAGGGACGTTTTCGTCTGACTGTCCGTCTGTAGCTCTCTCTCGCTCTCTCTCTCTCTCTCTGGCTATCTATCTCTCTCTCTGGCTATCTATCTCTCTCGCCTTCTAATTATTTCTCTCGCGCTCTCGTTCTCTCTCTCGTTCTCTCTCTCTCTCTCGCTCTCCCGCTCTCTCTCTCTGGCTATCTATCTCTCTCGCCTTCTAATTATGTCTTCCTCTCTCTCTCTGACTCTCTCTCTCTCTCTGGCTCTCTCTCGCTCTTTTTCTAAGTCCCTCTGCGTAAATAGGAATGTACGCCCAACTATCAGGACAGGCGCTTTAAAGGGGCCAGCAAGGCATGGCTATCATGGCGTAAACTATTACGGGATTTTCAGAGCCTCTACGCACGCGTTGCGTGTCGATTGCTCGACAAAATTCCTGCAAATCTATAGTGAAACAATCGAAAATTTCTGCCGTGCGGGACTTTTTAAGAAGCCTTTTTGCTAATTGGAACCTGGGCAATTTTACAGCCGGTTACGACATCTAATTAAGAGCAGAAGAAGATCTTGAAGCCCAAAATCCACCAAAAGATACAAGCTTCTTTTCAGCACCAGCGACGCATGACGCGCCTTGTGTGTCCCTTTAATACCATTCAAATCTCGATCCTAAATATCCCCAAAATCCCCCACTCCACCTATAAAACAGCCATAAAATGCTAATTTCAGCCGGTCGACCCGGTTTCCGATATTCCGGTTAGCGCCGGCGGCTACGGCCGAATTTAGCCCCCTCCCCCCTGGAATTGGCTTAGTTTTTGGCATCCTAATTGGATTATCTCGCTGCTTTCATAAAAGCCCGCGGTGGTCCGGTGGTCCGACTAGTCGACAGCTACATATCAAATCATGCTCCGGCTGGGTGTCGCCATATTTTTAGGACTATTCTTTGTATACTGTAATGCTGAGCAGGTTGGTAGTTTTAAAATGCATATCTCTCTCTCTCTCTCTCTCTCTCTCGCTCCCTCGCTCTCTCTCCCACTGTATCGATCGCTAGCGCACTCCCATCTCTCTCGCACTCCCGCGCTCTCTTTGCTTCTCTCTCTCTCTCTCTCTCTCTCTCTGTCCCTCTCTCTCAGTCTCACTCTCGCTCGCACTCTCTCTTCCTCTAACCTCCTTCTAATGCTCTGTATTTGGAGTAAAAACCTGCTGTCCCGGTCCCTTCAAGTGGGTCAGCTAGCCGAGATCCTTTCGGAAACCAATGCTCGCTCTTCTATTGAAAATCATCTTTAATCTAGGGTTAGCTAGCATAACCCCTTCAGGAATTGGGGGTTATGATGAGGCTCGTGAAATGGTGGCACCATCCCTTTAAAAAAATAGGGTCAGCTATCAGAGGACCTCTTCCTTGAGGCATAGTTGCTTGCAAGTAAACCAGGAGGAGCATTTCGAATTAAATTTACTTTTTACAGATAAATCCAAATGGTAATGACCTGCAGATAACCGGAAATACGGTATGTTATTTGTATTTTTAGAAAAACCGCTCGATTTAGCTTTTAATCCGGCACAAGCGAGCCTGGGACGACTACCTGGAGTTGAACTCGATCACCAGGGGAATGGTATGATATCTATTAACTGCTGGGTTTTTAGGAGACAATTTTTAGGTTTTTTCGGGTTTACAAATGGGCACCTCTAAATAGCTTTTATTTTTTTAGAGCTACTAAGCCTTTTTTTCAGAAAAACCTGATGCCAAAAGACCCAAAGAAGATCAAGGCCGAGCAGGAGCACATGCGTCAGATTCTGAAGCGAAGGAAGGCCAGGCAAAGGCGAGAGCGCATCTATAGAATCAGGGACAATCGGGGGGACCGCAAGCTGCGTAGAATCCGGAAGATCCAGAAGAACAGGAAGATCAAGTAGGTTTCTCATCACTCTCTCTCTAGCTCTCCTTTCGCTGTCTCTCTCTTTCTCTCTTCCTCTCTGTCTCTCACTCTCCTCTCTCTTCTCCAGCTCTCTCTCTGTCTCTCTTTCAAAATGCACTTTCCAGCAATTTCAAGAAGCGCAAGCAGCTCCGGAACCGCAGGATAAGGAACTTGAGGTAAGAGCTTTCCAAAAAAATACCTTCAAAAATTCCGATTGAAAATTATCGAAATTAGGCTGTGGATTTTGTCTTCAAAGTACCTTTCAGCGGACGCGCTTTGACCATGAATTTTTACAATTTTTCAGGAAACAAAGACAACTCCGCAACCGTCGAGCGCAGAATAGGAGGTAATCCATAGATTTTCTCAAATTTATGTAGTTGTTTTTGAAGATCTAAAGGGGCTAGGACGCATTAAAATTCACTTCTTGGATTGTCTAGGTCCCGACAACGTGTTACTCGCAACATTGCAACGAATTTGTGAATATCCTTGGCCCTGACCATGACGTGTGCATCGTGTCGGATTGGTGTTTATTGGTGTCCTGTGTAGCTGTCGAGACCTAGGGATTAGAGGGATCGATTGCCACGCTTGCTCGTGCCTTTGAAGTGACGAATTTCGATTTATTTTCTAATTTCTTTATTGCAGAAAAGCCCACCAGCGCCGAGCTGACGCCAAAAAGGCGCTGCTGGCCAGCACTACGCCAAAGCCGGAAGTGACTTCCTCTACTTCTGAATTGACTACCGAAGCCACGTCTTCTACCTCCCAATTGCCCTCAACCTCACCAGCTCAATAAAGTAATTTTTTTTTAATATGTATAATGTATCCGTATAAATTATTTGTGCAAGATCGTAAATCTGTTGAAATACAGGAATCATCGGTTCTTACGGGCGGTTTCCCTTCTCTCTTTCTCCTAGATTAATTTCAGGTTTAAAAAACCGGAACAAATTTAAAACACGGTTCAAGCATAAACTTAAATTTCATAAGCTACTTATCGCAACACTTATCGTTCATAGGTACGATATTTTGAGCTATCCAAGGTTTTTGTGTTTTTTCTTGGAAAATCGGCATCATTAGAAAAATCCCCGTCCTACCATTATTTTTTGGGAAAATCTCGATCCCGGCGGTCTGGCGCTCCCGATTTCCACTCGAGGGTGGAGTGTACGCATAAAACCGAATCGAACGGGACGATGGTGATGATGATGATGATTCTGCCGCTCGGTGTGTCTGGCCGCCTTTTTTGGGGGGTGATTCGATTTCCACCCGCATGCCTCCGGGCGGTGTTTAGCAGCCAAGATGTGGATATGGATGGTGAGATGATTGGTTTGAACGCTAAATCCCGCGTATAATGTGCATTAATGAAAGAGTGAGCAGCTTTACTTAATTCAGTAAAAATGCGCATTAATACGAGCAAATAGCAATATTGTTAGGATCAAATACCTAAAACATGGCCTAAAACCTATTAAGTTAACTTTGTTTCATTTTTTAATCTTTTTTTTCCAGCATAAAAAGTCGGGGAAGTGGCCATTAAGCCATTTTCGAGGCATTCAAAAGGCCATTTGAATTTTCTCTGACCTAATGCGATACTTTAAAAATTCCTCTCTTTCTTAATTAACATAATAAAAACCTCAAAATAAGGTAAATTTTAAATTCAACTTACCACAAACGAAATTAAGGAAATTAGGGTCCAATTGGTTGTTCGAAGTATAGTGAAAAAGAGAGCAAAAGTCCGAAAAATTAGCAAATTACGACTTTACAAAATTAATAAAAAATATACAAAAGTTCATCATCTACCAGAATCTTGAGCACCATTAATTTTGCTTTTACTTGGAAACTTCAAAAAAAATTACCAAAAAACTGGGACTACTTTTGGCTCCGATGATTGCAGTCATAACTTGAAGTCAATCAAGCTGTCTCCAGATGCATTTTGCGCAACGCTTTTGCCAGATACCTCCCATCCCCTTAATAATCATGACAAGAACTCATTAGATGCCACATGCGTTCCGCGCCGATCCTCCGAACGCACACCCTCGATCGGCCAGGATGCCCGATTTGCCAGCCAAAACTGACGTATCCTTTGGGGATGGGGGAGTCGATTCCGATCCCATCCTCACTCCAGCCAAATGGAGAGAGAGATAGAGAGAGAGAGAGATGGAGAGAGAGAAAGAGAGAGAGAACGCGCGAGAGAGAGACAGACGGAGAGAGAACTTGATGTGCCCTCCGTTGCCTCGAAAACCCCCGGAGGCGAGGAGTGGATCTGCCAAAGGTTGATCCCTTCGCTGCCGTTCAAGGCCTTTCGGGTACGCTCCACCATCCTATGAACAAGTTCGCTTCTTAGATAGGAGAGGGATGGAACGGGTGGTCGGTTAGGGGTACTGTCAGTGTACGGGAGGAGCTCTAGTAATACATAAAAAATATTGCTGTGGTTTTCTAGCGTTATCTAACTCGGTTTAGTCACTCTCGCGCGTTCTCTCTCTCTCTCTCTCGCTCTCTCTCTCTCTCTCTCTCTCTCTCTCTCGCTCTCTCTCTCTCTCTCTCTCTCTCTCTCTCGCTTTCGGTTTCGCTCTCTCACTCTAGCTCTCTCTCTCTCTCTCGCTCTCTCTCTGTCTCTGTCTCACTCTCTCTGTGGCTCTCTCGCGCTCTCTTTCTCTCTCTCAACTCTCTCTCTCTTAGTAAAATTTCACTATTTCCCAAGTGGGGAAATATCCAAAACGGTTTTAAATTACCAAAAATCGAAATTTTGAAAAAAATTGGTCATTTTTGATCGAAAATCCATAATTATTAGTATTTCTAATAAAAATTTGGAGGCATTGCGCTAAGAAATTGAAAAAAATCGATCGGAAACCCATCAATCATTTTTTTGACAAATTGGGCTGAGAAAAAAATTGGGTTTTCGCCGCTTTGCCCCCTCACCAATAATGCCAAAAAAACCCAGCTGAGCAGCGATGAACAAAATACCTTGCCACCTACCGTACTCGGCAAACGAATGCTCTACTGTAACAGGTTGACTGTGGTTATGTAAGTCGGCTTTAGCTAGCTTCGGCCTTAGTCAAGCTTTACCTCAAGTCCAAACCCAAAACACACAGCACCCCCCTAGAAACCGCAACGAACCACTCGGCCAATTTGATGGGCAGTACCATGCCTCTCCCTCCATCCGTACCGAACCTGAAACAAAAAGAAGAAGCGTGGTTGGGGTGTGCAAAAGGGGGCGACCAGAAAGAGAACGGATCCGCCCGGGGGCAGAAGCGAAACACGATTTCCACGTTTTTGCCGGTCTGCCCGGGGATGAAGCTGGCTTTCTCTTTCCTTGGATCTCTCTCTCTCTCCCTCTCTCTCTCGCTCTCTCTCTCTCTCGCTCTCTCTCTCGCTCTCTCTCTCGCTCTCTCTCTCTCGCCTAGTTGGTTTCCTTCAGAATCGGACTTTCGGCTCGTATGCTGCCGCCATTTGCCCGTTCATTTTTCCGTGGTTCGCTGATCAATCCGGACAAATTAATGTGCACCTGGCTGGTACTTTGGGCTTTTAAAGGGACGTTGAAGCCAAGGCCCTGCTATGGATTTTTCGGGCGCGACACGCGACGCATCCGCTGTATTAAATTTCCCCAACGGATTGCAACTTTTTAAGTGTTAAGACGCGCGCGTCGCGTGTCGCGGCAGGGCGAAAAACGCGGGAATTGATAGCCTACAGAAGCTAGAGAAATCGACCCCTTCCCGACATTAGGCCTAGACAGCTACGCGTCACGCCAAAATACGCCTGAACAATCTTTGGCTTCGTTTCAAAAATAGTTATCTTTCAAATTTAACAAACGTTTGAGTGGTGTAAGAATATCCTAGGTTAAATAGGCTACGCGGCACTCCAAAATCCACATGAAATTGGGTTGAATGTGAAACAACATGAAATTCTGCCAGATTTTCAGGTTTCGAGCTTCTACAAAAGGTATATGAATAGGAGTTATTTGGAATCGCAGTTTAGAGCGTAGTTGTCTAGACCTAGTGGCTGGTGGGGGTCCATTCTCGAGCTTTCAAGGTTCTTAACCTGGGTTTAAAAGTAGTTTCTACGCTCCTATCCAGGTACATGAACTAAGAGCCAATGAAAGCTTAAGTTCGAGGTGTTTCTACCTTGAAGCCTCCGAATAAAAGTTCGGTGCAACAAGTTCCGTCCAGAAAAGTCTACCGTAGACTCCAGCGAAACAACCCACAGCGCTCGCCCCGGAACGTAGTAATCACCGAAATATACCCAACACACCCCGAAGTATCTGAATTCGTTAAGATGAAGGGTAGCAACGGGTGGAGAGCTGAAACGTTGAGATGCGGGCCGCTTTTTCGGGTCTACGCCTATGAACACTAGACAGAAACCCCGCGCTGCGGGTGCTGCTTTTTGCCGTTTTTTGGTCTGGCGCGGCAGGTGGGGGATCGGATATGGTGGAGAGTGAAAGAAAGAGAGAGAGAGAGAGAGAGAGAGAGAGCGAGAGAGAGAGAGAAAGAGAGAGCGAGATAGAGAGAGCGGGAGATAGGGAGTGAGAGAAAGGGATAGAGCGGAAGCGAAGGTGAGCAACAGGGAGGCGTTTGGATGCGTATAAGGAAGATACCTTCTAAAATACTCAGTAATACCGTAACGTGGAAGAAACTTATCTCCAGATATCTTCAGACAACAATAACTTAGCAGCCATGGGAGTTTGTCCAAATATGTAGCAGCACATGGAATTCAAGGAGTTGCGAAGGGACCATCGTATAGAGGAGTTACGCGTCTGACACGGAGGCAAACCGAAGATGGACGGATAGATGGGTGGACAGGGCGACGACCAAAAAAACTTGGTACAGAATAGAATCATGTAGGGGAGAGAGCGAGAGAGAGAGAGAGAGAGAGAGAGAGAGAGAAACAGAGAGAGAGACAGAGCGAGTGAGACAGAGCGAGAGAGAGAGAGAAAAGTGAAAATCTGGTGGAAGAATTCAGTCTGAACCTCAGTTCGTGAACGAGGAGGGAGAGAGAGACAGAGAGAGAGAGAGAGATCGAGGGAGCGAGCGAGCGAGAGAGAGATAGAGTGAGAGAGAGAGAGAGAGAGAGGCAGACCCAGAGCGAGCAAGACTCCGAGCGAAAAAGCAAAAATTTGATAGAAACTAGCAAGCCGAACATGATCTTCAGCTCCTCGAGGGAGCAGAGGAACGGACAGACAGACAAACCAAAGAGAACGAACAGAATCTGCCATCCGGCCGGCGTGGACTCGAAGTACGGTCCGGGCTGGGGGGCAGGCCCGCCTGCCTCCTCCGGATCTGCCGGGGCGTATAAAGGAGCCGGGTGGAGCCGCAGAAACATCGAATTTGCCACCTCCTCCTCCTCCTCCTCCTCCTCCTCATTCACCACCTCATCCAATTGAGCATCAGCTTGAGCTTCTACTCAATCTTAGCAACTACAGCAGCTCGACTTTGTGGACTTTGTATTCTCGCGTACAAAATTGGCTTTTCCGCCTTTCCGTAGCATTCCTAGCCGTCTTAGCGTCAAGTCATTTCTATTAGAACACAGCAGCGTTCGTAGCAATTTATAGCTTCATTAGCATTCTATCTAATCTTCCGTCAAAAGACCATAGTACACTAGTGTACATTTTACCGTAGCGGACAGTAGGGTCCTATCTTGTAAATTAGCCTCCATTTGACGGCGTACAATATTGTTCAGAAGCGTACTAGCTTGTACATTAGCATACATTAGTGTACTGTCGCGTACTAAAGTGTTCAATAGGGTACTGTAGCGTACCTCAGTGTAAAAACAATAGCACAGTAGCGTACTTTGATGTACAATAGCGCGAGTTAGCGTACTACCGTGTACAGTCGCGTTCAGCAACGCATGGTTTACAATAGCGTACTTTTCCCCAAGCTTTTCCCTTCCCAGCTTCACCAGATTCGGATTTTTCTGTTTTTTTTTGCACTGTTCTTGGCCTAAAGCAAGCCTAAAAACTCGCCGTTTTTCCAGCCAAACATCATGAAGTGGGGATTCGTTGCCCTCGTCGTCCTCGGACTCGTCTGCCTCGCCATGGCCGAGAGCAACAACAACCAGGAGACCGAGGTGGGTTAGCGAGTCGACTTCTGCGCCATGAAAATAGTTGAAAATTGGAGATCGAGCTCGAGCGGATCCCGAAAAGCGCTCAAAATCCGCCTTTTAGACTGGCCTCGCCCTTGAGGCCGACTCCGACCTGGAGATGATCCGTGAGAAGCGTGCCGTCCACCACCGTCGCCGCCACCACAAGAGGGGACGCAAGAACCGTCGTGCTGTAAGTTTTGGCGAGGAGCACGAGCTCATTTGGTCTTTTCCTTTCTCTCGGATTCTCTAACTTTCTGACTCTCTCTCGCTCTCTCGCTCTCTCTCTCTCTCTCTCTCTCTCTCTTTATCTCGCTCTCTCTAACTCTCCCCTTTCCAGCTTCAACGTGCCCAGCGTCGTCTCCGCAACCGTCGCGTCATCAACCGCATCCACCACCGCCGTCGCGTCAACGCCCGCCGTGCCGCCAACCGCATCGCCCGCCGCCAGCGCCGCAACCACCAGCGCAACCTGCGCAAGGTGTTCCGCAAGCTCGCCAACGAGCGTCGCGCCCACCGCGCCCAGATCAAGGCTCTCCAGAGGGTACGTTAAGTGTCGAATTTTCGAGCTTTCTGAAAATTCTACAGTGTCTGGATCGAAAAAACTTGCCTTTTCCGACCAAACTCTAATTTTTCCAGAAGGCTCCCGCCGCCACTGAGGCTCACTAGACGCAACACCGCTTCAAAAGTCACAAACCACCCCCAGCGGTCACCAATTAATTTATTGAATTTGAATAAATAACTTATTAAAACAACTGGAAAAGGTTTTAGAACAGCGAAAAGATACAGAGTCTCTCATTCTCTGTGTGTCTCTCTCTCTCTGTCTCTCTCTCTCTCACTTTCTGTGTCTGTATATCTCGTTCTCTCGTCAATTCTCTCTCGCTCTCTCTTTCTATATACCTCACGCTTGCCCTCTCTCTCTCTCTATCTCTCGCTCTCTCTCGCTCTCTCTCTCGCTCTCTCTCGCTCTCTTTCTCGCTCTCTTTCTCTCTATTTCACTTGCAGACGCTCTTTTAAGGCCAGTTATATTCATCACAAAAAAAGAGGATCAAGGAGCAAGAGAGACAGAGAGTGAGGGAGAGAGCGATAGAGCAAGAACTAGCGAAAGAGAGCGAGAATGAGGGAGCCGGTGAGAGAGAGACAGAGAGAGAGAGAGAGAGAGGATGAGAGAGAGAGAGAGAGATCAAAAGAGAGCCTATGCTACTAGGCCTGTTTGTTTTTGCTGATAACGGTCAGCATGGCCCCCCGAGCGGAGAGGAGAAAGGCAGCGGACCTAGTTTGAATTTTTGCGATCCTTCGGCGACTTCCTTTAGCAATTCCGATATATTTGCCCAATTAGATTGTGCTAAAATACAAAAATCTGCATTTAAAGCCCGAGCTTTTTATCTCATTATTTAAAGGGATAGGGGCTACAGCATTCCGAGCCTTAGCATAGGTGTTCGTGTAGCGCGAACAGGATGGGAGGGGCGAGAGAGGGGGTGGGTGGTGGAGAGCCTAGAGATTCCCTCTGTCTCTGCGTCTCTGCCCAGCCGCCCCGAGCCTCTTTTGGCCGCCAGCCGCCGCCTAAACCGTGCCCCAGCCACCGTTGGCGGCCCGCTGGGTACCTACCTCGCTACCCCTCGCGCACTATCCGCCAGCCCCTAGACGAACAAAGCGGAATCATGTGGGGCGGCATAAGTGAATCGATTACGCGCGGGAAAGAAAATGTCTCTGCGCCTCTCCCCTGGGCGCCCTCTCTCGCCACTGCATCTCTTTAAGGCACAAACTGTTTCAATACACCACAGTTTTAGAACAATGGCGCTCACCGAAAATTCAAGATATTTGTCGGACACCCTCGTCGAATTACCACAACGGAAAGCCATGCCGGAACCTCAGTACCGACGGCTTTGCTGTGGAAAGATCGGATATGAGGTTAATTGCACTTAAAGGCTCGGGGACGCGCAAACAGCCCTTCTTTAGACTAGTTCTCGACAACTACGTAAAACTCCAAAATGTTACGTGTTAGTTTTCATTTGGATACTCTCAGGGCACTTTTTTCTACATTAGATAGCTTTTTCAGCGGTTTTTTAGGAGTGGCGCGTAGTTGTCAAGACCTAGTCCAGGGAAGGCGTCGATTTTAAAAGTACCTGGTCATTTTAAAAGTACGTTTTAGACGGGTGTCCTCATAATAGCCGCCTTGGAAGCGGCTTATTGGTTTTATGACTTTATCCTCTTCATGTTTAGCCTGATTCATCATCAAAAGTGGTGTAAGTTCCTCAACGTTACGAGAGAGAGAGAGAGAGGGAGAGAGTGAGTGAGAGAGGGAGAGAGAGCGGGAGAGAGAGAAAGAGAGATAGAGAGATGGAGAGAGAGCGAGAGAGAAAGAGAGAAAGAGAGATAGCAAGTGAGAGAGAGAGGGAAAAGAATGCGAGAGAGAGAGAGGGAGAGAGAGTGGGCGAGAGAGAGAAAGCTAATTTTCAGGGAGCTTAACAATAAGCGGAACAGCGCTGCTAATAACCTTCGGCGCGATCCTCTGCCTATTATTTGGTGTCTGGCTGAAAAAACCCATTCTCGTGCAGATGCACTTGATCTACATGGTGAGTACCTACTACGAGTTTCCCTAGTCTTGCCCGGCCCTTTAAGGGAGCCAGCAACGCATGGTTATGGATTTTTGGCTATAGATTCGCCGCGAAATTTATTATGCTCGCGTAGCGTTTTAGTCAAAATCCACAGATTCTAAAAATCCACAGTCTTGCCTTGCCCCTCCCTTTAATAGCACCATTTTTAGGTCCTCTCCATCGTATGGCTGATCTTACTGGTCCTCGGCTGCGTAGCCCTGGCCATTCTACCGTACCCAGACGTCAATCACTACTTTCAGTACAGCGGATCGCAGAATGGAGGTATCCAACTTGATTCCCTGTCACGATTTCGAAAATCACCATTTCGAAAACACCATTTCGAAAAATCACCATTTCGAAAAGACACCATTTCGAAAATCACCATTTCGAAAAATCACCATTTCGAAAGACACCATTTCGAAAAGACAACATTTCGAAAATCACCATTTCGAAAAGTCACGATTTCGAAAAACACCATTTCGAAAAAAAATCCCCAGTTCGAAAAGACCCGGTTTCAAACAGGCATAAAATTGCAGTGTCAAAAAACTACGGGTTTTCTCGGATATGACTAGTGATGTAATATAAATTGTTTTGGTGGTGTCTATAATGAAATTAATCATATCTCCAGTGGAAAAATAGACCCCCGAACCTCAAACCAGCCAACGAAAATCATTTTTTTCTGCGACTGAGAAATGGACTATTGCTAAACCAGGGTTGAAAAGCCGCTTCGCGACTTTTCAACCCTGGCCCCCTCTCGGACCCCATACTATTCGACCCTTTGCATAATTGTCCTCGATTCAGAAGACAAAAAAAATGAAAAACAACCCTTTCTGCCTCTTTATATAGGCGACGGCCCACTTCCGGTCTATGCTAATTATTCCTAACAAAGAGGTTTTTACAAAACCTAAATTTAATAGCGAAAATGGCTAATTTTTAAAAATCTGATATGTGTGCAGTCATCCCTAGACCATTACGCACCTAATGACGTATCATACGTAGCTTATCACCCCTCGCCTCTTGAGATATCCTCCGGACAGACAGACGGAAGTGGATGCAAAGTGGCACACACACACAAACACACACACAGACACTATTTTTTTATATATAGTAGGATCCTGTTTCCCAAATGGTAATTTTCGAAATGGTGATTTTCGAAATGGTGATTTTCGAAATCATGACTTTTCGAAATGGTGATTTTCGAAATAGTGTCTTTTCGAAATGGTGATTTTCGAAATGGTGACTTTCGAAATGGTGTCTTTCGAAATCGTGATTTTTCGAAATGGTGATTTTCGAAATGGTGATTTTCGAAATGGTGATTTTTGAAATCGTGACCGCCAACCATCCAACTTATACCGATTACGGTAAAATAAGCCAATTTGCACATTTCATTTTTAATTTGCACTACCAAATCGATAAATTTAGCCCGGATATTTGCCTCGGTGATGTTCTTCATCCTCGTCTGCCTCTGCATATCGAAATTCATGATGGTAGGCCAGTTTTTCAGGGTTCTTTACATGTTTTGAGTTTAGACAGTGATTGTCTACCGCTACTGGAAAATATTGAAATTTCGAACAACACTGGAATCGCTTGTTTGAAGAGATATGATAAAATATTGAATTTAGCGTGTGTTAAAATACCCCAAAGCATCAGGCTTTAGTCACTCTCTCTCTCCCGTCTCTCTCTCTCTTTCTCTCTCTAACTTGGCAACTCTCCAATAAGTTCCGGGTGCAAAACTAACACCAGATTTTTTGGGGCATCAGAGTAACCAGAAAGCTAGGTGGCTCTGACTTGGTCGCTTTCTCTCTCTTTCACTCTCTCTGTCTCCTCTCTCTCTCTCTCCTCTCCTCTCTCTATCGCTCTGTCTCTCTCTCTCTCGCTCTCTCTCGTGGGGATGATCCGCGTTATCTTTTTTGTGCTTCTAATGCAAACACTCCACCCACATCCAGAGACCCGGGTGACATGCAACATCATCTGATCACCTTTCCCAACTAATGATAGTCAGGTAATTTCGTAATTAAGGTTTATCTCTCCCCTCTCTCTCTCACTCTCTCACTCTCTCTCGCTCTCTCTCTCTCTCTTTCTCGCATCCAACTCACTGAGCCTAGGTACCTGGCAATGCTTTTTTTGAGTCCAGTTAGCCTAGCGATAGGCTTAAAGTGCCAAATTTTGCCTTTTTCTGCTCTCTCTCTCTCTCTCTCTCTCTCTCTCTTGCCTAATCATATTCCCCCAGTACTGAACGTGTCCCTAGAAATTTCCCACGTTTTTCGGAGTGACTCGGAATATTTCTGGCCCCTCGGGGACCCGAAATATGGCTGGGAATCGCTAATTTCCGCTTCTACTCGCTTCACCTGTCGTTCGTTGAGACCCCCATTCGCAGTTTAGAAAGATTCCGTTCTCTTCCAAAAATCTTTTAATAGCTTGATCGTTTCTCGAATTCAGAGTTTCGAGTTTTAGATGCGACTTGATTTGCTATATTTTTACCTAATTTTTTAGCGCTTTTTCATGGTTTATTTATCAGCCAAACCTGTAAGATTTATAATTTAGATGCGCCTTCTATTGATTCTATTATTGATCTGTATAATATTCACCATCTTTGTCGACGCAAAAACGAAGAAACGCGGCAAAAGAAAAGTGAAGGGAAAGGACAAAGGAGCCGCGAAAGCCGGGAAGAAATGGCAGCCAGCCGGATCGAATGTAAGTGGTTGTCTAACTTTAAATGTCCTGCGCATCCGCATTTTTTTCTTATAATCGTTTCGATTCCACGGTAACGTCGTATTTTTTGCCTATCGTATCGTAGCGTACAAAAACCCAGATTTGTACTCGTTCCAACGTGTACACCCTATGGACGTAGGGACCGCGCGCACTGCCTACCCATGCCGTGGGAGGCAATTTCCCTCCTTTGCGGGGTGGGGCGCCCCTCATCCCCCCGCCAGGTTGTCGCTGTGGCTGATTGGTATGCATCCGCGCCTCCCGAGCGGAGGGCCCGGGTTCAACCCCCGGCCGCGGCAAAAATCTTTGCTTTTTTCCAAAAAAAGAGGGGCGCCTCACCCCGGAAAGGAGGGGAATTGCCTCCCACTCCACGGGCAGGCCGTGCGCGCCGTCCCTTCGTCCATAGGGTGTATACGTTGGACAGAGTATACGGCCCCTCCCTGAACGTGCGCTTTAAAGTTGTAAAAATCGCGTTTTCGGCCTATGCGTATCGGTTAATAAAAAATAGCGTATTTTCATAGCGTCTTTAGTAGTGTCTGGTCGATAAAAAAAATTTAAAAAAAATTTCACGTTCCCGAAAATTTATATTTTTTGGTTAGATTTTTCATGCAGTCAAATGGGCGCAACAATTTTATAATTTTACCAGCGCCCAAAACCCGCTTCGCGGGCCTTGGGCGCTGGAATTCGGCCTTTGCATAAGAAATTTGACTTTCCGATAGCTCGGGGTCCTTCGGACCCTTCCCCACGGCCGACCACACGCGCGAGTGCAACTGGCAAGAATGAGGAAATTTGTATTTTCTCGCATTATGCAAATTAGCCCTCACGGACCCCCAAAAATGAACAAAACCGGCTTTAACTTTGTAAACTTGTATTTTATCGAAATTCTGAGAACGCCATCGAAAAGAGGAGGGTCGATTCCCCCAAGTGACGGAGAATTAGGGCATTTTGGACACGGGAAGGCCCTCAAATCGGGCCTCGAAACTGACCTCCGCACACACACACAGACAAAGATACGCGACCAAATTATATAAGGTAGGATGAGCTTTTTATATCTAAAGACTGTTATAATTTTATGAGCTTTTTATATCTAAAGACTGTTAAAAGGCAATAAAATTGTTGACATTTTATTAAAGGGGCATAGAGGATAACCGAGAAAAATGCGTCCCCGCTGCTAACAGTCCAGTACCAAATTCCTTATGCCATTCAATTCCATCAAATTCGTGAAGACATTTAAACTATCGGGTGTTGTGGTAGCCGCGACACGCAACGCCCAGGTTTTAGTGCTTAATTGGTTCAGCCGCACACGGCCGCGTGCGCGTCGCGTTTCGCGGCACGCAAAATGCCGAGAATCCGTAGCCATTCCTGGCGCGTACCGTATTTTTTTCAGCAACCCTGCGAGCGCGATTGGGATTGCCCAAAGGGTTCCGGCGAGATTTGCATCTGGAAGAAGTGCATCGAGCAGCCGAGCTCGAATTATCATGATGAGCTATGAAACTACAGTAATCTCTATTGTTCTACTGTATTTGTATTTTTTTAATTTTTTTGTGTTTTTTAAGACGTGAAATATGATTGGCCCAATCTAAATTTACACTTTTCACGCCATTTTTGCAAGAAAATCGATAATTCCGCCTCTATCCTACTTACAGTTTGCCCCCGCCTCTTCCACTATTCCGGGTTGATTGCGTTCGCTTAAATCTTTGAAATTTTCGGTGTTTTTCCGTATTTTTATTGATTTTTAATAAAGATAGTATGCAAGTCACAGTACTGTTTACGGAGAAGAAAAGAATATCAGTTTTTATGGGTTTTCTACAATTTTTTTGAAAACTGATGGCACCAAGGGTCAACTGGGAATTATAACGACTTGATTTTAAGGCTAAGAATACTCACAATGTAAAAACGCGTTTTTAAGGAAGCGGAAAGCGCGAAAATCTACCCTTTCCAGTGCCTAGGTCTCGACAGCTACGCGGCGCTCCAAATGACACGTACGCGGCGCTCCAAATGACACATATGCGAGGCTCTAAATGACACGGGAAAATTACACCAATTTACCAGCAGGTACTTAAGGCTCTAGCAGATACCAATTCAGCTATTACATGTCATTTGGAGAGTGTTGTAGCTTTCGAGATCTAGCCATTGAAAAGCGTCGATTCTTGCGCGTTCTACTCCCCTTTAAAATGAAATAGCACACAAAAAGCAATTGGTCCATAACTGAGAATGGGCTATTTAGGGTGGTAGCCACAGGGGAAACTGGCTTTTGTTAAAAATAATGAATAAAATAAATACAGGCGATTTCCCGGGCTATCCCCTACTGCAAAAAAGATGATATGAAAAAGAAAAAGAGATTCCGTTGATTTAGATAAAAAAGAATGTTCAGACTTTTTATAACTGGATCATCCCACCGTCCTCGGAAAAGCTGATCGGTTTTACCTAGAAAAAAGGTTGTAAAAGATGCGATAAGTTTTTATACCTCAACCCCAATGTCCTCGTTGTTGTTTTGGCCCTTTTTTGCGACGGAAACCTCTGGAAAATTGAGATAAAGTTGTCTCAGCTATCTCTCTCTCGCTCTCGCTCTCTATCCCTCTCTCTCTCTCACACTCTCTATCTCTCTCTTTCTCTCCGGCTTACTTCAGTGCTCGACGAACAAGCTTCTTCAGCCCGGCTCTAGCCTTGTACAGCTCATTCCGGACTCGATCAGATAGGCCGCCAAGCAGATCACCGATCATACGCTGCTTTTGCATCGGGTTCAGCTCGTCATTCTGAAAAAACCCCATTGAAAGGTGACAGAGAGAGAGAGAGAGAGAGAGAGAGAGAGAGAGAGAGAGAAAGAGAAAGAGTGAAAGGGTGTGAAAGAGAGTGAGAGAAAGTGAGAGAGATATTGAGGGTGGTTAGAGATTACTTACCTTTACAATCCCTTCAATGTACTGATCGGCATTTGCGGCCTGCTCACTCATACGGCTCCTCGACTATAACTTGTATTAAGCATGCGTAGGCTATAATATTAAACTTATAGCGTTAGGTATAGTTAATTATTAAGTGTTCGATGCCACCTATAATTATCCAAAATCCTAAACCTACGGTAATAACAACATTTACTGAGGCCAAGCAGGATTAACCTACCTTGAGCAAAGCTTTCTCCTTTTTCTCCCTCCTTTGACGCACTTCCCTCCGGAATTTCTCAAAGTCTTTCTAAAATTCGGATTTTCCGGATACTTTTCAGAGTATTAACGAGATCGAAAAGAGTCAAAATGAACGCTTCCCCATGAATAGGTCTAGACAGCTAGCCGGTCCAAAAGGACATATGAAAATACTCGAGAGTGCAAATCCCAAATCTCCCCTGGGCTTCCAGTAGTAAGTCGGAAAGCATAATTTAGCGCGCCATGTATCTGTCGAGACCTAGTGGCTGGAAGGGGTGGATTCTCGTGCTTCACAGTCCCTTAAAACGACTACCGGATACTTACCTTGACCTGCTCGGTGTCCTTGGCCACAATGTCGGCAATGATGTCCTCCTTTTCCTCGATCGGGAGCTGGCTTAAATTGAAAAACTTCATGCGAAAATTACGGTACGCGACCCACCTATCGCCAAGCACCTGAAAAACGTCTTTCCTCGTTTGTTCTGAAGCTTTCTTCAGGAAGGGCAGGTCTTTTTGGGTAGGGTTGCTAAAAAATCGGTCGGATCAAAAAAATTTGATAAGTTTTATCTGGACTTTAAAGGGACCGGGAAGCCAGCAAATCGACCCCCAAGTTTATGAGGTCTAGACGGCTACGCGATGCGCCCGATGACACCTTTCTATCGTAATTTTTGTAGCTTTTCGTATGGTGACAGAAGTATTGAAATTACCAATCTGCCTGCTAAAGCTAGGGCATCATTACGAATCTCGCGTAGCTGTCGAGACCTAGTTGCTAGAGGGGGTCGACTTTGGGCTTCCTGCTCCTTTCCTTGTCAATGTTTCGCGATTTTTTTAATTGTCCAAGCGTTACTGTAATTTTTGTGCAAACCCTACCTTCTTTTCCCATCAAATATCGGTCGATTCTGAGCACAGACAAACGTGAATAGGAAGAATTGGAATACCAACAAAAGCAACATCCTGAAAAGTACGGCCGATCACATGGTACGTTTCTGGGCTCGGAACGGATCGGAATCCGCCGGAAAGTCCGCCCGAATACTGTGTACACAAAAAAGAAACAGAAGAAGAAGAAGAAGAAAGCTTCCCAATCCCTTGACAGCCACCCGTCAGTCGGGCCAGGGCCGGGGCCCAGATCGACTGTACAGAGGTGTCGATCGGAATGTTTTGGAAATCCTGTGTTGCAGAGTAGATAACTTCGGTCAAAACGCTCTCTCCGAAACTCAGATACTTCTGTATTCAGGTTTCGGACGTAGGCGTCAAATAGGCAAATTTTAAGAACCCAGGTAATCGAAACCGCCGGCTTGAAAAGCTCGAAAACGGCTAAATCGGCAGTTTTTAGGTTAAAAAAGTCATGCATAAGTTACTGTAGACGCAAAAAATTCCGAAAAAACCGTAGTTTTACTGCAGCTACGGACCGAAATTCTCGGGAAAATTTCTTAGTTTCTTCTCTCTTTCAAATTCAGACTCAACTTAGGTTAGGGTTAATCTAATATTTGAAAGGTCTATTTGAAGTTATCGCTGTCATTAAAATGAGTATTGTTAGTATCAAAATTATTATAGAAATTCATACATGTTTGGTATAAAAAAATCCAAGAATTTCTTTAGAAACCGGCTACTGGTCCGCATTTTAAAATATGAAAAAAATCATTTACAATTGGGTATGCTATTTCATTACATGAGACCAGCTAGCAGAGATACTTTGCGGATCTGGCTCGAAAAAATCCCTGAATGACCATTGTTGGGTTGGGGGTTGGTAGCCGAACCAACGAATCTCACCTGTCCCCTCCCTCACTGACTGACTGCTGTATTTACCTAGTGGCTTTTGAGGGGCCCGGAGGCTACCAGAGGTCCCGATTTTCGGCTGAAAATGGACAGAATAGACTTGGAAAGAGAGACTGAGAAAACAAGAATGGGGAACCGGTAGAGAGAGGCTAAAGGGATTGGGAAATTGAGGAAGGGTGAGTCAGGGCACGATTTGGAGGAGACAGCGAGAGAGTGAGAGAGTGAGAGAGAGGGAGAGAGTGAGAAAGAGAGAGAGGGAGAGAGTGAGAGAAAGAGAGAGGGAGAAAGTGAGAGAAAGAGATAGGAAGAGAGTGAGAGAAAGAGAGAGGGAGAGAGAGAAAGAGAGAGGGAGAGCGAGAGCGAGGGAGAGTGAGGGAGGGAGAGAGAGTGAGATATAGAAATATCGGGACAATCGTGAGGTTTTCCCCAAGAATCACCCGCTAAGCTACTTTCCAGAATTCAGAGACAGGCTTGCCGACCAGCAAGTGCTTTGTGGAGTGTAGCGTAGCTGTCGAGACTTCATTAAACGTAGGGGAAGATTCCGAGCTTCACGGCTCCTTTAAAGTCTCTGTCTGGTGGCGATCGCCAAACTAGAAAGTAGAAGAGTAAACGAAACTATGGATTCATCTGATCAGCCGCTGTGTCTATGCAAAAAAATAAATCGCGGTTCAGCATGATAGCTGTAAACCTAAGCTTAAAGTATGAGATGGATGAACTGAGCGGTGCCCAAAAATGGAAGTTTCCCTCAATTTTTTGAAAATGAAACAAATTGTCGCTACCTTTAGCTAGTATCCCTTTCGTTTTTTTTCACAAATAGCGGCGATCTCCGGACATTCACACGTTCACTTCTGAGCCCCTTTAAAATGCAAAATTAGCCGTTCCGTTAGCCTCTACTTTTTGCTTTTTGCCCTTTGGCGTCTCATCACTTCACTCGGGAGGAGACTTCAGAATGGTATGGGATGTCTGTGTCGGTATGTTGTCCAATCTCCACCTCCCCGTTTCTACGGCCCGCATAAATAAGGGCGGGTTGCCGGGATGCGCGCGACGCTCCCTAGTTCAGCTTTTCCTTTGTCCTTATTTTAGGGACCCGCACGGCTGTTTTTGTACGATTTTTAGTCGGCTAATTCCTTACGAAAGAACTTCGCAAATTCCATTTTTGCTTGATATTCGGGGCGGTTACGCTACGCTACTTTACCCTCGCTTGACTACACTACGCTCCTATTTACGCTCAGCTACGCGCCCGTACAGTGAACATTTAAGCTTCGATCTAGTGACTACGCTAGGCTCCTATTTACGCTCCAACGCGTAACCGTACTCGGACGTACTGCTACCACAAGCTCCTATTGACCTGGCCAGGCCAATCCTAATTACGCCAGCTACGCTATAGTACTCTTGCGTACAGCTGACTGCCTAACATTCCGGTTGACGCTTCCTACGCATAAAACTAAACATGGCGAATCGACTTCGAACCGCTAAAATGTCCTACGGGATTCTGATAATCATTGCATTCATCTTTACTATGGTTGCATTATTCACGCCTGGATGGAGGTCATATAAGGTGAGAGAGAGACAGAGAAAGAGATACAGAGCGAGAGACAGAGAGAGACAGAGTGAGAGAGCGAGAGAGCGAGAGAGCGAGAGCGAGAGAGAGAAAGAGATAAAGAGCGAGAGAGAGCTAGCGTAAAGGAGAGAGCGAGAGAGCGAGAGAGCGAGAGAGCGAGAGAGAGAGAGAGAGAGAGAGTGAGAGAGAGAGAAAGCGAGCATGAGGTTGGGAGTGAGTGAGAGCGAGTGTGTGAGGAAGCGAGATAGAGAGCAGAGCAAGAAAGCAGTAGAAAGACAAGACAAAGCTCCATTGTGTGAAAATCATAAAATTTTAGGGAGAGGGCGCCCCATTTTTCGGCCTGATCACGTTGGACTGTGGAAATGGCGTCCGATACGTCGCAAGGCCGGACTGTCACGAGTGGTTTAGGGTAAATTTTTGATAGGAGAGTAACTTTTTCAAAACCGTAGCGCAGGCCATATCAAAACTTTCAGTGAGATTTGTTGCCAGTAATTCATGAAAATGGCATTTGGTTTTGTTTTAAAGAGACAGAGACACTAAAAAAGCATCAAATTTGACGGTTTTCAGTACAAAGCCACCTTCGAAAAAGTGGCTCTCGGCTGCATGATCGTCGCCGCACTCCTCGAGTTCATCTGCGTCATCTCGTTTTGCCTGTTATTGTCGAAAGGTACGCTCTAGCTATTTTACCGTTAAAATCAAAAATATAATATGTTTGTTGCCCAGTATAATTACAAATTTTTAGTTATAAAATGAAGATTACTGGTTTAAGAAACAGAAAAAATTATGGCATTTTCAGCAAGGTATCGATTGGCCGCCCCGGCGGCTGGAATGTGCGCGCTGGCGGCTCTATTAATCGCAATTGCCGTCATTTGGTATGCAGTACGCTTCGATACAAAGACCAGTGAGTTATTATTTTTAGTTTTTTTTTAGTTTTCTGTGCCTCGAAAAGCTCTATAAAGGCAAATGAAGCTAAAAATTAGACGATTCAGCTTGTTAAAACTTCTTTTTCTGATTTTCTGCCTTTAAAAATATTTTTTTTAGCCTGTCACAGCACCTTTAGAGTTATAAGCCATCGTAAAACTGTAGAAAAACGTGGCCAAATTGCTGTCACAGTCCTTTTAAACAACTTTTACAGCCTACATGCAGTCGTCAAGGTATGAAATGGTTCACCAGGCTCATCTCGGATATTCATGGTGGGTTAATTGAATTTTTTAATGCAAAAAATATACAACAAAAACCAAGGAAGTTTCATTTTAGGTATCTCGCCATCGTCGCATTTATTTTCACCCTTCTAGCGGCCGCAGCAGCCGGAGCGACAAGGTATGCAAATTTTATACTGACAAAGATTACATAATTGAAATTACTTATCTTAAATTTAATAGAAAAAATAAGCGCGTTTAGTCGGAAAAATCTATAGCCAAATATTTAGTTGTTGGCCCATTTAAACCGAAAATATCGATATTTTTTCAGCTCTCTTGGTATCGTCGACACCCGCCCACCCGAAGTGCACCACCATCATGTCAACGCTTAATTTTAAGCCCAAATTATTTTTATTAAAACTTCAAATCTTGGTGTCTAGCGTCTTTTTAACTGTATTCGTAATATTTATTGATCAGCATCTAGCAATTATGCACCGAGATATTAAATAAGTTTGGATTGGTCCGACAAGAGAGAACATCACAGAATGAAGCATAGAAAAATTGTTTCAAATTATATAATTTCCTAAAATCTCTCAAAATCCAGCAACCGGCCCTTTTCCAAGCGCTCCCATCAACGAGCCGGCGTTTTTCGATAAGAATAGCATGCCTTTCAGCTCTTTTACGACGCGATCGAGCTGAAAAAAATTATGTAAAACTGTCTGTTTCTCTCGCGCTCTCTTTCTTGCTCCCTCTCTCTCTCTCTCGCTTACTCTGTCTCGCTCTCTCTGTCTCTCTCGCTTTCTCTCACCTCTTCTTTCGTCGTATCCCGGCCAATACTGAATCTAACGCTACGCAGCGCTACGTCCTCCGAGACTCCAGAAGCCAGTAGGATATGGCTGGCTCTAGAACCTGGGTTATTACGGCTGAAATTGGCTTTAAAGGGATTCAGAAGTGCGAGAATCGAGACCTGGCATCGATAAGGTCTCGACAGCTACGCGCGACGCCAAATGACGAAGCTTGAACTAGCAAGAACTAACTTTTTCTCCTTCGAATGCCCGGCAGCGGCCGTGCTCGCGTAGAACGACTTGCACTTGGCGAGCAGGTCGGCGCTAAAACGACACCTTGAACGTTTTCCCAGCTTGATGAGCCAGAAGGAAGCAAGACTGCTAAACGTTGAGCTTACCTAGTTTCCGCATATTTTGGAAAAGCCACTGATGACGAATTGGCCAATCGGGGCGACCCGTCGAAGTTGATGAGCACTTGGTCACCGAGTTGGGCCTGAAAAATCGTTCTTAAAGGCAATTAATCCTAAAGACAATTATTTTGGGTTCCGGATGCCGTCGGGTTTTAAGGGCCTAAAAACCGTGTAATTCGACCCCTTCGTTGGACTAGGTCTCGACGGCAATACGACACTCCAAAACACGGGTTTTAATACGCAAAGAGGTCGCGTCCTTACAGGCTGTTCACGCTCGATTTA